AAGACGCCGTGTGATCTGAGCTCGTTCCTGAAGCTCTTCTCCGACTGCTTTCACATACAGGCTAATCTAGTCACCCTGCTCCAGAAGCCCAAGCTCAGCGACGCCCACATCCAGCAGGCCCAGGCTCAGACGCGAGAGCAGTTCTATGCCCTCAACAACAACAACAATGGCAGCAACAGGAAGCAGGAGGGCGGAGGTACTCCGGTCAGTTCCGTGCAACAGAGGCTGCACTCCCCGGCCCTGCGGAGCAATGGCCACACGAACAACAACAGCAACGGCAATGGGAACGGCAGCATCATCAATAACAACAGCATAGCTTCGCCGAACTTCAAGCTCAATGCCCCCGTTTCGAATATGATGGGTGGTGGCCAGAACCAGAGTCAGGGCTACGGCCAGCCCAAGTCAGAGCCGAACTCTGGCTTCGACAGCTATGTGCCCATGTCGGAGCTGAAGCTGGAGAATCTGTGCGAGAACAACTATCCCAGTGCGAACTCCTGCTACGGGCCCATAAACAATGCTTCGATGCCACAGCAACAACAGGCGCAGCAGCTGCAGCAGCAACAGCAAGTGCAACAGCAATCCCAGAGCCCCTCGGAACAGCGGCTCAATAGCAATAACCAGACTCTGAAGCAGCGCATCAACACTTTGGTGATTCGGACGCTGGCCGAGAATCTGGAGAAGGACAAGCAGTCGCTGGCCAACCAGCAGGGCGGTGGGACGAGCTCCCCACACGCCAGCCCCGTGCATTCCATTGCCAATTCAAGTTCCAACCAAACCAACAGCCAGAATGCCAACAGCAGCAGCTCAACTCCAAATACCAATTCGAATTCCAGTGCGAATCAAAACAACGCCAACCACAACAACTCACCTAGTCACAGCTACTTTGTCGGCGACACCTGGAAGATTAAGGTGCTGCAGAACACCACGGTGATAGCGAATGTCAAGCAGTCGGTGTTTGTGACCGATGCCATACTGAAGTACGCGGCCAAGAACGAGAATATAGTGGTGTCTCTGGACTGCGAGGGCATCAACTTGGGCCTCAAGGGCGAGATCACGCTGATCGAAATCGGCACCACTCGGGGCGAGGCGTTCCTCTTCGATGTGCAATCCTGCCCGGCCATGATAACGGACGGCGGCCTAAAGACCGTGCTGGAGCACGAGCAGGTGATCAAGGTGATACACGATTGCCGGAACGATGCGGCCAACCTGTATCTGCAGTTCGGCATTCTGCTGCGCAACGTGTTCGACACACAGGCGGCCCACGCCATCTTGCAGTACCAGGAGAGTGGCAAGCAGGTCTACAAGGCCAAGTACATTTCGCTCAACTCGCTGTGCGAGCAATACAACGCCCCCTGCAATCCCATCAAGGATCAGCTGAAGCAGATCTACCGGCGGGATCAAAAGTTCTGGGCCAAGCGTCCGCTCACCCGGGAAATGATGCTGTACGCGGCCGGCGATGTCCTGGTCCTCATTCACGACCAACTCTTTGGTAACCTGGCGCGGCAGATCAAGCCGGAAAACAAGTTACTCTTCTCTGAGCTGTGCACCGAGCAAATACTCATGCAGATCAAGCCCAACGAGGTGAAGATCCGCAAGAAGCAGCGCAAGGTCAGCACCGAAGTATCCGATCTCAAGCAAAAGTTGGCCCAGACCAGCAAGAGTATTGTGCTCTCCAACAGGGAGATTCGTCTGCTGAGGTGGGTTTTCATTAATTTGATATTGAAGAAGTCCAAGAATTAACTATGTATCTGACCTATAGGTACATGGACTTGACGGAGGATGAAAAAGAGCGTCTCAAGGGCTACTACAAGGTGGCCAAAAAGCTGGAGAAAATGGAATCAGCTGGCAATCCCAGCAAGTAAGTGAAAAAGAGGATAATAATATTCAACTCTTAACTATTCTATTTCCATCGCAGAGACCAAAGTGATTCGGAGGACGAGCAGGAGGGAAATGAGAACGACATGTTCCCCAGCTTGGACTCGGTGCCATCGGACAACTCGCTATCGGGCACCTTTTCGCCACGGTTCAGCTCGGAGCCACCCAGTCTGACGGAGTCCATGCAAATGCTGGAGGAGATTCTCCAGAACAAGTCTATGGATCGTATAGCGCGCATAGACAAGCTGGAGGCCATTCTGACGACAGCCACATCGCTGCCATGTGAACAAGTTAGTGATTCGTTGGTGAAAACCACTCCCATATACTAACCTTTATGTTTCTTGACAGATTATAGCCACAAATTCTATGCAAGAGCAATTGGGGTCTAGCATTGCAACCACCGAGAATCTGCAAATCATACGAGAGAAATCCAGAAAGTGAGAAATTACAGGAAGTTACATTACATAGATAAAAGTATTAACGTTAATTATATTGCAGCATTAAGAACTGCAATTGCCAGGGCGAGCGCAGTGTGACGCCCATCCTGCGAACGACTGACAAGCGGGTAGTGAAGCTAATAGACGCTGAAACGCAAACTCTGAGCACCGGAGACGTAGTCATCACGAAGATCTTCTTCCAGGACGAACACGACCGGGCCAAAGAGGCCGCCATGCTAAGCAATTCCCCCACCAAGCGGGCGACTCCCACATAAATATTTCTAACCCTTCGAACAATGATTCCTAATCAGCAAAGCGCAGACATACATATGTATTACTATTATTTTGTTTTATAACTATCGAGTGGCCCGATTCTTGGCGGGGCACTCAACACTCCATTATATATGCAATAACCTTCCTATCCAATTGAGAAGCAATATTTTTGTGCCTAGATGTTGAACATTGCATAACCAATAATATTATATATGATTTACCAATTGTTAACTACTCGCCTCCAGCTCAGATTATATTATATCTAATCGAATCTCCATTCTCAGCAAACCTGCTTGAGAATCTGTGTTGAATTCAGAGAGATTAGTACTATTGTGAGCTGCGCCAAACAATCATTAATTTGTAGAATATATTTTAAATTAAACTCTGCGTTGGACCAATTGTATTAAATCCAAAATAAAATTATTAAAAAAAGTAAAGAGTTTTTATAGAGGTTTCCAAATATCTTTGTCGCCATATCAGATGAGAACTTATTGTATTTTATCCATAATACTTTGTAAAACGAAATGATTATTCAAAACAATTTTAGTTTAACCAAACAATCTTCGTAATTATTAACAAAACATTTTTTTAGTCAATATAAGTAAATGAGAATTAATTGTAATTGAAAGAATACTGAAATGGATTATAAATTATATATCTATATATTGAATAAAATGTGTATATACATATGTAAAGAGTCTATGAATTTATTTAATTGAATTGAAACAGCGTCTGGTTTGTTTTGTTTCTTTTATTTAACACCAAACACCAAGAGGTTAAAAACATTTATAATTTTATGCGTTTATCATATATGCGTGTTTAATGTAGAAAAAAATTCTTCAAGAAGCAGTCAGATATTTTTGGGTATCGCAGATAGCGAGATCGATCTCATAGAACAATGCTACTAATGCATGGCTTTATAAGTATTATGGAATACTTTTCGTTAGATTATTCAATTATTTAGCTTACGAATCGTTTTTAATTTTTATTTGTCAATCATCTCGATTTTTAGCCTCGGTGCTCTTGGTTGATTTCGATCAACCATTAAAAATTTTGTTTTCTTTTAAAATGTTTCTCTTTGAATATTTTTTAAAATTGTTTTTATAGTATTAGACATTAAAAACTTGTATTTTTAGTTTTGTATAAATTGAAAAGTACTTAGCACATACCTTATCCTAACTTTTTTCAGCTGGAAAATTGTATATTTTAAAGTGTATATATATTACTAGGACCTACTGAAAGTGTAATTAAAATAGCCTACTTTCTTTGGCAATTGCATTGCCGTTTTCCTTATGGACATTCCCTCTAAATTCGAAAGTTCGAATGTGCCTTTTCTGCACAGCCATGTCTTTGAGCTAATATATGTATCTTTCACCTTCAAGTTACACTCGCCGTTCCATTAATGCAAGAACTTTTACAGCGAAATTCGTCAATTACAGCTAAATGTTTTGCAAATCGTTATAGCTAATGCCAAATATATATACTCGATCGATGTACTTGGTTATTTGCAAAGGAATACACTGTGTATGTATATATATTCGGTAAAATCACATCTTTGAATCGCCATAGCTTGTTAGTTTTATTTACAATTGGATCTAACTCGCTTCGATTGGCCAGTGAACAAATATCGGCATTAAAATCATGCTTAGCTGGTATCATTTTCCAAAGAAGGAAACCTGTTTCATGACAAATAATGTCGTTTTTTTTTTGTGTTAAATTATATTCCTATTTTCTGCCAACAACCATTTAAAATTTTCGTTTAAACAAAGTACATAGTAGTTTTATAGTTATCATACTACTGCTCTAAGGATTCAATTGAAAGTCTTCTTATAAAACTACACTTGTCTTAATTAGTTCGTTTGAATCTCTCCCGAAACCTGCAACTGGACATTTTCAAGATCAAGAATGCCAAAAAACACATAAATGCAAAAGGTACTTATTGAAACAATTTTTGTTTTTTTGAATCGATTATTGAGTTTAAAGTTTAAACATCAAGAGAAGCACACAGAGTAAGCCTTGTCCTCCTGGGGTAGCTACCACATTTCAAGCATGATCTTAATCTAAAGCCTTTTCTGTATTTTCCGTATTTTAAATTCGTTTAATCGCCATTAAATGCTTAGCACACAATTATAAGTTTTATATTTATTTGATAAATCGTTTGGTATCTATACCTTTTCACCCAGGGGCGGGTAGTGAACTCTATAGCTATGACATTGAATGCCGTAAAAGTTTTAGATGCGGTACACACATTACAGTCAGTATTACTTTATTTTAGAACTTAAATACTACCAAAAAACATAGTTACTTATGCTAGGTGTAGTTCCATTGCAAGCTCGATAAGTCGCCATTATCTGACCATATTGTAAAAGGAACTTAGAAACGAAGAGAACAGAGATCAGGTAAGAAAACAAAAAGTTTAATATTTAAAATAAAAATTGTATTTATTTCGCTAAAATAATTAAACAAAACATAATACATATGTACAGTGATTATTGCTTGCACACTCACGAAAGGAAACAGACAGATCAGATTTGTTTTTCTCAGCTCAGCTTAATTTTTTTTCTTAAATAACATTTAAATATTTTCTCCATCAAGGATGTACGCTTGTTTGGCTAACCATAGACACAGACTATTGTTAATTGAGTTGTAAATATTAATTCGACATTAATTTAATGGACACTGATATTGAACGGCTCTATTAATTGATGTGTAGTGCGTTAGCTTAAATTATTTATTTATCGACGTCTGAAACGTATCTCGTTTATTGCACAAACTGTATTCATCTTGGATTTTACGGCATTGTCCTTCCATATCCTTTCCTTTCGCTTACTTTTATATGCGCTCTCAAAATAACAAAATGTTTTATGCATGTGTGTAATGTATGGGGTGTGAGTGGGTTTTGTGGGTGCTTTTTTGGGCTTGGGTTTGGGTTTGGGTGTAATATATGTATATATATACGTATGTTTATTCACTTAATGAGATCAAGTCATATAACGCATTATCTCGCGCAGAGCATAGAGTAACTCGGCCTGATTACGGGCTTCCATTATCATTAGATTCACATGAACCTGTTGGCGAAAAAATATCAGATAATAACACGATTAATGTCTGTTGGTATATAGCTAGTGGTTGGGGACTGAGAATGGAAAAATTCCACTCACCTTTTCACTATCCTGCAGCTCGACAAGCACACTATCATAATCCTTGGTGGTAATACGCTCGGGAAAGCAGCAGGCTGTCTTTATAAACATTTTCAAAGGACGCACCAAGAGCTGACATAAAAGCGCTTTTAATGTTTGTTTTATTAATTGTATTAGCGTATATTACCTGATTCACTTCACCATAGTCGTAATCATCATGCCGTATCCCGTAGATACACTGAATGTAATTCCAAATGGCCCGACGGAACTTGGATGTATCCACATTCTTGATGCCGCCCATGGTGCAGTAGGTGAGATTGTAGGCGGCCCGAAACTTTTCATCCAAAAAGGTGCCCACATCGTTGTACAGTCTGTCATGGATACCATATGAGGGGGGCTCTTTTCAGCTAGCAGGGGCACAAAGTACTCACCCATCCACCAGCGAGAAGCCGTGATCCTCCCAGGAATAGTCCTGGATGCGAAACGTGTTGATGTTCTCGGTGCCGCGTCGAGCAAAATCCTGGTAAATGAACTTGGCATCATCCACATAGTGGGATAAATTCGGCGGCAAGGTAACCGCCGCCTCCGGTGTTACAGCTGCCAGCTCGGCTGTCTGCTGCTCCACCTTCTGGAAGCGGCTACTCAGCTCCGCCTCACTGCACTCGTCCTGCTTCTGGGACAGCACCTTCATGCGCTCCATTAGCGCCTCCACGCTGATTCCGTGCTGCTGTGGCAGTTGCTGGGCTGTGGCTGCAAAACAATTGAATTAGAGCCCTGTCTACAATGCACAATGAAATCATTACTACACTGGAAAATCTTTCTTAAAATCTGCAGTAAGTGCTTTCAAAAATTAATGGAAAATCTTTGAAAACTTCCTCGAATTTAAATATTAAATGGTTATACTATATTGTCTGGAAATCCGAGCTCCTATTGCCTTACCCAAATATCCATTGAGGGCCATTGCACCAGGACCAGCATCTCCCATTGCATTACCAGCACTCAGACCACCGCCATTGGGACCTGCTGCGGCTTGGCTATTGTAATCCGGCTTTGCATTGTTGAGCGATATCTCCGTCAGTACGGTTTTTTGCGGGTCGATTGGAGTGTTGGTGGTCTGGCAGAGACCGACGCCCGGCTCACTGGACTGGGCCATCACCGTCACCGGGGGAGTCTTCAATTTTGGACTAGACAGGCCGTCTAGCTTTTGGGTGAGACCACAGGAAAAAACGAACGATGACAGGGAGTGGAAATGCGAGAGCAGGACCATGGCGTGCACCACCTCCGACAGGGACCAGCTATTCTTTCCTTTGGTCAGACGCTGAAAAATCATTAAAATTGTACTCCCATGTTGTCCGTAAAATTGTTGTCCGCCGTATGGCGATGCCGGAATTATACCCACCTCGATGTGCTCCTTGCGCAACAGCCAGGGACGATGGGCTAATATTTTATTGATATCGTATATGGCACGTAGTTTGGCGGGTATGAAGTCGAGGCCACCCAGCCAGGCGCTATCGCCGCCCTGGTTGATGAACTCCTTCTCGTAACGTTTAACCAAGTAGGGGCACTGATGTCGAGCAGCAGCCTAGTAATAGGTTTAATCATAAAATAAATCAATAAAGTATTAAATAATAAACTATAACTTAAAGAGTATATTTAACTTTCATAAATATAATTTCTTGCTGTGCAAAAAAGATGAACAGTTCCAGGTAACATTTTTCCAGGCATTACGTAATTTGTTTTGATCTTCTAGCTCTCTAACCTTGGCCCTCAGTCACCCGCCCTCAACCAGTTTGGGTCTCAACTCAACCGCAAATATCCAAGTGACCCACAATCAGAAATCTCCCAGGGTGCGGGACCTGGGAGACACATGTAGTAGATTGGCTCCAACTATGCCCGCCTTATCTGGCCACCACTGCTGACACCACTGACACCACTGACACCACTGCCACCTGAAATGAGTGCTAAAAATATTCGAAAAGTTTTTCTTTTTTCGGTGGATGGCAGTGCGTGTGAGTGTGACCCAAAACAACAAATACCGGGACATTGAGAGAGCAAAGGCCCATTGTTTGTCTTACGATTTACGTTCTTTTTTTTTCATATTATTTTGTTGTTTGTCATTAATGAGGCCTGGGCAGGCAGGCAGAATCATAGCATGCCCTGACAAGCCATCGTAAATCTTAAATAATTTTACATTCGCCGAGGCCCGAATCTAGACAAAGGCGCAACGCCAGAATCAGAATCAGAAAGCTATGCGACTCTCGGGTGCACTTTCCTACGTATACGTATGCCCACCTCCTGCCAAAATAATAATATTTATAATAACCCTAATAAAATGCTCAGAGTCCTCTTCAGCCTCCCCCTCCTGGCGTGGAAAAATGCGCAAATTGTTCCCAATTAGCTGGCATGAGTTAATAGAATGTGTTTATTATTTACCACATCGAATGTGTGGAATGCCAAAGACCCTCGACGGCGCACTGAAAATGACCGACATGTCAACTATAAACAGCAGATACATATATACTTTGTGTGTACTTTGTTGGCTTTACGATTATTGCACACGCACATTAAAGGCCATAAATTATATCTCGCTCCTCTGGGCCAAGAAGCAACTCTATTTGTGCCCCGAAAATGTTTTGAAATAATTGATTAATGTATTTTCTGTATTCGGCCCTTTCAAAATCGCCCAATTGCATCTGGGATATAATAATTTTCAATGAGCTTCAGCTGTGCAATGCATTTGAACGAAAGCATAAATCAATTTTAATTACGCATTTATTCTCCAAGTTTATTACCAAAATTATCATTAAAGGCAGGCTTTTATGGATATTTATTACGATTGCAAACGATTCAATCAAGAAGGATGGGAGTTGGATGCCTCACTTCTGAATTAGTTTATCCCAGAGCATTAAATCGGATTGAAATATTATTTTTGTTTTGTAGGTAAAGTTAAAACTGATTCAGACGAGAGCTTAATACGTAAAATAATACCCCATCAACTATATTGTTGACGTTTCAACGCAGCGGAGCGGTAACAAGGGAATGAAATTTATACAGCTTGGCATTGATTCGGCATCAGCCAGTGGCAAATGCAACCTGACAGCTCCAATTGCGGGGGAAGTTAATATGCTTACGTTTGCCAGGGGCCACCAGACCCGGCCAGGCCAGGCCAGGCGAACAATGCCATACAAACTACATACGACACCGCATCACCGCATCACAGATCCGGACTCTGGACTCACGGATTAGAGCACATAGGCGTACCGAGAAATGGAATCTATTTAGGAAGAGTCTCATTCGATTGAGCTGCATCCACGCCGTGTCCAGGCTTCACAATACGTGACTAGAATGGATTTCCTAAACAAAAGTTCATCCAGAACAATGCCACATAGTGTTTGGAGTACATAGTGTTTTTAATTTGCGATAGACTTTGTTGGCAATCAGCGGCTATTGTTTTGTTTCAACGCGCCACTGCTACTTGACATTAAAAATCACAAAAATTCCATCCCAAATACAATAGCTAGCTAGTTTTATTATAAATCAAGCTCAACTCACAATTATGGCCAAATAGTATCTGTAATCATTGGGCAGCGGTCCATCGCCCTTCATTATAAAGTTCTGGGTCCGCAGAAAGTGATCGTGGAACTGGGGATGGTAGCCGATCACCTGGGTGACCTGATCCAAGTCGTCGAGATCGTCCATTTCAAAGTCAGATGTTCCCGTCTTTGATGCAGCGAAACACTGAAAAATTTTCCAATAAAATTTCAATTAGTCTAGTAACTTTTAAGAATGCAATACTCTTCATCAAGCCATACAAATAAAAGTTATTTTAACAGGGCACACGCTGCGTATACGTTATGTGTTTAATTTATTTCCCAAATTGCAAACGAAGCCAGAAAAATGTGAGTGTCATGAACAAAACTTGCAAAATTAATTCAATTTTTGAAGCAGAAATTTGAGAAAAGACTGATGGTTTAAACCACACGTTCAACCAGATGACTGAAACATAAGTTTGGCCTATTCTTTGCACTCTGCCACTCTACCTGAAAATGCCTAATTGTGCCTGACCAAAAATAGGAGAAGAAATCAGGAATTTAATAAACATCAGGCCGTGTGGCCAGGGCAAAGCTGAGGCTTCCCTGTCAGGGCCACTTCTTGCATTTGATGCCGTCCATTGATTAGGGTTTCCATGGTAATGCACCTCTTTACAGCTGCAGGCCAGCTGGAAACTAAGCTGGCCAGGATTTACGAGAGCTGGTTCGATGCTGATAAGGATTAAGTTCCATTGTTTACCACTAATTACCTATTTACCAGTTTACCAGTTTAGCTCTTTAAGAAATTGGCTCTCTTGTCTCTGCACTCTGGAAGCCCCCTAAATGACAAACAAAAAGTAATAATAGCCAGTAAGTGCTGATAACCAGGCCGGAGGATGAATCGGCTCTTTTGGGTCATATACTGGATGGTCTTGATAAAGCAACATAATGCCTGACACAAACGAACAGCTCACCCGAAATGGCAAACGAATATTTGCATAATTGACTTCTAATATGCCGACTCTGGTCGTCAGTCTCTGTCTATGTAGCCCAACCCTGATTTTCGATGCAAACCACATATGAATATCAGGTTTAGCTCCAACCACCCACTCTCTCGATGGTGATGGTGATGAGCTCTCGGATAGTCCGAGTGGGTTGCACCCACGCCCTCATGGCTGTAAAGATTCAACAGCTCAGGGACTGTCAGAGATTTTGTGCTAATTTCATATTTAATCAGATAAGCAAACGAGTTAACGGCCAACGATTAGCTCCAGTGGAGCTCAGATGGGACATCGTAAATCAGAAATTCCCTCCTAAATGCCATCACTTTCACATAATTAATTAATCCCAATGTCCGAGATGTATAGTTTGTTTTGGTAGCTGCCATCGGGGCGGCTATATAACAAATAACAAGTGTCGAACAAAACATAAACAAGACGGGCGCCATTAATCACTGTGATTTATGCTGTGCATGTATTTAAAACTAAAACTGAAACTAAAACAGTCCTCTTGTCTTATTGAATATCTTTTTTGATTCGCAACTTCAAATCTGGACTGTTACACTTGTTAATTAAAAGGGCCAAGTCGCCGAGATATGCAAATGGCTAAAAGCGTGTTGACATTTCCATCATTATGGGTTCTATTTCGGAATCCATAAACATACAACTTGACTTTTATGTAGATACACCCCGAGTGTGTGTGTCTCGAACACCCTGACTAACTCCCACACACACACATCGCATCGGTTGAAAATCGGCGGGAGAGATGGGGAAACCCGTTTGGAAAAGCAAACTAGTTTCGTCTGTGACACACAACCGACCCAATCGAATCCAATCCAATCCAGTCCGGGCTGCCAGCAACAAAGCAATAGCAACAAGCAAAAAAAAAAAAAGCCAATAGCTTTGAACGGTGCTTAGACCAAGTTTCATGGGCATGTACATACAATTTGCACTGTACGGTGTACAGTGTACCGTGAGTGCATATCCATTTCTGAGCCTTCGAGCGTGTGTGTCTGTTATTTTGCTTCTTTTTTCTTTGTTTTTGGTTTTGTTGGAGCTTAGTTGTTGCTTTTGCGAATGCATATGAATAATATTGGCACAGAGTTTTTCACTGTTTTCTCGCTTTCCATGACTCTCCCTCTAGTGGGTAACCTGTTCGGCTAACGTGTCGTATACGTGATAATTGATTATTAAATTGCGATTCTAATGCATGTGGGTGCATTTTTCCATAAATATATGCAGATATAAGTGTGACCTAAGACTTTTCAGGTTTGCTAAATTGCAAATCATTTCAAATTGGAAATATACTAAATGGATTTAATATTTTTTGTATGATAGCCGGTACCTTTTGCTCCTTCTTGAGTATGTAATACCTGGCACTGCTTACTCCTGCCTCTTTTAACAAATACCTTGTTTTGTATAACATTTGTTACAAAATGTGGTTCCCCCAGAAAACCTCAACTCAACAGAACTGACCACACCAATCTGCCAACTGGCAGAGACTTTCCGCGCCAACTGTTGTTAACGTGCAAGATCATGGAGCGTGGCGATTAAAAGATAACGCAGAACTGCTGAATGCTAATGTTTACTGTCGGTCAATGGAGGCGGTGGTGTGCGAAGTGTTCACCGTACTGCCACTGATGTACTGCTGGGCAATTTGTATCTGCCGGATGCACGAACGACGCAACTCTTTACGGTGTTCGGCTTATGTTAATTGCGGCCAATTAATTGCTGTAAGCTAATTTTGATTTCCTCTGTATTTTTTTTTTCGCCAGCCAGAGCACAAACTAAGCCAAATTAATAAATTAACATAATTAGCAGAAACACACTCGGCCGCGGGAATAACAATAAATTCAACTGTAATTTCAACTCCGCCCCCGAATGACTTGGAACTCTGGAAATACATTGTATTGTGCTCTGCAGCTCTGGTGAGTGTCAACACGGCCCCCAAACAGATTAAAACAAAAGCTGGTAAACAGGCAAATAAATTAGCATAAATGGTAGAATGCCATAGAGAGAGACGGACGGCAGTCGGCCGTAAGAGATAGCACATGGGGGGGAGTCGAATAGAGACAGAGACAGCGCCCCAGACAAAGACAGAGTGAGAGCCCGCCAAACAATAAGCAGGTAAACAACTAAAGTGGAAAAAACGTCAGGTGTTATAGAAATGCAAACTGAAAACAACCAAGGCAAATAAAATCTATGAAAATGAAATAATACAATGCTAACATTAACATTAGCTGAGAGAATGCAGAAAAAGTTGGGGAATATTATCAAAGAAAGTTTAAACCAATTTGGTGGCCATAAAACGGAATGGTTTCCCAAAAATGTATGAGTTTTGGAAACTTGTTTTCAACATCAGTAAAATTTGAAACAAATGGGATTAGCTCGGAAGCTGTTTCCATAAATGGGTCACACATACTACCCTATGCCGATCTGGTGGAATCTAAGGCTGGGGCTTATCATTTCGTACACCTTTATACACCTGAGAGTACTTGATTCATATGGCCAGTGGCTCGCAAAGCCCACTCACCCATACTGTGCCACGATTAGCCCACTTGTGTGTGCGTGACACCTTGCAATGCAATAAAAAATATTATAAAAAACAAAACAAAAAACACAAGCATAAAAACAAAGTGCTTGGGTGTGTGCGTAGATAATAAAGACTTGTCTAGAGTCTAGACGTGATAAACTATTTTTTCTATAGTTCCACAGCTCATACACAGTTTAGTTTGCATATAAACAGCGAGTAGAGTACCCATAGATGTAAGTGTGCTTTTTTGCAACCAGCTCCAATGGTGTGGCATATTTAATTAATCTTTCAACTACAAATAAAATTATGGGCAAGTAAGCACTTGTTTGTTAAATGCCAGCTAATGGAGGACCAATAACTAATGGGGCATTCATGCTGAAAAGCCTGAAGAGTGCAGCGCAAGTACCGGGTATTATACAGTCCTTAACCATAAGGCTAGACAACGGCTGTCCTTTCTTGCTTTTTTTGTTGGGTCTTCAGTTGTGTGGGTGGCACGGCAGTACGTGTTCGAAGCCTTCGCTGTCTGGCACTCGAAGCGACACTTTGTCTGCTGATAAAGTGCAACAACACCAGAGCCATAACGCAAACAATCATGACAAAGTGTGGCAAATTATTATTAGGTCTACGCCAGTGTCGGTTACATATCCACACACTCCTATACTCTCATACTCCTGTATTCCAGTACTCAAGTGTCTGGCAGCGACGTCTTTGTGTACAATACTATATGTATATTATTATACAGGCATATGAATGTATACTTTCTTCAGGAGATAATGTGGAATGATAAGAGAGTGTCGTCGAACAATGAGAATAGCCAACTGTTGTATGAGTTTATAGAAATGTTGCAGTAAACATACAGGGACTGGGTTAACGAACTTTCTAGCTAATACTATTCCTGAAATATGTCTGTCTATTTTTAAACATTTTATTTCCCAACTAAATATTATGGGAAATATTTGGTTGACGTTTATAAACCTGTGGCGCAAAAATGTGTCACTAATTTAAACAAATTGGCCAGGAAAACTATAAAAATAGTAGTTGATAGTTCTCGGTCGGATTTATATATTTAGTTGGATGGACGAGCGTCAGAAGTGTGTTTGACTTCCTAATGGTTAAAGTGTGTAGATGGTTGGTGGGTGATTCGTGCATTTGTGATTCGATTGCACTTGTCGCATCATTGTCTCACTCGTTCAGTCATCCAATCAGTCAGTCAGTCAGTCAATCATTCCGTTTACCACTCGGCCAAAGGCGAAAGCCTTTTTGGACTCCTGCCAGAGTGCGAATGGCGCACATCTGTTTATTTTGATATTGCTCTCATGCCACGGTGACTGACTGACTGAGTGACTGACTGGCACCACCCTCCGCCCGGCCAGAGGCCAACCCATCGCCCACCGCCTCCTCGCTCGGATCTGTCAGCTTGTGTATTTTTATACAATTTATATTTTCATTGCGTAAATAAAATTCTTTGCCTGCTGCAGATGGCTTACGGCCGTCGGGTGTTTGTGCGCTATGTCACTCGGATAGGCGAATGATAATTAAAATTATTATTTTTCGCTTTGATTTGCTTGCAGCTGCACTCGCAGGAAAGTGCATTCAAGGGGAAGGGAAATACATATTAAAATTAATACAATATTAAATCCAAACAAAGACTGTATGTGGCATTTATTGATGAAGCCAAAACATCTGTAACGCATTGTTTTTGCAATTAAATAGTGCTTTAGACACATTGTGCCAGTTTCGTTTAATTCAATTAATTTCAAGTCGCAATTACTCGACATTTGCATCAATTTCGCTGATTAGCTGACCCAGTTTCATGTTTATAAAATGTGAAAAAAAACAACAGACCTTCTAGTCACTAGCGCTATGTTATCTATTGTAGAGCTTGAGTCCATCCAAAAAAAAAATGGAAATAAAAGAAGAGAAAAATAAGGAAAGTATTCCATGCTGGCTGCTTATCAAAGGCTTATCACGGGTACCACAAAAATTCCACACTCCCTCCCCACACGCTCCTCCAGCTCTCAACTTGCAGTGGAGCCCTAAAACTGCGCACTAAAAAGTTGTATTTTTCAACTGTTGGCCAGTTGCTATGCTGATAATTAAAAACAAAAAATCTCAACTTCAAATAATACTTTTATATTAAGTTAAAAAAGTATGCAATGCAATGTTTAATTAAATTCATTGTTGGATTTAGTTAAACATTGTCGAGTCAACAAAAAATATAAAAAACAAGTCTGAAAAGCAAACAGAAGGGAAATATTAATGAATTAAAATGAGAAGCTAGGTAGGGTTGGGGGGAACTAAAGCTATGTTCAGATTAAGTTTATAATTAAATCCTATCAACCAACTACCACAAGGAATCTCTGCAACTCGGAAACCTAATATTCTGCATTCGCACAAAACAGGAATTAATTATAGTGCTTGTTGCCTTTTATTATTTCTTGTTCATATTTCTAGGGTGTTGTTTTACTAATTGATTTATTAGAAACCCAATAAATGTGGAGTAACTCAATGGCTGTTGTCTTGTTTTTGAATGCATCCACAAGACTATAAAGTGGAGAGGTCCACGTGAAGCTTATGCAACCCTAGAACTCCCTTAAATAGACTTGGCATTTTGCAGCTCTGATTTAAGAACCTTTTAATACTCACATCTTGAGAGATTTGTCCCATATCCGCGTAGTAATCAACGGCGTAGTACATGAGTCTGCCGGAGAGTATCGGAATCGGAGGTCGAAGTCGTTGCAGCTCCGATCAAAATAAAGAAATAACCAGTTTTTGCCTGGCTCTTTGTTTATGGAGCCACACGAAAGTGGAGCAGCAGCAGCAGCAGCCGGCCACAAAACTCAACCCAAGTCGGCTCAACAGAAATGAAATGAACTCAACTGGCCAGGCCAACACGAAATGCACCAGGCTGGCAACCAAAACCAAAAGGAGGAGGCTCGTCTGCGGATTGGATTGAGCAAAAACCAGATTTTCTTTTTCTCAGCTTGTTCAGTGTTCACTGTTCAGGGTCTCCCTTGGCCAGGTTTTCTCTGTGCTTCTCTGCAGTTGCTTCTTGGACTTTTTGGTTGCTTTTCTATATATATATATATATTTTTCTCAGAGATTTCTGATTTTGTCAGGGCAATTAAGGTGAGTTTTAACCAAAAATCAACAAAACTTCTCGGCAAGGAAAATCAGCACTGTCTTCGGTGGGCTTTCACTTTCGGCTTGACAGTTCCCAAGAAGTTTCAGGAAAATATCAGAGGTCGCGGACGCGGATTATGATTGAGACACTTGTAGGTATAGCTGGTCCTCCTCAATATGTTCTTCTCATCAATGATAGCGATCCCCTGATTCGAGTGACTGAAGCAATTGCAGTTGCAGCTATTGATGTTCTTTTGGTTTTTGGTTTTCATTTGACAATCTTTGTATCTGATGCCTCGGATTCCTCTTGGCGGTTTTCTTGGGGCGATACAATAGTGAAGCTCCTCAGGTCGGCAGTTCGCTCAGTTGACTCTGTTGTTGGTGGTAACTGCGGAAGACAGATCAAGAAAAAGAGAGAAAAGGTCGTTAACTGAATGATCTTAATTAATTACCATATCACAGCTTTATCGCCTCACAGTCCTCTTCTCACTTCCCACAGCAACAACTCGACTCGTTTTCAAACCCAATCCTCCTCATCTCCAACTTCAATTAGCATTCAAATGCCAGTCAAAATATTCAGTTTTTTTTTTGTCGACTGCTTTCTTTTTTTTTAGGGTTTTTTTTTAATATTGGCTTTCAAGTTTTATTTGCCAAGCCTACACACAGACAGCAGAAAATCGCGCAATGCCAAAAATAAAAAGTAAACATCGAATACAAAGCAAAAACGCAACGAACAAAAAATTGGTAAACAAACAGGGCCCAGGCCCCAGGTCCAGTGTGGAGGAAACACGGAATCGGGAATGGGAATGCCAAACGAGTTTGCTCCTCTTCCTGGGGCAAGGTAAGACAACAAAGCAACAAAAAAAAAATAAAGATAATAATAATAATAATGGTATAGAGTATGGAGTATGGGGTATGGGGTGGTAAAAAGTCAAGATAAATGTGAAACCGAAATTAATATCAAGTGCAAACATCGCATTTTTGGCATGCAGACGCAAAGTGACAAACAAACAGCCGCATCACACACAAAAAACAACCAAATACAACAAAAGTTTAACCAATAACCCAGCAGACACAATCACCGAATAGCCGAGGGATGATAGAGTTACAAGCATGGATAATCTTTTGCGGTTTCACTAGACCCACTAGTATATACCCACTAGTCTAGTATAGTCAAGGCATCGGGGCAATCGAGACAGCGTCATCAAAACGAATTACACAAACGTGACTCTGACATTGTAGGCGGCGGCTGCACTGGAATAACAAACAATAACAACCAGCCGCGCTTGTAACCCTAGCCAGCCAGTTGGCGAACACTCGAATAACATAAACAACGTTACAAAGTTTCCTATTAATAATTTTTTATTATTGACAACGTCATGAGCATACTAAACGCTTCACCGATTCCGATTCCGATGTCGAATACCAAAACCCAATTCCCCCTCACGAAAGTCAAGCAAAAACTGAGGCAGAAGCTACGTTTCGAACAGCTGGGCGCGATTGGTTAACAGATGTCTGAAAAACAAAGTGCCAAGAGTTGTCGCTGGTGTTGGTTTGCCCAACTGATTAGCAACAATATTGAACTAAACTTCGGCCTACTCCAGCCCATACCAGCCTAGACCAGACAGCGCAGTGCACTGCAAGGATTTCCTTGGGTAGCTCAAGATATATTCAGAAATAAATTCGATAACGATTTTTAAAGCTCTCTAAATTCATTATATGAATAATGTAGATATCTAAAATATATATTTTTAAAAACTCATCCCAACATCACTTATTTTTCCCCATTTCTCGATGTGTTTCTACTTGAGAATCTTGTTCACTGTTGACTCTGTGTAAACGTATTTAATTTATCCACTCACACTGCTCGAATTGTGAATTATACTACGGATGCTGTAAACGAACTCTGGTGCGTTGTGACATTGAACGGCGTTCACAAAGACACAGCTGAGCCAGAGCTGAGCCAGAGGCTAGGCCTAAGCGTTGACGCTCTGCGTCCGCCATGCGTATGAGCGATATTATCACGTATACGCATGGTATACATGGTAAACAACATCTTGTCCGGCACTGTTTTGGTTATCGACTGATTTCGGGGGTGGTACATCATTCGAGCTTGACTGACCAGAAACCACACTGCTTGTGTTGGTAATTAATGTACAAAAGTACCTTTCAGTGGTCGTTTCTGATTTAATTAGTTTCCAGAATGGCTGCTAGTCTATGGCTAGGTTGGGCAATCGGGAGCAAACTTTTCGCTATTTGCAAAATTAAAATTTGGGAAAAATATTTTGTTTGCTGTGCGAACAAACAAACAAACAAACTTCAGAATGCCCAGAATGCACAGCTGGAAAATAATACTGCATAAAGCATTTCATTTACGTCATGGCGTGCTTTTGTGCCTTTGTTTGCCAGTCAGACATTATATTTTTGCCTTTTTTGACATCCAACTATCAAGTAACCGAATACCTCTTTAATTAACTGATTTTTTAATAACAATTTAATGGTAAGAAGAGTCTCTATGAGTACTATGCTCTTGGCTATAATTAAATGAACATAGAATGTAATACATAATGAAGCCTGCCTGTCGGCATTCCTGTGGTCAACTCTCGAATTCCTGGACATGAATTCCTATTCCCATGGATTCAAATTATGTGCCAAATTTTAGTAAATTCTCCACCTATGGTATTTAAATGGAATTTTGTAATGAAATTACATTTTAATTCCAAAACATACTCATTGCTCTACAAGTCACTAAAATGTAGAATATTTTGTGATTTTTGAAAATATCAAAAAGTGGGGAAAAATAACTAGTTTTGTAGTGAAGGGCTATCTTGGGACTGTCTTGGGACTCACCATGTGCAACTACGATTGCTGTCAGTCCAAGTCGCCGATTGCCAAGCGCTTGGCGGCCCGCCGCCTCCTCGAGATAGAGGAGGAGGAGAGCCGGAAGCCAAAGATAGTGCTGGCAACGCCCCAGAGCCTGCTCTACCGCTACGACATCGTCGAGGTCATGGCGGCATATATAGTCTCGGTCAGCGAAATCCGACCCAAGTATGGTATCATCAGCGGCGCCCTCCTGACCCCCATTACCAGCCTGATTGAAGATCCCGTGTCCATTCCCTTCGAAAACATCCCGCATTTCCCCCTCAGCCACCTGGGGGACTGCAAATTCCTTGTCGGCTATGTGATGGGCGCTCCTGTTATCGCCATGGCGGATCGCTTCCACCAGTATGACGGATACCCAATGGCCACCTGCTCGCTGCCCGTCCGAGTGATGCAGTTGTGCGGCGTGAAGACCATTATGCTGACCTGTTGCTCTTTGGCTGCCAATCCCAACTACCAGGCGGGCGACATAATGCTAATCAAGGATCACATCAACTTCATTGGCATGATGAGCCAATCGCCCATGGAAGGACCCTCCGACCCGCGCTTCGGTGCCCGATTCTTTCCCATGGTCAATGCGTACAACGCGGACCTGATTAAGGCTGCCCTGGAGATCGGCAAGGCTATGGGCATCAACAAAGCCCTTCACTCCGGGGTCTTTGCCTTCTGTGGAGGACCTCATCGAATGTCCGTCAGCGAGGAGAGTTTGCTGCATCGGTTGGGCGCGGATGCCATTGGGCCGTCGCTGGTGCCCGAGGTACTGGCCGCCCACCATGCCGGCATCAAGATCTTTGCCTTTGCGTTCATCACTGTGGTGGCGTACAGTAGGCCAACCGAGGACGAGGACGAGGATCACCGGACGGCGGCAAAGGCGGCAGTAGAGAGCGCAGAGGTCACGCCCCAAAAACGTCAGGCCTGCACCGATTTGATCGGCCGCCTGATCTACCACATGCACCATGAGAATGTGGACTCGAATTGCCCAAAATAGATTTCTCGAAACGCCCCACCATCTCTCGGCCAGCGATGTGTTGTTTTTCTGTTGGCAACGCGGAAATAGTGACAGGTGCAGCTGTTGCCGCAAATATCCGAGAGGGACGAGTGCTTTCGGCAAGGGAGAGGGTGGTCTAGTGGCTAGTGGATAGTCGATAGTGGGACGGAAGATAGGTGCAAGTGTGCCTGGTGTCAAGCTGTCTAATGGATGGCCCAAATGGACAGCAATAAAAAGCGCAAAGTGCTCGTATTAGAGTACACTGGGCGTATACGTAATGCAATAGCGCGCACATACTCGAGATGTTCGTGGTTTAGTCATCTTGCCCAAATAGGTTTTATGGCAATTAGCAAGGAATGAAATTCGAACTACATTGTTGCGTTGGCCCAGCAAGTTTATTTGGTTTTAGGGCTTTAGAGTTAAGTAATGATGTAATAACTGAACAAGATAATAGCTTATCGATCATTTATTATTAATTTAAGCTTAAGTCAACTTAAGTCTTAATGTCTACTTCTTTGTTGCCAACGGGTATGATTGTCAAAACATGAGCTGTCGTATTATGAAATTATTCATAACTTTTGCGCTTCATTTGCTTTGTTGGTTATCAGTGAGACGCTTTTAACTCAACTCCTTGGCCATTATTCCGTAATGACAATTATGAACTTGGCTTCGACTTCTTTGTTCGTCATTGTTGCCAATTTTATCATTTCCCCTTGTAGTGGTGGTGGTGGTGGTGATGGTGCAGTGCAGGCGATGACGAACGAACTTGCTGGCTGGCTTATTGACGCTGATTGCTCAGATATATACAAGTAAGTGCATATATAGCTCGGCTAGCAGCAGGGAAGGGGTACGAGGGGGCAAAAAGCGATAGCCACGAGCTGTTTGCCTCGCGATTTGTGTTTTACGTTTTTGCTAGCTGGGCGATCATGCGGCTAGAGAGAGAGAGATTTCCCCGCGATTGAGATTTGTGCGGTTTGTACAATGTTTCGGCTTGTGGCATTACGCTAATGAGTTATTTGCGGCCAGTTCATTGACCCGACCAGCCGATATACATATGTATGTACAAGTGTTTATTGAAAACGCGTTGGAAAATGTTGCAATTTGCAACAAGTTCTGGCTCTCTGTCTGTTTGCGGCTATCTATCTCTATCTGGCTTTTCGTGGGCCAGTTCAGTGCACTGGCATTACAATTTAATTTTAAATATCAAAAGCATTCGGGGCATTTGTGCGTGAATATCAATGTGCCAACAATGGCAGTGCCAGAACCCAGCAGCTGATACGCAGATATGCATCTGAAACCCATACAGAGACAGAGATACAGATACAGATAAAGACTCTGATGCAGATGTATCGCATAGTTTTGCCATTTCGATTGCCCCTCCGAACAACATCTGCCTGTGGTTTTTGGCAATTGATTCGTCAACAGTCACAGGGGCCAGGCACGGTTTTCGGGGCATTGTTGCTGCTGACGCTCCTGAATGCAGCTACTGAACGCTGATGCAATTTAAATGGCTGGCTGATACTCACTATTCTGCGAAATGTGTATGCCTGTTGCTCAATCAACTGACACCACAAACTAAGCTAATTACATCGCCGGGAGGTGCGGATGATTTGGACATATTTCGAATGGCTTTCCCATCAACCCCGTCACATTTCACGTTCAACTCTAGGCTCTCATCTGGCGGAGACATTGTGGTAACCCACAAACTTCATAAAACCATAAGGTAATAAAACATTGTTTTCTTCTGATAGTTTTTACCGCAACTGTTGCCAGGTATTCTAATCAACCGCCACAATGTTTAAGATTAGATTTTTCATATATTAACATGATATACCTATAAATCACTATAAAATACGGGAAATCCAAGTGGACTTTAGATTGGCCAATATTTGTTATATTTTATTGAAAGGAAACTAAGCCCTCCACGGCCATAAAATGATGAGTCAGTAGTAGTACTACTGACCAGACCAAAACACTGACTAATATACCCAAAGGTCTTTAGTCTTGAGAGGGGAAAATGGTTATTTCTTTGAGTTGATTGTTCACAAGAGTGTGGGTGTCTGCTTGTTATAAAGAAAAGTAGCAAATTGTAGAAAATTGTACAAAATAAATGGCATGCTAACTAAGGCAGAGCCGGAGCAGATGTTGGCGTTGCACTTGCTGCTGCGGCTGTTGTTGAAAGTTCAATAACCTCGTTTTGCGCCCATAGAAATGACTGTAATTTAAGCAAAAGTGTACATAAAAGGCTTTTGTAGTTATTAAGAATTTGTAATTTAACAGACAAATATATATTGTGTTAAATAATGAAATGCTATGAAGTTTAAAAGCATTTGTTCTTTAAAGCTCACGGGCCATGCATTTTCTTCCTGTGCAGTATTATGAGTGGTGGGCTATGGCCGTGTTTAAGTAATACAAAAAGCATGTTGAATAAATGATGCGAATGGTCACAGGTCGTTGTAATCTTTCTCATTTTTGTTTCGCCTTTAGCCTGTCGTATTTTCAAAAGGGAAAACCGTGCAGTTTTGGGAAACATTTCAGTTGACGATTGATTCCGGATCGAAAGCCGCTTAAAATTGATTGCAACATTGAATGGAAAACACATTTCAATTGCCCTCTCTTCAAGTAGTTCAAGTGATTTCCCATCGCACACCATTGCAAACACTCGCCAACACACACACCAACACCAGCGACCAACAATCTTTAATGCGCCTGGCAACGACTGTGTGTGTATAGCTTTCCGGGAGCAACAGTTGTTTAAATGCAATGTGTGTGTCTCTCCGTTGTAGTGTGTGTGGGGAAAATGCATGTATGGGTGACGGGCACGACGGCATAGCAACCGTTTATCATAATTGGCATTAACTGCTAGCTGTTCTTCAATTCTTTTTGGCCCGCAGCCTAGGGGAGATATTACGTATACGCGGGGTTGGCTTAAAGAACTCACCCCCAGCACATGTACACATTTCATTAATTATTTCATCAGATTTCATTGGGTTATACGAGTATTTAATATTTACGTAAAATTTTAATTAAAGAGCGCTCCTCACTTTAATTATTTGCCAATGAAATTAAGTTAATTATCGCCCACACTTAATCAGTAACTGATAATGGGTTAACAAGCTGAAAAATTAGTCGTATGATTATTTAAGTCTCGAGTCCCGACTTATCGAACGAAGAAATGGAGGAGAAAGAGTGCGATGAAATAGTTGAGAACAAACGGATAATGAAAACGGTAAACAAACGAAAGCAACAAAGTGAATAAATGCTCTGAGCAAATTACCAAAAACTGCTGTATGAAGCAACCTCACAGATACAGACACAGAGTCACACATACTGCCACACAGAAGCGAAGAAATAAAAATGGACGGGGGGGCGTGACAGAGGGGGAAAGAGAGGGCGAAACGCACACAAAACATGCTGCTTAATTTAGATTCCCGTGCGGTAGGTCAAGTGCCAATTTCCTCAACTCGAAATTGTGTGGCAAAAGCAAATCAAATTCAGTTTGAATTCAGTAAAAATTTGATGAGAATTGTCGAGCTGCAAGCCTTGTGAGGTTTCCATCCGTTAGCCACTCGGAATACCTGTTGCTGAGGCTGCTAATACATCCCTCAGTCTTGGTCCTGTCAGAAAAACGGTACAAGGACCCGCAAACTAACCACAGACTCTTCGTCACACAGGAAGTCGGCCGTACTTTTTGGAAAATGGAAATGGCAAGAATGCTTTCAGGACTAATGCCAGAAAGCAGAAAACAGAAACAGAATCGGCAAGTAAGCTTCCAATCAATCCTCAGAGTCATACACTGTGACAAATAGCTACATAGCTTACATATGAAGCATTAAGTGAGATAAATCAATAAAACCACTTAGTCTTATCTGGTTATTTGCATATTTTATTGTTTACAGCTGTCCTTAAAAACAACAATCCTGAAATCAACCTATTAATGAACTATTTTTGCTCAGTGCACCCTATACCTTAACCATTTTTTGGTCAAAGTCCTGGTCAAAATCGAATAATGGACCCTTGTTTTTGGCCGGAAAGCCTCTTACACTGATGGCCTCCGCCTAACTATCCATTTGCACCGCCAGCCCCGCAAGAAATCTAAAAGTGCCTCTCTTTCTTGTGGCAAGTCCCTAAAAGTAAAGCTATTATGAATTTTGAAGGATATTGTACTTACCACTGGAACTACGTATGACTCTCTTCTTCATTTACTTGGGAGCTTTGCTTTTTTTGGCGTTTAGTCTCTTTTTAGTTTTATTTTCTTTTATAAAGCAAGTTTGCTGATAAAGCAAGTTCTAATACGATTCCCTGCTCTTCTTTTGATAAACAACTTTTTTTTTTGTAGATGTACATACATATATTTTTGGGGGAAAAACTGAAAAATTGTTTGAAATAAAAAATTAATAAAAAGTTGCGCGAGTGTGAAAAGACACGGTTTTTTTTTTTTGTGTTCTTAAGCATGCTCTTTTTGATTTACGGTCTTGGCCGCTCATTAATTATGTAAGTTGAACGAAATTTCCCCTCGAAATCGATTGCATTTGGCGCGAAAACACAGACAGACTGCGAAAAATGGGAACAATAACAACAACAACAAGAACAACTATAGCAACAGCAATAAACGAAGATAACAATAATAGTTTATATTTAAATTTAAAAGCAACAACAGCAACGGCCAGCATCGTTTAATTTGTTTACGCGGCTCGAGTTCGTTGTTATTCGTCTATGAGGCCAATCTAATTTATGCTTTTGCATTGTTGTTGTTGTTTCAGTTTCAGTTTTTTAGTGCGCCAGTGTGTGTATGCTTTCGGATTGAGTTGTTTTTTTCTCTTTGCCAGTAGCTTTTGCCCGGCACACTGAACAAGAAATTTCTGTAGTAATTTTCCATGCAATAACAATGATTTTCGCTTTTTTTTTCATGTATACTTTTTGTTTTTATTTTAAAATTTTATTTTTGGCCGTGTACACAGCGCTATCACTGCATTCGCCGACCGATATTTAAACCAAAAATGTGCGAAATTTACCAAGCCAAAATAAGAGTACAAAATAAAACAACTAAAAACCGAACAAAAACCGAAAAACAAAATAAAAACGGTTATCCGATTTTTCGGATATTGCCGATTTGCCGCGATCTTCTGCTAAGGTGGGGGCGGGAAAGTGGCGGTGGCTGTTATCGTGTGCGTGCGGTGCAGACGCCCAATCGCTCTGCGCGTTGACTAGCGGAACAACCGTGCGCGGCCAGCGATAAACTTTGATTGAAACAACAGGCAAGCCAGCAAACCGAAATCTGCCCCAACAACAGCTGACGACGGAGCAGCAGAGCAGCCGATTGGGGAGCCGATGGAGGAGCCGAGCCGTCGGACAGCCGAACAGCACCCGACGCACAAACACAATTGCAGTAAGCTCATTACGAGAGAGAGTGAGGGCGCTCGAGTGGGTGGAGAGCGGGAGGAAGAGCAGCAACAGGCAGGCCACGGTTACATGGGTGGGTCGGGTGGCAGTGGGAATGTTGAGGGGGTCAATAGGCTCATGAGAAACACTCCGACAATATATTGCTGCTTTGGAGCTGTTACTCAGGGTTACACTGCGCTCACTATACCCTACTCTGTTGGGGCTATAAAAGTAAGACCAGTAGCTAATTAAAATAGATTTGATAACTAGACTATAAAATTAAAAATAATATGATAACCAGATTCAGAATCTTTATAAACCTCTTTAGTATGAAGGAACCTTACCTTATGTAAATTTTACATATCTAAAGTAGCCCATAAGTAGGCAATAAAATCTGACACAACCTTGAAACAAGAAAGACAATTCAAAAACCATTTTTTTTTATTTAAAAAATTAGTTGTATAGTTGTACTGTAGTGACTTGGGCCTGTCTTCTAGCCCCAATCGAAATGTACAGTTGTTTTTCTGTCTTGGGAGTCTCTTCTTTTCATATTTTTTTTATTCAACATGTGTATGTGAAGAGCACATGTAAAAAAGCAACAACAACAGCATTAAGAGCAGCAATAATAGGCGACAGAATCAACATGAGCACGGCAACAGCAACAACAATAACAACGAGCCACTATCGCATTGACAACGAAGCGACAACAACGACGCTTCATATGATTGAACTCTTAAATGGCTGAGGCCTATAAAAACTGAGTGTATGTGTGTTTGTAGCACATATCTTTGTGTTTGTAGACGCGAGAGTAGATGCAAATGTGTGCCGCTCAATTATCAACGGTTTTGTTTGGCCACCCTTTCCACCCGCTGCTCGCCCCAGACAATGCAAACCTTCCCCGTCGCGACGGGTCTCTGTTTCTTTGAGGCGCTAGAGCCCAACGAAGAGTCAACAATTGGCGAACTCTTAAATCACTACGGAAACGCCGAACGTGATGTTAACGGTCCACATTTGATATGATCTTTTTGAAATTCTATCTTACAAAAATTTATTTAAAGTATTATGGGTTCATGTGTGTTTGTATGCCCCTTAGTGCATACTAAGGATTATCAAGAGAAATTTGATTTTAAACATATCACTCATACGCCGTGTTGCCTTAACATGGATTGTGTGTAGAATACTAATAAACCTTCCTTTAAAATCAAAACCTAACGTTATTTTTAAGACATCATTAAAAGAATAAAACAAGAGCCCCTCATAGTTCGGTTTAGAGCAAAGCTCCACTGCAGTTCAACAGACAAACAGAAAAGATGCTATAGACCCCGGGCTTTGTTGACTCTACTGATATATTTTCCGGCTCTTGCTTCAAGTTTTCCGCCACACCCTCGCCAGCCCCTTGGCTCACGAGCGTTGCAATAAGTGCCGGCGATAAATAAAGTGCCCGTCCCCATTTTCATAGTTAAATCGTGAGACAATAAAATGCAAAAAGCACTGAAAACGATGAGAAATTAATAATAAGCGAGTGCAAAGTTCTGTTTCAAACTATTATAGGCCGAATGCTGAAGATTTGCATTAAAGTGAAGCAGAAAAAAAATACGTTCTTATCGGTAATGGGAGCAACAGCAGAAGCGAGTCAGTCTGATAACAATGCTGATACTGAACACACACAAAATACATACCACGATGTACCTACCGGTGTTCGTATGTACGCCTGTAGATTATTATTATTATTGATTAATAAACAATTTTCTCACACACACTGGAAATGGGTAGAGGCTGTGAGAGTGTGTGGGCGCAGGCCAATCAAATGCCGGAGTGTGTGCGTGTGTGTTGGTGTGGCGGCGAAAGACGCGGCGACCGATAAGGAATGACCGATTTAGTTCTATAGTTCATATAGCGATAGCCAACATCACACTCGATTGACCCATTAAGTTGGGACGACAAACATGAAGGCATATGTTCATATTTTTATTTTTACTCGTAAAAATAAAAACAAAAAAGTAAAAAGTAAAAAGTAAGCATTTCTAATGAGTTTATACAATGAAAAGAAGCTTAAATAGGCTTAAAATTTTGATAAAATAAAACTAATCAATCAATAAATTATTCTATCTGTTAAAAAAAGCCTTTATTGTAACGAAAAGAGCTTGAAGAGTGGTATAGTCATCAAAAGATTAAGCATACAAACCACTTATATTATTAAAATACTTTTAAATAAGTTTTAGCTTTCATAATGTCCAATAAAATCTTTTATATTTACACAGTCTTGTTATTGATTTCGAAGCATTCGAAGCTTTGCAAGCTTCAGATGAAAATAAAAAGGTTGTCTGATGAATGCCTTAAATAATTAAATATGCCTTAAGTTATTAAATAAAAATCATTGAGTTCCACAATTAAAAGAATGATTTTCTGACCGTCCCTACCATATAGACATTTTTTGGAATATTTATTGAAGCAGACATATCAGACATCGAAAAACTCGATGGAAAACTACACGTGCAACATGCAATAAAGGATTTTTCCGAGTTGCAATTGCACGGAACACAGCATTGCTAACCCGCAGGCAACATGGCTGTAAATGGTCTTGTTTTTTTATTTTGTTTTGAGGGGGTAATCGGTGGCATTTCAGACTTTCACCTTGGGTGCACACGTAAATGGTGCTGGCGGGACTGGGTACTGAGATAGGAACCTCAACCCTTTTGCGAACACACAGTGAAATGGATTGTGGAATTAATGTTTCAGGAAAAAAAATTGGCGAAACAGAATCAGGGCCGGGTATTCCTGTTTCGCATCCGTAGGTTGGCATTTAATTGCCCCGCAAACCGTTGCGAACAACTACGAACCGAGGTGGATATGGAAGGATGTAAGCGGGCCGGACCAGTGGGTGTTTAATTTTGGCTTGTGGACCATCAGTTGTAACCCGATAGACGGACAGTGCTCGCATGCATGAGCACACCCACGACCCTTTTAACTGGCTTGTGTTACACAGTTTGCCTTAAGCAAATACATCTCAGCGATGCGTTAACCGCCAGAGCCACCAATCCCGCCCACTTAACTCTGGTTGACCCGCCCACACATTATCCACTCCATACACCACGCGTACGCATCGGTGACGGCAGCACCGGGCTTTAATCTGCCTCGCAAATTGGCCATGAGCTGATTGGTTTTTACCTGTTGCAAATTTCTACCATTCTCACCCCATCTAACCATTGCAACGGGATTCATTCAATGCAACTCATAAACTCATGAATTGTAGTTGCAATTAAGTGCATGTTATGTTTGAATTCACCCTTAGGCAATGTAATTGAACATTAACATGAGTAATGTAACAAAAACAAACATAAACATTTAGTTTAAATGAGCTATTCTTAAAAAAATCGCTTTATTTTCTACAAGTGGCTATTAGGTTTCGTTTTTAATGGGCTTTGTTAAATGGAGTTTTAACAAAAATCATGCATTTTATAAAGAAAATAAAAATAAATCTTTTTAATTATTTTATTTCAATTTTAATTTTTGAATTACAGAAAATAACAGGAAAGGGGCTAAACAGGAAGTACTGTCTCCAAATCGGCAGTTACAAAAGCTAGTTTTTGAACTTTAAATTTTATCGATATTTTTAGAGATGACACTTCCCCCAAAGTTTACGACACCTTAGCCAAACACAGCTGTTTTTCTCTTCCTCTTCTACTTACGGTGGAATTTTGTGCTTATTTTGTTAAATTTTTGCCGGTTATCACATAAATGGCACCTCCAAGGGCCACCAGCCACCGTCCGGCGGTTCGGCGACGAAAATCCGTCAACTTTTTCCAGTCCCTGCTGGATAAATATCTAAACATAAGGTTCTTTAAGTACCTGTTTCTGGAACCGGCCGCTGTGCCCTTAGTTGGCGTTTTTATTTTGTTGGCCGAGTCCGTCATAAACCTAATAGTTATCCGGCATGTTCCATATACAGAAATTGACTGGGTGGCCTATATGCAGGAGTGTGAGGGATTCCTAAACGGCACCACCAACTACGCCTTGCTCCGTGGTGAGTTTCGTGGACCATATTTCGAGTTTATTTTTAGCATCCAGCAGGCGACAGGTGACCCATTTGGGTCCCATTTTGGGCCCTGATCCTGCACCTGCTTATGTAAATATATGTATTAACTTTTCATTATCTATTTACTTTCCGGGAAAATAGCTTTTAATATTTTGAAACTAATGGTTTGAGAATTCATGAATTTTTTTAAAATATTTTTTTTACAAAATATGTTTTTGGGCAAAATGTTTTTAAGTACTCCATTTTGAAGATCTAAACATATATTTACCAAAATAATATACTTTTTCTGTTTTATTTAAATTGTAAAGCAGTTTCTCAAACATTTAAAGAAAAATTATAAAAAATATATTATTTGCCGCCAAATTTCAAACAAAACTTTAAGAGCTGATGAAATTCTGTTTCCATTTCATGAAATGACTTCAAATGATGCTGTTTTAAAAACAAACTTTCCCTTTTCTTGCCTCGACGGTCAATTTGGTTTATTCTTGTTTGAGTTTCAAATCGTTTGGAATATACACAAAAATATGGTGTACGATACTCCCTCGTATTTCGCCCGGAACTTAGATTAAGCCTTAGCAACAATAACGTGCGTTAACTTAGATACTAAAAAACACAATCGGCCTCCAAGTTGGGCTGCCAACATAACATGGATCAGTTGAACATGGATTTGATTTTGCTTAGGAAGCCTCCGCTGTCGCCTTGTCCGGATCCGGATTCGCTGACGCCTTCTTTCGCTTTGACTTTCTCTTGTTCTGACTGTTGTTGTTGGGCTTTGCCTTCTGTGTGTGTTGCACCTTCTGCTCTAGTGTCTGCTCCTCCGGCTGCGGCTCCGGCTGCAGTTGATGCTGCTTCACTCGCTCCTGCGCTGCAACGAGATTTTTGCGGACAGAAAACAAAGTCCAGAATTTAATTCGGATCGCACATAAAACGCACGCTTATATATTTAAACTACAAATTCAAGCTCCAAGGTAACACATTCAGAGATTGCATTGGTAGATTGGATTTTCATTACGTTGCTTTCTTACTGCCATCTGTGCGCCGTGCAATCCCATGGATTTGTCCGGGCGTATCCTCCTCCAGCTCAGCGTACGCCTCCATCAAGGCCTTCCGTTCCTTGTCTAGTTTCCGGCTGTCCGGCACCGTGATCTTAATGTGCACATAGTGATCCCCATGACCATGCGCATTCACTCGCTTCAGACCCTTGCCGCGCAGCATAATCTTGTGATGTGATGAGGTGCCCGGATCCACATTGATCCACTGATCCTCGTAGACTCCTTGCACTCGAACCGTTCCACCCAGAACAGCCTGGGCCAAAGAAATAGCCACATCGGTGTGTACGTCGGCGCCATCCCGCCGGAAGTAGTCGCTCTTCTCCACGCGGAAGGTGACGAATAGCTCCTTGCTGCCCACTTGCATCCGCACCGTTTGGCCGTTTTCGATGCCGGCCGGCACCGGTACCGTAACCTTACGACGCTGGACAGTCCGGCCTTTTCCCTCGCACTCGCTGCACGGATACTTGATGTGCTGGCGGGTGCCTTGACAATAGCGGCAGGTGGAGCGCATTACAAAGGGTCCCGTGGAAACGGTTTCGAATCCAGTGCCGTTGCAGTACTGACAACGACCTGGCTTGGTGCCGGGCTCACACTTGGTGCCGGCGCACTTGGGGCACTGATCCACTACGTTAACGTTCACATCCTTGTTGACGCCGCGTGCAGCTTGTGCGAAGCTCAGATCCATCACCATCTCCTGGGCCTGGCCGAAACCAAATTTGGAATCCGCAAAGTCGTCAAAGCTGTTGGTGCGGAAGTTTCCTTCGCCGAAGATCTTGCGGAATAGCTCCTCGGGATCGATGCTCGACCGGAACTGCCAGCTTTGTGAGAATCCATCCGGGCCGCCACCGGGGAATCCGCCACCAGGGAATCCGCCGCCCTGCCGACCCATGTTCTCCGCCGTTTGACCATACGTGTCATACTCACGGCGCTTCTGGTCATCGCTAAGGACCTCGTAGGCCTCAGAGACCTCCTGGAACTTGCGGCCAGCGTCGGGGTCTTCTTTGTTGGTGTCCGGATGGTATTTCTTGGCCAGCTGGTAATACGCCTTCTTTATGTCCTTGCCGTTTGCATTTTTTGGCACGCCCAACGTCTGGTAGTAGTCCTTGGCCAGCAGGCTACGAGTGGTGTGGAAATTGCGGGTGGAGGTTGGTCGTAGTGATCCGGTGCTGCCGGGACTCTTCCAGCTCTGATGGGTGAAACAGGCAGAGGTTGAGGAACAGACGGTGGCCACCAATGTGGAGCGCAGGTAGTTGGCTTGGCAGCGTCGCAGCGCCGGCAGTTGCCGAAATACGAACAAATTTTTACACGAAATCATTTTTCCACAAAATTCTCAGTTTTTCAGACAACATGCCGTAACACATGCCAAATACCAAAAGGGATAAAAATACCGAATTTGTTTTTGTACTTTATACCAAAAAGTGTCTTCTCTTGAACATGTGTTGCCATTCGATATCGATAACCGATTATTTTGTTTTGAGAAATTATATCAGGGTCCTTTCGCACACTGGTGGAATTTGAATTTGTAGATCCAACGGAATTTTTTACATAAAAGCAAAAGACAATTAGATGTTATGATGTTATAGTTAAATATAATAGGATTTTTTATTATTATTTTAAATTCATTAGCATTTAAAAATAACTAACATAAAAATAAGTTAAATGTAAAATTTCATATGGTATAATTCTCTTTCCTCAGGTGACACTGGCCCACTGGTTTATCCCGCAGCCTTCGTGTACATCTACTCTGCTCTCTACTTCGTGACCTCCCAAGGAGCTAACGTACGGCTAGCACAGTACATCTTCGCCGGAATTTACCTTCTCCAGCTGGCCTTGGTGCTGCGGCTTTATGCCAAAAGCAGGAAGGTTCCGCCCTATGTGCTGGTGCTGAGTGCCTTCACCTCGTACCGCATCCACTCTATCTATGTCCTGCGGTTGTTTAACGATCCAGTGGCTGTTCTGCTGCTCTACGCCTCCCTTAATCTCTTCCTGGATCGACGATGGTCGCTTGGCAGCGCCTTTTTCAGCCTGGCAGTCGGAGTGAAGATGAATATCCTGCTCTATGCGCCGGCGCTTTTCCTCTTTTACTTAGCCAACCTGGGAGTGTTGAAAACATTTGTCCAGCTGCTCATCTGTGGTGTGATTCAACTGCTGCTAGGGGCTCCTTTCCTGCTTACCCATCCGGTGGAGTATCTTCGTGGAAGCTTCGATTTGGGACGAATCTTCGAGCACAAGTGGACCGTCAACTACAGGTTTTTAACGAGGGAGTTCTTTGAGAACAGGTCCTTCCATTTGTCGCTTTTGGGATTACATCTATTGCTGCTTCTGGTGTTTGCCAAGCCCACCTGGACATTCTTCCAAAGTTATGTGCGCCTGCGACGCGTAGAGGACCAACTGCAGCCCCAAATAGCCCAGAAGAATCGCGAGGTAAAGACCCAGAAGAAGGGCAAGAAGCCGGAGAAGGAAACGGAACAGGAAAACTTCAGCAATGAGCAAAAATCCTTCCTGAAAGCTTTTGAAAAGAGCCTGCAAAAAGCTGCCGGATCAAAGGCGACGCCTACCCCTCCAACGCGATCTGAACCTGAACGTTACGGCATCCACTTCGATCGCTGTACACAACTGGCTCTGCTTCCGTTTTTCCTGAGCAATCTGATAGGCGTAGCCTGTGCCCGATCTCTGCACTACCAGTTCTACGTGTGGTACTTCCACTCCCTGCCTTACTTGGCCTGGTCCACGCCATACTCCCTGGGGGTGAAGTGCCTCATCCTGGGTCTCATCGAGTACTGTTGGAACACCTATCCCAGTACGTACTTCTCCAGTGGTGCCTTGCATTTCTCCCACCTTCTGTTGCTAGCTGGCGTGGCCAAGCAACTCTTCCAAACCATGCGACTGAATAATGCAGTAAAGGAGCAGCAGAAGAAGGTCCAATAGAAGGACTAACCAAGTGCCACTTGAAAATATTTTGAATATGCCAAAAACGAAAAAAAAAAAAGATTTAAATAAAAAAGAAAATACTTTAAACTTAACTATTAAGAGATATTTTTCTGGAAGAGTTTAAATTTTAAACAAAAAACTATTGAAAATTTATTCTTTTTGTTTGGATACATTAGTCTTTTTTTTGTATGGGCTTTGTACAAATGGACCTCGAAGTTGGTTACCAACTCCCTCCACAAAATATGCGACCTACGATCTACATAAAATAACTTAAACAATGTCCGGTTAAAACTACAAGTGCAATATTGGTGTCGGAAAACAGAGTCCCATTGAATTGAAACGAAAAGATGGGGGCTCGGGATCCCGTGTCAATCGCTGCCCACCGTGGTCGTGGTGGGTGTGTGTAGAGTGTGAGGCGTGGCCACGGGAGCAGCAACATCCGGAAGGTTTGGTGACGAGGGAGCTGTTTCCGTTCGTTGTGTACTGTCCTCCGCTGGCACACTACTACTTCTTTGAATACTGAAGAATCGCAGGAGAGTCGTCTCGCTATTTCTCCGACTGGATGTGGGAGTTCTAGGCTGGGTTTGGGAATGGGTGGAGCTGCTGACGGGAGTTCCACCACTACCGTCCGTGTGGGATATGCGACGACGGGGAGTTGCCTGGAGACGGGGACTGCACTCTGACTGCCGAAGGCTCTGCAGCCGTGGCGAGGCAAGGACATCGGCCTGCTGCTCTTCGTTGATCTTATCGCTGAGCGTCACATGGGCCCGACCGTTCATCAACTTTTGCTTCCGAATATTCGTCAGCCAGTCCACCTTCTCCTTGGCCTTGCGCTTTGGAGACATGATTCCCAAATGGGGGGCTTCGCCGTCCAACACGTAGTTGGGGAGGTTGGAGGTGGGTGAGAAGATAACGGCGGAAAGGGGCGCTGGACTGGCGGAAACTTCTCCAGCTGCTGATGCAGCTGCCGCCGCTGCTGCAGCTGACGTTGTGGGCGGGGAGGTATACATATGATTCACATTTTCACTCAAAGGTGAGTGATTCGGCGTATTCAGGAGCTTGGGCAGTGGCGACACATCTTCGGCTGCGGCGTTCTCTTTCTGGAACTTACTGGGAGAGGCCTCCTCCTCGTTTATGGCTTGCAGCTGGATATGTCGGCAGGTGTTCTCCTGGGTAGATGGCCCGAAAAGTCTCCTGCCACGCGACTCAAGAGGCTTCGCTCGTTTCTGCGGCTGGTCCGTGGCATCAGCTTCGCCTCCAGCAACACCTAACATGTCTAGGAACGATCTCTTCGTCGTTACCTTTTCCACGGAGCCCGGTGTGCGCTCGTTCTGATCCATCAGACGCTTCAGTGACCTCGGAGTGGATTCCAGATCGCGAAGATTGTACTTATGATTACCACTGGATGGAGCAGTTGTTTTTCTACCGAATTCCCTGACATAGGAGGCAGTTCCGCGGTACTTCTCCGCTCGCTCCGATTCACTGAGCCCGTCCAAATCCGGCCCAATGCGCCAAATCTTGTGGCGGGCATCATCGCTGCAGGTGACAATAGGGCAGTCGTGACTGGAGCCCCAGGCCACACATGTCACCTCCACAGTGTGCCCGGCCAGAGCCACCAGCGGCTCCTCGGCATGCTCCAGATTCCATATATATGCCCGCTCATCGCTGCTTCCGCTCAGCAAATATTTCCCATCCGGACTCAGACAAGACTTAATGTAGAACGTCGAGTTGAGAAGTCCCTTATAGCATGCCAGGGGTCGAGGCGAATACGAAGCCAAGTTGTAGCAGTAGATGGTGTTGTCCATGCAATTGGCATACAGTCGGGTACTCGCCGCATCCACGATCAGATTGGTGAATCCCCGGAAGGTGGATTGTCCCGCATAGGGCAGCTTGTGGCGTGGCAGCGGTTCCTTTTTGTAAGCGGAATAGTTTCTACGCAGATCCCACACCTTGATCACTCCATCACCAGCACCACAAGAGATCAGAGTATCGTTATCCTGAAAGGCCAAGCCAGTGATGCTACTCGACGTAGTTCCCGATGCCATTTTGGGCGTTCGCGTACGCTGCTTCCGCTGAGACACCGGAGTGCCAGGTCCACCAGTGTGTCCACTGTAGATGCAGTTGTCCACGCGCGAGGTGAGGTCCACATTGAGGTTGGCTCTTATGTCCCAGATGAGTATAGCGCCATCACGTCCTCCAGTGGCAAAAACGGCGGGATCTGTGCGCTTGAAAGCCGCCGACTTTACGGATCGCGTGTGACCTACATAGGAATTGAGGCCACGAATCCCAGATCCAGACACCTCCCACAGTCTGGCTGTGTGGTCACCTGAGGCGGAAACGAAGCGCATCTGGCCAGGTGCCCATTCCAGGTCGAAAACAGCATTGAAGTGGCATTGCGGACCAGCCAACGACTGCTCCTCCGGTTCGAGATTCCGCTTGGTAGTGTCCTGCAGCGTGATCTTACCATCCTCGTTGGCTATCGCAAGAATGTGGCGGTATCGGTCACAGTTGGCAAACTTGGCTGAGAAGATTGGTGGCTCTGGATTGAAGTCCGGGCAATAGCTCGCCGGGGCAATGCCTCTCCAGCTGTCCTCCTTGGCCACGGAAAGGCGCCGCAGGGCAAAGTCGTAGGTACGTTCATTTCCTAGAAGAAACCAATGAAAAAGTGGAAATGTGTAATTAATGCACTGTCTTTGTCATAGTTTTCCCCCCTACAGAGTTTTGCTAAATCAGCAATTTCTCAGGGAGTAAACAATGGGGCTTCTCTTCCGCTAAATTAGATCCTATGATATGGATGGCAAACATATTCAAGCGACATGCTGTTACAGCTCACAAACCACCTTGAACCCTTTGAATTCTGTGGATTTCGTGGCCAGGAAATTCGAGCGCCAAAAGTGGGAATCTCCCGCCAACTGAAAAACTTACCGAAACCATGCTCCCGGGCGCGCAGCTTTGTGTATATATTCATTTTCTTGCCGGCTCGGCGTCTGTGTCTTAAGAACTAAGTTTTAACTTGTAATTCTTGCTATTTCCTTTGAAATAAAACAAACCGAAGAGGCATCGAAAAAATTTCAACGACGCAGCTGGACCTTTGGACAGTGTGACCGGATGGCGCTAAATGAGGAAAACCCAAAGGCGGGCATTTGCCATCTAACAAGTTGTAACCGCCAAAAATACCGTTGACAATATTTAAATTTTTAATTTATGATAAACATTAAGTCAATATATTATATAAACTTTAAATTAATAACCAACTTAATTTAAAAGACACTAGCCAGAAAATGTGGATGATTATTTTTTTTTTAACTGCCAGTGAAAACTTGTAATGTAAGAAATGTATTTAAATTTTATTTAATTAGCCTCTTACATCCTAATTTTTCAAATTCTCTATTTTAAATATATTCAATTTCTAATCAAAACATAAAATATTCAATTTTTTCCGCGAATAAACGTTTTAGTGGAGTTCAGATTATGGTCACACTTGTCTCATATTTTGTTTTTTGTTGCTCTTCCGCTGACTTGTTTTCTGTTTAATAAAAGTTGCGCATAAATTCCGCAGATAATCGTTATTAGAAACGTTATTCAATGCTGCTGCTCCCTTTTATTTGCTTTTGCTAGGAGCCTGGAGTTTTTAAATTAAATTGGATACACTTACACTCATATACACACAACTAGGAGCATCGGATTCAAGGATAATTGTCAAGGACTGCAGCAACAAAAACACAGGTGAGCGGAGCAGAGCGCCAAAGTTTGGACAATATTTTCCATTGGACGGGGGTGTGTGTGCCTGTTGCAATCAATAACACCCAGAAGGTAAAGAAACCCCCCGGGGGAAAACAACAATAATAGCTAACACGCAAATGCAGGAATACCAACACATCATGAAAGGGGGAGGGAGGTGTCGACAAGTACCACAATAGAATTTCTTGGCTGTAGAACGAACTGAAGTACACCAATGTTTTGGTTGTAGAGAACTTCCGCATTCCCCTGTTGTCCTTGGGCGTCGACTCGACCAACCGCCCGCCACCCACACTTCACACCCCTTTAGTTTTGGGCTAGGCCTCCTTTCGGACCATATTATTGCACTTTGCGTGACCTTAACCATTTGGTGATGTCCGTGTCATGGCACGGTTACAGGTTATCTAACTGGAACTGTATACAATGTCTAGAATTCACTTAGTTAAATTAGAAACCAGGGCTGCCTACCTTAGATTATACTTAGTCACGGGTTGCTGTCTCTTTATTCGACTGGTTAGGGGGTCCAAACTCTTGAACTCTGTTGACCTGGGATTTGGCTCCAATGAGCTCGCTAGCCCTGGTCTAGACTCCTTGTTTGGACAGTTGGAAAAGCTGCCGCATGCCGCAGTTCCATTTATGGCACCAACACGTACGACACGCGCCTCGAAGCCGTTAGAACGGCCTTATGTGGGGACTTAGAAGCATCCCAAAAGGTGCTGGGGAGTGACAGTTGCTCATCAATTATTAATAAAGGGCAGCTTTAATAAATCAAAGAAAATAATTGTTGAGGTTCTAGTGGAAAAATTGAAGTAAAAGTGAAAGAAATTTGTGGCAGAAGATAAGGAAAATCTTAAAAGGTATGATCAGTGTGAAACTTATTGCTATTTTTAGTTTATAAAACCAGAAAAACATAGAAAACTTATTACTAATTATTAATCAGAAACTTAATATATCTAAGCTTAGTTTCTAATGTTTAAAAAATGAGTATTAACTAAGGAATTTATAACAAAAATAAACAAAGAATTAAAACAATGGTTTCAGATTTCATTAGGCAATCTTTTAATGGAAATAATACCACCTACATAGGCGTTGTTTAAAACACTCCCATTGCGACACAAAGAAACCAAGAACCTTCCGAGAAAAGTGCTGGTTTTCTTTATCTTTAGATAGAGCTTGATGAACTAATCTTGAATGTTTTTATATCTGTAATTTCTTATCAATGCTTGCCCCCGGATCGGTGTAATATATGTGTATGATATAAAGCCAACATGTCGGTGGCCGGGCTTCGGCAGTGTCTGCTGCTCTGGAGCGTTGACTATTGGAACCTGGAAGGTAAAGCCGTATTAAGTGCGCAGATCTGCATCTGCTTTCAGTTGTTGTCAGTTGCCAGCGTTCAGTTTTCTTTGGTTATTCAGTTGTTTTTTTCTGTTTCGTTTTGTTGCGGTGGCTGCTCAAGTGGCCCACCACAATGCATTCACTCTTCAATGAATATTCAATGATAAAAATAATAACAATATCTGAAACCCCTCCCCTTCCGCTTTAGTCATGGCCGACAATGTGTTCAAGTCGCACGATATCGGGCTGCGAGCTCAGAAGAAAATCCTCTCACGCATGGCGACGAAAAACATCGCCAAGACATTCATTGATGGGACGACAGCCTCGCTCCTGGACAACCTGTACCGGCTTTGCAAGATGCACACGGGCAACAAGGCCAAGGCGGAGAAGCTGATCAAGAACATCATCAAAATAGTCATCAAGATCGGAGTGCTGCACCGGAACAATCAGTTCAGCGAGGAAGAGCTCCAAAAGGCGGAGAACTTCAAGAGGAAATTTCAGGTGAGACTATAATTCATTTATCAGGGATCATCTCTTAACAAAAATGTATCTTTCTTTTCTTAAAGAACACCCAACTCTCCATCATATCATTCTACGAAGTGGACTTCACCTTTGACCTGGCGTACCTGCAAAAATCCATAGCCGAATCGCACGTGGCGCTGAAGTCAATTGTGCAGCCGCATCTCACAGAGAAATCGCTGGGACGCATCGATGAGGTGTTCGATTTCTTTGGGGAGGCGGCGCTGTTGGAAACCGCTTTCAGATCCGATTCCCCCTATCGCGAGGTGATGGGAAAAATCGTGGCCGACATTAACTCGGCCATGGAAACGGGCGACATCTGAGCAGGGCAGAGCTGTCATTGCGTGCTATGAAAGAAAGGCTATCTATCGAAACCAAAAACAAAAGCAAACAGCTACTGGCGAAGGAATGGAGAGCGCTTGCTTAACTAAGCTCACCCACCAACACCAAAATACAAAATCTAGATATAGAACAGCCGAGGCAGTGGGGGAAAGCGACAGAAAGAAAGACGGGAAAAGAAACTAAAAAAGGCATAAGTTTAAACAAGAGTTAAATTTAGTTTAAATAGTGATATCATTGACAACAATATCAAAAGTGTAAAGACGTCCGTATTGATTATTTTGATGACAACGTTAACATTTGTGTACTCAAGATCTACTCTACCTATTGTAATGTTTAATATTTAGGAATACCAAATGCATTTCGCCAAAGGAATTCACCAAACGGAAACTGTAAACTCAAGCAAAATGCTTTTATCGGTGTGTAAGTCGTTGATCGTATGTGTATGCCTGTACCTTAATGTGTGTGTCAGTCTAGGTGTTAATTGGAAAATAATTCTGCACAAAAGCAATTACTCGTGGTCTACTTTTTGATACTCTAAAACTCGCTCTACTTGTATTCGTATTGTATATGTATATCGTCACCCAAACACGCCCCCTCAATCGGACTCCCAAGTACTTAATTAATCGCTACCGATTAGCATCACACCTTGAAAGCGTTAGTATGTGCTAAGATTGTTATGCTAAGTCAACGTCCAGAACCCGTTTTAATCGTGTCTATTCCTTTTTTTGTCCGAGCGATGGAGAGCCAGTTCCGCGACTCAATTGTATTTCTCTATGTATTCCATGCCCCTCAGGGGTCACTAACCCTAAGCATTATTTATGATATTCCACTGCGACTCCCTAAATGATATTCCAAGTACCCGAAACATATCGAAACTACTAAGCAGAAGAGAACGAAACCGCAAATGGGGACAATAAGTTGTTTGCATTTTTGTACGACTTTTGGTTTGATATTTGGAGCGGAGACAGCACAATTTTAGTCCTTTAGATTTTAAATATTTATTTGTTTACCAACAAATCAGTGTTGATTATAAAAATAAAACAATTACCAAAAAACAACTATGCTTTATCCCTAACTAGTACTTTCCTCTTACTCTGCCCGCTTTTTGCTCAGAACCTCGTTGGCGGATTCTCCAGCCTCGAGTTGCTGCTGCCGGAAAAGTTCAATGAGCTTCTCGGTGGCGGTTTGGGGTATGTCTAGCGGCTTAGAGGTCTCCTCGCTGGGATACTTCTGGTCCTGGGCCTCGGGCGATCGGAGCAGGAAGGGTGTCCAGGGCCCCTGAATCGAGGGAACGTCCGTGTGCCACATTTTGCGCAACCGAAGGGAGCTGGAGCTACCATTTTGGGTCTTGAGCAGATCAATCCATTTTGAGATCTCCTCCTGGGTGCTGTTCCTGCAGCTCATCCACTCGCGGTCGCCGTTGACTGTAGTGAAGTTCACATTTTTTTTTATTTTAAATTTATTAAAAATTTTTTCCCAATAGAGTTCACTTACGATATTCACCCACCAAGACCGGTGTGCGGTGGCGTCTTGGTTTTACGTAGACCACAATTCCAGGATTCTCCTTAGCAAAGTCCAACAAGTGGTTCTCAATGAAATCACTACATAATTGATTTTTTATCGTTATTAATATATTATGGTTTATGAAAAATTCCAACATACCGCATGCCTCTGCTGGAGCCGTTGTTCTTGCAGAATTTTAGAGTTATTCGCTGCAGCTGGCAAACATAACGACCCAGGCCGTTTTGCAGGGGGGCTCGTGGGAATCCCGACTTCAAAAACAAGTGACTATTTGACATTTTGTATTTGTTTTTTATTCAAATGTGCTAAGAAACAAATTAATACAATTTTGTCTAGCCAGGCACGACGTAACAAGGCAAACAGCTGATCGACTAGTAATGCCAACCTAGCCGAATTTAGAGGAAAAACCGCTAATAGAAGAAGAAAAGTTTAAACAAAAACAGATCAGAAAATATTAGGTTTGGATTTATAATTGCCTAAAAGGCATTCAAAAATAACTTAACCAAATGTAATACAAAGGAAAATACCTAAATTTAGCCACTTGATTTCCGGTTAATGCACAATTTTCCTCTAGAACAGGGTTGTTTGACACTCGCAACGCCCCTCATTCCGTGTACGCCAGCCCTGGTCTGATAACGCCAACGAAGAAGCGGCACAAAAGAGAAAACAATAATGCAGCTAGCGTCGCTTTTCTTTGATTGGAAAATCTGAAACCCGTAGAAAGCGTGCAACGTGTAAAATTGGAGCACATGCACGCATCTGGCCTCGAGGCTTATCAACTGGAAATAAATCTGGGAGTATGGCCACAGTAAGCATTAAAATGCAATTTCTGTTGCTCTGTAAACACAGCATCTTCTCGTACACAGTTACTTGCGGGTACAAAGTACTTGAAAGATTCGGAGGAGGAGTCTGAAGAGGAGGAGGATGAAGAAGAGGGCTCGGCGAAGTCCGGTTCTACGAGTTCTTTCAGCCTGCAAGAGTGCATCGATGAGTTCCGAGCCCGTCGAGTTCGTCGGGGGTCCGTACAGAGTCGCGACTGCGAGAATAATAACAACATGGACAGAGCCAGTGAGGAGCAGCAGCCCCGAAGTCGTAGGGCAATGGATGCGGATCTAATCAACCAGAATCGCTGCAACAAGGAGCAGGAACGCAAGGGTAAACCCTGCAAGGATGGGTTCTGCTACTGTTTCACCAGCGACAGCGGGGACTGCGCCTCGATAGCTCCGCCACGTGACCAGCACGTGCGCCTACCCCGGCGCAGCAGGCGTTCCGAGAGTAGTAAGGTGAGGTTTCCGCTCAATCCTTTTCGTAGGTATCAGTCGTTATCTTCCCCCACTTTTCCAGACCACCAAGCAGAACAATTTGGGCAGCCAGGCAAAGCAGACGGAGAAACGTCGCCAGAGCGAACCACCCAATATTAGGTCCTGTTCCAGATCCAAAAGTCCTTTGACGGCTGTAAGTCGCCTGAGTGCCGTGGACGGCGATGATGCGCCGCTTATCCACATCATCCAGGAGCTGCGCGACAATTGTGTGGTGTCTGAGGTGCGAGTGAATCGCCAAAGGTTGCCGCAAACAGCATCCTGCTGCCAGCAAAGGAACTCTCGAATAAAAGCCTGCAAATTGGAGGCCTATGAAGCTATTGCCTACAAGCCCTCGGCTCCAGTTCTATCCAACATCAGCGAGCAGGATTCGGCTGTGGAGGAGGAGCTAGCAAAGGATTTTCAGCAAGTAAAGGAAATGCCAACTACAGAGGCCAGTAGTCGTAAGAGCTCCCGTTCCCGTCGCAGTTCCGGTGGCGGTGGACGTCTCCTTCAAAAGCGACTCTCCCTGACTCAAGTAAACTTCAAGGCACGCGATGTTCATCAACCACCGAAGAAGCCTCCGCGTCGCAGTTCCCAGAGTCTGGATGGGAAGTGTTCGCAATCATCGCTGGCCTCCACAAATCCTTCCGTACGGGAGGCGGAGCGGGTCCTTGACGAATTTCTTCGCAAACACGGCATCCAGGTGCCTGTAAGTAACCCAGAAGCGAAATCCTCTCGGAAGAAGGAAAGCCAACGCAGATCCTATCCCATGGGTAAGTGTTAAAGACCAGCCCAAAAGCAATGAAACCGTAACCAAATCAAATTTAATTGGAACTTTTTCTACCAAAATTATTTTAACCAAAAATGTATTTGTTTTCAAATAAAGATTTTATTTCCTTTAAATACGGTTTACGGTTTCATTTTGGAATGGGATGTGGTTGCTAACTAGTATGATAATTCTATAATCCCCTGCAGCTGAAGTGGAGAAGCCCAAAAGCCGCAGCAGCAAGCAGCTACCCACATGCCCTTCACTCAGCGACATAGAGCGCGTTGTGGAGTCCAAGAAAGGCTCCAATTACTCTCGAAATATTCGCCAGGAAAGTATCCGGAAGAGCGGGCCTTCCAAGCAGATCATTCTGGGCTGGACGGAGCCCAAAATCAGTGAAATGCTCAACTACGAGGGAAAGTCTGCCAGCGATTTTAAATCTCTTGCTCCGTCAGCGGAGCCACAAGTGTCGATTGGATGGCAAATGCCAAAGCCCCAACCTCAGCCAGTGGTCCCAAAGGTCTCCCTGGACACGGTCGATGGCATCATGAGCGACAATTTCGCATCCAACATGGAGCACAAGGAGACGCCCATCAAATATCCGAAAATTATCAAAACAGCAGGCGGGCAGGCCAGCCAGAAATTCATCTGGGGGGAGCAGTGGCGGAACCTTTCCCCCTGGAAAGGCAACAACAAGTCCAAAAAGCTGACCTCCAAGTCCAAGAACTTTCTCAACAACTCCAAGAAGAAGATCCTGCGATTTGTTTCGCCAAAGAAATCAAACCAGCAGGAGCATCCGCGCGAGGAACAAATCCGAAACACTCCCAAGTTGTGCACTGTTGGCGTTCAAACCTCCACCTCGCAGCTGGACCTACAGTCCCAGTCTCCGCCAGGCAGCTATCACTCACCCATTCAGACCACTCCCTCCGGCACGACCACCTCAACGCGCCAACACCTGGACAGGGAGCAGCCCTACTTCGACTTCGATCGTAAAGTGGAGGCCCCGACGCCTCCAAAGAAGATTCCTCGTGCGAACCGCGCTCGTAAATTGGACTTCCAAACGCAGGCAGCCCCTACTACGTATCGCTCGTATCAGAAAGATCTCGACCAGGACGTTACTCTAACCAAAATGGGCTACCTTCTCAGCAGCATTCGGTCCAAGCTGGAGGCCAGCGATGAACGGGCCATGCAAACGTTTCGGGTGAGTACACTTTTTAGCTAAAAATTTCGAATATTTTATTAATGAGTCCGAGTGAAGGTGAAGTTCTAATACTAGACAACGGCAAACACTGCACCCAGGGCGTAGTGGTCCGACCCGAGGTAGTGGTTGGGGATGCGACCCACGCTGTTGCAACGGTTTATAGAAGGCAGGGTGTATATGCTGACAGGTAGGAGCTTGTAGTTGCCGCGCGAGCTAATCGAACGCAGGATGTAGTCCACGATGATCCAGTCGTCCTGATAGGTGGAGCCGGTTCCCTCGCCGGGATTCACAATCTCAAAACGCATTCGGGTGTTTTCCGTTTCCGTCTTTTCTGTTTCCCGTTTATCTTGTCGACCAATGAGCTTTTCGATGGCAGGGGAGTCTCCTAGGCTGTTGAAGTCGCCAGTTAGGACAACCGGGGCATCATCCGAGAAGTTGCTAAGTTCCTCCAACATTCTATTCACTTGAGCGCAGCGGACATCGTTTCGTTTCGGGTTGTAGAGCAAGTGGGTGGTGGCAACCACAAACTCCTTGCACGGATCCGGATCCATTTTGAAGCGAAATTTGGCGAACAACGCTACGTTTTCACGATTCAGTAGAGCTACCTGTTGGTCGTGCAGCTCCACAGCCCGCTGATCCAGCAACTGGAACTTGGACGAGTCGTAGACTATGGCGCATCCGTCAGTCCGGTGTCCGGTCTTTTTTTTGTACACGTACTCCAGCGGTCGGCCGTGGCCCATGCGCAGTCCCTGGATTAGTAGCGCCAGATGGTCGTACTGCATCTCTTGCAGGCACAGTATGTCGGGGTCCAGTTTCAGTATCTCTCGCTGCAGATTCTGCTGTCGGCGGCGCCAAGTTAGCCACTCTTGCTGGATTCCCATGTAGAGGTAGAGGTGCTCCATTAGCAGGTCTTGGGCCAGGATATTGTACGAGACCACCTTGAATGTAGATGGGTGCTGCTCGGAGCCCCTCCTTAGGCTAGATCCCGCTTGGCGCAGCTGCATCCATCGCCTGTTGAAGTCGTAGCGGGCCTCCATCTCTTCCTTCCCCGTTTTCTGTTTGCGCTTTCCACTACCGATTTTGCTAATGGATCTGGCCTGGAGGGAAACGGTGCGCAGCATGGATTTGTACATGTCCTTAGGAGGTGCTCCTGGCCATCTAAGAATGGGTTCCAGGTGCAGCGCGACGCCTGGAAAACGGGGTTAAGGAAAGGGAGACAGATTGTTGGCTGTCAGCTGTTTTTGTTAGTTGTGTCGTCTGCTTTGTTTACCTATTCTCTGGGTTGCATTACAATTGTTATCGATAAATGATGGGCGGGAAGTTTGAAAATTGTATATGAATCACATTGATCATTTTGTTTTAAATTTTAATTATATTCATTTTATATAAGTTTTATTAATGATGTAAATAATAATTTTACTATTTTAGGATTGTTCCCGATTTGAGTCCCGTCACTCGTCTCTGGAGCAGTTCCCACGGCAAACTGAAAGCTACGACTGCACCGATGGACCTAGCTCTCAGACTACCGCCTCTGTGGCCACCACTCGTCCTGTACTACACAGGGAACTGGATAGTGAACCCATTTATTCTGAGATCGAGGAGGATTGCATGCGGATCAGGGGAAGTCCGCATCATGAGGTTAAGACTGCAGTGCAGCGGGTAACTCCCACGCCCACTTCTACGCCAACGCCTAGCTCAGCGAATTATGTTAGTGAAATTACTCCAGTGCCTTCGCCCTCGTCCGCTGATTTGGAGGCCATGTATGCCAGGGTGCAGAAGACTCCAAAAAACTCACCACAGATTAGGGGGAAACCCAGTCAAATGATAGTGGCTCCCCAAGAAACAAAACATCAGATCGTTCAAAAAATTCCTCCGCAAAGACCTAATCTGGAATTGGGGTCTGAGGTTCATCAAAATATTCACAGCCAGCCCGTTGCATTGGGTCACTTTCTTCATGAATCCTTGAAGAACGGCAGCTTCTTTCAGTTTATGCCGCTGCCTGAGGAGCCAAGTGGCACGGAATCTTCTTGTTCAGCCAGTCAAGCGACCGAATCTTCGGTAATCCGCCAATCAGCCTTAAAGACAACTCCTCCTGTGCTCCACCAGTCTTTGAACAACATCAGCGAAAAGCACTCGCCTCCCAAAAACTACCGTAATCTGTCCAGATCTCAGCTCTCTCTGCAGCGCAGTGAGATCTTCCTCGACAACTTGTGCCGCAGTGAACTGGTGCTGGATCGTCTCGAGAAGGTCCCCAATGTGAGTGGTTTATAATTAATCTTAATATACTCAATCTTATAATAATAACCTTTTAGAAGGCATATTCAAATGTCGATTCAGTGTCGTATGACCTACCAAATGAAGGTGCGGATGAGCTGTACGCAGATTACAGCATGGGAGAGGCTGGGAGTGGCGGAAGTTCCATTGGCGCCAATGAGTACGGTTCCGGGAAGATAGAGCCCCAGCCGGAGAACCAGAGCACCCCAAAGAAAAAAGTGCCGCCAAATAGCCAGCGCTTCACAACTAAGGTAGAGATTTTTGTTGACTCTCATTAGAAACTAAGGCTTTTTCTTTCGCATATTCGCATACTATTGTAACACTCTTGTAAATACCTATGCCATGACTATCCAATCGCTTTCGAAATACAAGTTGGCTTCTTTGTTCATCATCTTCGATTGAGTAATGGTTTGTTTTTCAGCCTGCACCCAATCTCAGCATTGATATAAACGATAGCCAAACCACGCCTCTGCGTCCTTTGGGCCAGAATATCAGCTTCAGCTGCCCCACAACTCCTCAGCAGGCGGAGCTACAGGTGGGTAACTCTTCGGGACTGCACAACAACAGCAGCAGCTTGGTGGAGCTGGGACAGGTGAGTCTGCCCAACAATCCCAGCGACAGCCAGCTGATGTCGGTCAGCGCCCTGGCCCGATACCGCCTGCTGAAGGATGCACTGCGTCGGTCATATCGCAAGGGTAAAGACTTTTTCAAGGCAGAGAAGCTGCGACTCACAAACACCTTGAACATATCGCGAGATCAGTCGAATCAAACGGAAGGCGAGCTGGACAACAGCAGCTATTATGCCAGTTTTAATTTGGATTCTCTGCTAAATGAATCTCTGACCACCAAGGAGCAACTGGCTCAAGCTGTCAGCATTTGCCGCCAGATGCCAGAGCTGGAGATTTCCGCTGAGATGGTGGAGGCAGAGCGGTTACTGCTCTTCTCCAGCCTACGGAAGTCGAAGCCTTCTACTGGAGTCAGGAATGAGGAAGCTCTGGCGGCGCGGAGGCAAGCACAGTGCCTACTTATCGATGCCATGAAGCTGCAAGTGCGTGCGGACGTTAGTCAGGATATGTTTTTCAACTACCATTACATCTGCACCTTTGAGTGCGGAGGACGTATTCGTTCCACTCAGTCGGTAGAGTGCCAGAATGGTGTGGCCCTGTTCCGCGATTGTGGTCTGGAGTTCTATAGTGCAGATAAAGCAGAGTCCCTGGAGCTGCATTGCCAGATCTTTATGTTGAGACTGCGCAAAGTGTCCACTCTATCTTTAGAGCCCTCCAAATCCCTGGTAAGTACTCCAATGTCTTAAGAGGTATTCCATTTAAAGAGTTTAATCTTTTTAGCGACGAGGAAGCGGAAATTTAGGTTCCTCCAACTCAAGTTCCTCTTCTGGTTCTGGCTCTGAGCTCATCGTCTCCCGCTTTCGGCTGCACGCCTCTTTTACCGTGAGGGCCATGGACCTGTCACCCTTCGAAGTGGTGGACAGTGAAACTAAAGCCAGTGATACCATTTGCTTGCGCAGTTCCCGATCCTGGCAGCTACCCATCAAAGCTCACACAAAATCAACAAATCTGGGACCGGGAATAGCTATTACCGGCCGGGTTGATCTTAGACTGCCCAAGGTTCGCTTCTCCGGTTTCCTAAACGTCCAGGATCCCAAGAACCAGCATCATTGGAATCGCAGATGGTGTAGTCTGGATGGCTTGGAGCTGTCTGTCTGGCAACATGAGCACAATCTTGAGAATGAAATACCGATTTTTTCGCTAGAGCTGCCAGGACGTGGACAGTCTTGCGTAGCAGCGGCTCCACGAGATCTTTGTGCCAGAGTCAGGAGTTTTCTTCTGCAGGGAAAGGAGTCGGATTATGAATCGGGTGTATTTTTCGCTGCCGACACACAGACTGAACTTTTGGAGTGGCTGCGCCATCTTAACGAGGCTCTAGAGTTCGCCAGGCACTGGCTGAATGCCCCTTAACAACGATGGCATTCCGTAGACATATTTTTTTATTTTATATGTTTTACCTTTCTATTTATATTTCGTTATTTTTATACATTTCCGGGAATTGTAAATCAGAGTGTTTGCCATGCAAACTTGCCACTCGAATCTAGCTAAGAATTTATATAGATTGTAAGAGTTAACATTCCTATGGACCTCTTGGGGATATAGTCATTGGATCTAAATCATTATCTGGCCCCGCAGATGAAGTTACAACAACAACAGTTTATTACATACATAATTTACATGGGCTGCTATAAGTTGATAAGATACACGGTACGATTATATATATATATTTTTGATAATAGGTTACAATATGGTACACAAGTATGTTTATATGCGCTCGGTGATCATCCGGTTGACTGCGGTTGATATTAGAATCGGAATCGAATTGGTTATCCTTGCTCATGTCCTCCTCCTCCTCATCCTCCCCCCACATCCTCACAATCGTGCCTATGCATAAACTATTACATTTAAGTATATGTACTATTTAAGATGGTTTTTGTAAATTTTCGTTTTCGTTTGCTCATTAGAGTGCAAAACATAAAGAGTCTGAGGTTATGTTTGTTGTGGTTTCTTTCAAGCAATTTACATACTTATCGTGTACATTACTTAAACACCTACTATTCTCTATTGATCTGAAGTTAAAACTGTACTTGGTGTTTTTCTGCTTAGGCGTAGGTGTATGTATTTACTGTATCTCGGCTTTTGGATCTAGATCTGGTTCTGTTTCTGATTCTGTAACGACTCGTGTGGGTTCTATGCTTCTAAGGATATGCAGGAGCGCAGTGTTTTGGTATTTGGATTATGCTCAGGCCAGTACATACTTCCACACTCGATTCGTCTGGTGGTTCGTTCCAATCTCTGTCACATACAGGGCCGATCCATTGACGCTGACGGCCATGGAGTGGGGGTTCTTGAACTCGCCCCAGTGGCCGATGATGGCCTCCGAGCGGGGATCAATGGTAAAGCCACGAACGGGCAGCATGGAAGTTGGTCCATTTACTGCAAACACAATATCACCGTAGCTGGCGACGCCAAACACTCTGCCCAGGTCGGGCTCCTGGATGGTGGCCGCGGGTTCACCCTCGCCGTGTGAAGATATCAAGCCAGCTCTGAAAGTTGGAATGTGTATAGTTTATTGTAGAAAATGAGAAATGTAATCCTCTTACTTGGGACAGACCACTCGCATGTTTTCCCTATCGGCAATGCAGAGAAGATCCAGGTGCTCCAGTAAAGTAATAGCATGTGGCACTTGTAATGAAAGGAACTCTACAAGAGGAGAAACACAACCACAAATATTTTTGTGAATAAAATTAAATCAAATTATAAAAAAATATCCAATAATAATAAACACATTACGTATACGCACCGGGTGGCTGGGGAATCGTACGCAACAGCTTGCCAGCGGCATTGAACTTTAGAATGCGACTGTTGCAATATCCGTCAGCAATGAAGAACTGTCAATTGAAATTTAAATGAGTTATGAAGCCAAATGAATTGAATTCAATTTACCTCTCCCGTGGTAGCCACGGCTATGGAAGTGGGCTTGCACAGGTGCTTCACAGACGAGCCTGGCCGGAAACGCTTGCCAATTGTGAGCAGTGGCTTGGTGCTAAAGGGCTTAAACTAAAAAGATAGATGCTGTTGATAATACACAACTTTGAGGTTTAATGCTATTAACCTTAAAAGCTTGGTGCATGGCTACATCTGTGATCCAATAATTTCCATGCCCATCGATTGTCATTCCATGTGGCATATAGAACATGCTTGATCCCCAGCCAGACTTAATGGTTCCCGTCTTGGCGTCCAGTACGTAGATGGTTTTCTCTTTTATGGGACCATATTCGATTAGGTAGTAGATATTGCTCTCGTTAAAGGTGCTGAAAGTTTATAAAAAATTTTAGTATTTTTGGTAATTATAAACCGACTTTTAAAAAGTTACTTTCCAAAAATGGCAATCTTACTGCTCTTTTTAAAAGGATATATAAGGAGTTTTAGGAATATTTAGGGAAATAACTAAGCTTCTTCAAACAAAATCTCTAAAAAGAAACTAAGAACATATAAAACCAAAATAATAGCTACAACTATTCAAAAACTATTTTTTCTATGTGTAGATTTTGGGATAGACACTTGTTACTAGGCGGCGACAGCTGTTGACCTACTTTACATCCCAGTATCGCTCTGCGCGATGGAAGACCACCGGATTGCCCTGTGGATCCACAGCCACGGCGGTCACCTGGCCAAAACTATGCTGCTCGGTGGGCCAGTTCTCCACAAGCACTGGAGTGGGTACACTGGCCGCAGGAATGGGTACGTTGTCGTAGCTGCGCTGATTCTGCAGGGCCAGTGCATCATCGGCCATGGGTATCGGTAGCTCCTGCTGTTCCTGTTGCTCCTGCTGCGACTTTCCAGCCAGCCCCTTTTCCTGCAGACGTCGCTTGATGAGGGCACGCACTTGGTCGAAGAAACGTTCATTTAGATTGACTCCTGGTCCACCCAATCCCGTTGGCAGGTGGTTGCCATTGCTGCTGCTGCCCGTGGCGGCCACATAGCCTAGGCAGAGCACCAGGTATAGCGACGCGAACAGAAGGCGCGACATTCTACTGGAAGTCCTGCGATTTTTGCACCAAAAACAATAACTCGGGTCTCTGGTCTCTGGACTCTGGCCTGTGGACGCGCTCACTCGATTTTCCTCACTGCCAACATCTGTTGGCGGTGTCTATATGTTGAGCTGGCAATAGATTAACTGAGTTTTGTTGCAAACATATACACACACCGCACACCCGCACAGTTGATGGCTCCCACGCTTTTCGATTTTCGCTTTCAATGCGACGCCTGCGCCCCAAGTCCTGCACAGTGTGCTAAGAAAAGGATGTTAGGTACATCCACCTAAAGTTTTTGAGAGAAAATGTATAGTTTTAGAAGAATACATCCTTTAAATTATAAAAGAATATGATTACCTATTATTTTTATATTCTAATCATAAAACCACATTTTCTACTTAAAAGATCATATTGGGCTAAGATGGGAGAATATTCGATTTATTTATTATTTAAATAAAACATCTTGAATATAAATATAACTGTTTCCTAATCAGATGTTAAAAAATATGAAACCAATAAATTAATATAAAAATGAACTCCAAAACCCAAAGGATAATGTTCCACTGTGGCCCTGCCACAAGCTACCGTAGATTGGAAAGAGTTTATTGATTTTCCAATACGGCCCGCCGCAAAACAGTGGATCCCATAAGTGAAGTGACCTCCCAAAACGCTTTTATTCATTCCAAATACAGTTACAAATACAATTTAAGCCTCTTGGCCAGTTTTTTGGGGGGTTGGAGCAACTCTTTTGTGAGCTTGATTGTTTTTTTGGAGAAATCTTTCAGAGGAAAATGGAAGCATACAGTCGGCAGTCAGTGTCTTTGACGTCACAGCGTGCTGTGCTTGGGCCATTAGAAGGGGGTGCGACGGGGCAGGGTCGGCCGGATAGGTGGCTTCATTCTACGACCCCCAATCCCAATTCGGTTGGGTCCAAATATAACCGGTATCGGTCATGGAGCAGTAGGCATTATAGTAACGTCCCGGCGACCTGGCAAAATGGGAAAGTAATTACATCCGGCTTTCAAGTTGAATGAGGGATTTCCTTAAAATCCCGCTCACCGGCAATAGGAAAACTGGGGGCACTTGCAGCGGAAGAGGCTCTGGAACTCCTCCTTGCACACCTCGTTCCACCAGCAGGTTCGCTGCAAATGGATATTAAATAAAACTTTAAAGTCTAGTAATTATTTTAAAAATATATACCTCTGTCATATAGCCGTGGACACTCTGATCGGAATAACTTCGCTTTGATTGGTGCGCCTCCACGGGGGAAAGCCACAGTAGCGGCGCCATCAAGCTAAGAAGCAACAGTCGTGACGTCACTGGCCACACAGCGAGGAAACACTGTAACCGCGAAAAAAATGTACCAATAAATTATAGTTTTTTCTTTATTTGTGACATTTATTTTTATGACACTGTCCTCACCTTCCGCATTGTTGCTTTCGGTTTTCGTGTGTCTCGGCAAGTACAGTGAATTCTTCACGTGCCGCCTGTCCTGCGGCAAATGTCGCCTGTTTTTTGGCCTCCTGTTGGGGCGGTGGCATCGGCACCTCGGCTGCTGTTACTTGCATAAGTAGTGGCCCCGTTCGTTGTCGGCTTTCAGCTTTCACTACTTTCACACAGCCACAGGACCACTTTCACACAAACAGCCTGCAATTGCAATTCGCGCTGTTTGCGCAGGTGTTGGTGAGCTTTTAGGCCTGTTTCGAGAGGTAATTGTTACACGGTTTCGCCAGTTCTTGAGTCGGGTTAGGGAAATAGAGGTAGATAATTTGAGGAAATAAGTTTAAAGATTATGTTTATAAGATTAGCTATTAGGGAAAAGGTTTAAAACAAGGTTAGTACTTGAAAGATGGGAATAAGATACATTTAAAACTCGTATTTACTTATCTATATATTTATATATCCAATCCAAGAGTTCATCGTCGTATCCCTACGTCAGCAAAATATTTAAATGATCCGAAAATATATAAAAACTTAATCATCCAAACAATAAACATTATTAGAAATTCAGCAGCCAATAAAAATGTATTTATCCCGAACACATTGCAAACGAAACAGAGCAAACCAAAATATGTATGTGCAGTATTTGCATACATTTCAAGCGCCATTAGTTCACAAAAATGTGTTTGTATAGTTACTGATTTATAATGCATTAAATAATAAAAATGGCTGTTATAAATTCAAGAAGATATCTGTCAGAATATTTAGCGACGTCATCTCAGTTGTCTGATTGAAAACGCACGCGACGTGACTCAGCACCGCAAAGAGGAAAAACAAAAAAATATAATCAAAAAGTTGGCGGATGCTTAAAATAGTTTGAAAACTCATTTAGTGGCAAAAGTATTTTCTATATTGCCCTCATCATCAAATCAACAATTTCAACAGGTAGAAAATTATGAAAAATTCCTCTATATATAAAAAAAACTGGGGGCGTATCGTTTTGAATTTGTTTCTGGCATTTTCCAGAAAATGTTTCGGCTTTAAATTCTCTTTTATAGTATTTTTGCATTTAAAATACATTGTATCTAGTAGATATAAACCTTTGGAATATCTGGAAAATGTTTTCGCCTAAATGTTTATGTTTGAAATGCCAGAATATTGCAGCTACAAACCTATAAATAAACTTCATTTAGACCAAAACCTTTCTAATCGTATTAACCTTAGAAGGCTTGTCTTAATTATGGCTCTTCCGTAGATGAAAATGTTGTAGAATCTTCCACAGGTCATCGTCATAGCCGGCGTCTGAGTCTCCAAATCTTTGACTCCCACGACAGCCAAACAAAACAGAAATCTTTTTCGTATATTCGCACCAAATAAATATACACATACTTGGCATCTATGTTTCTCTATAGAGAATGTATGACGCTCGCCTAAAATTAGATTGAAAATAAATTTTCATATTTTTAGCACATTTTGTAAACACTGTGCTGCGGGTATAAAATCGTGTGAATGCTCGGGAAGTTCCATCAAAATCGCACCAACCGCGAATCGAAAAAGACACGCGAATCGTAAGATCGGAATTAAATAATTAACCAATAAAGGTACGAATCAAGGATACTTCCTTCAAGTTGAAACGGGAATATATACAAAGTGAAATATCTGTGCAACTAACTGGTGACGTGATTAGCTCACAATCGTCTTGTTTTTTGACCAAACTAGATGTCCGTAGTGCCCCTGATGTTCCGTGATTGGTGGGATGAGCTCGACTTTCCAATGCGCACCTCGCGCCTCTTGGATCAGCACTTTGGCCAGGGCCTAAAGCGGGACGATCTGATGTCCTCCGTCTGGAATTCCCGGCCCACGGTCCTGAGGTCCGGATACCTGCGACCCTGGCAGAAGAACAGCCTCCAGAAGCAGGAATCTGGATCCACCCTCAACATCGACAGCGAGAAATTCGAGGTTATCCTGGATGTCCAGCAATTTTCGCCCAATGAGATTACCGTGAAGGTGGCGGATAAGTTCGTCATCGTGGAGGGCAAGCACGAGGAGAAACAGGACGAACATGGATTCGTTTCCCGTCAGTTTTCCAGACGCTACCAGCTGCCAAGTAAGTGGAAAAATAATGATAAGAGGATTCAATGATTAAATTTATCTTAATTTACTTTCGAAAGGTGACGTCAATCCCGATTCGGTCACCTCCTCCCTCTCCTCCGATGGCCTCCTCACCATCACGGCGCCCATGAAGAAGCTGCCACCCCCTTCGACTGAACGCCTTGTGCAAATCACACAGACTGGTCCCTCCTCCAAGGAGGACAATGCCAAGAAGGTGGAAACCTCCACGGCCTAAGCTGAATCCTTTTCTCATCATGAACATTAGCTAGTAATATTTATAAATATTGGATTTTTTATACATTTTATATTTATTAAAAAAGAAACTAAAAAGTGAGTCGTATGCCAAGTTTTTATTGCGAGGAGTTGGAGTTTATGATGCTGTTTAGATTGCAAAAAAGTTTACCTTTAGTTTGAGATTACTTTTATCAACTAGGTCGCTTTATAATCTAATCGAAATTCTATTGTTCCTTGGAAAAGAGAAAATTTTAATACAATTCCTTTATTTTATTCCTTTAAAAGAAGTTGCTCCTCAAGCGTCAGAGAGTTTTTATCGAGATATCGTTGGATTAGGAGACTAGCTTTCTCAATTTGTTCAGGTTTTAGTTCGTCCTTGTAGCCATTAACTTGGCCTCTTTGCACGAAACTTAAAGAAAAAATAATTAAAATACCTATTTATTTTATATTTATAACATACTTGTGTTTCTCCTTCCCAGCATTTTTGCCCTTTTCCTGAGACAACTCCCATAAGTGATTTGTTTTGGGATTATCTAAAAATATGAATAATTTAAAATTTAGCTTAAAACCTTAAATTTTTCAAACATACTTTTCATTTCTTCAAATGACAAGTGTTTCAGCAGCTTTTCCATTTGCTGTTCTGTAACAGGTTTGTTGAGAAATCTTGACACATCGTCGATTACTCCCCGAAGATTCTTCTTCATCTGCTCAAAACTGGTATAGAAGACCCAAGGTTCGTGGCGGAGTTGATAGAACTCGTGGGCATGTTCCATAACATCAATAACAAATTCTTCTTTTTCAATGTATTGGTCAAAAACTTCCTCCAATGTTTTTCCATAAAAATCGCCACAGGTCACTCCGTGATAATATCGGGATACGAAGGCATCTATTGGGTTGCGGAAAACGTAAATAACTTTGTTTTTTCGTTCCCAAAGCTTGGCAGGAAGCAGAGCCAGTGGAAGGTGAGACTTTATGAGGCGGGGATCCTTTAGCTCCTCTACAGGTTTAAAAGCTCTTTCCAGCTCCTCGTATATCGCAAAATCAAATCTTAAAACAAGTAACACTTAACACCATGAAGCTCTATACTTTGAATACCCACTCTAAGAACGGAGTCCGTAACTCGAGATCTACGGACAAGGCCTCTTCGAAGTTGCAATTATTGATCACCAGCCAGAGAAGCTCCTGCATCCAAGTGGTTCCGCACTTGGGAAGGGTTACAACAAACACATCCTTGTCGCGTATATCCATATCATGGACAAAATACAGAAATTTTTCAAAAGTTTTTCTATGGAAATGTTTTCTCTTCGACCAGTCTTTGTCGATAAGATTCGACGGATAACTCAGTGGGGTGATCTCTACGCGTTCCATGACAATAGTATACTGAGCTGGTTTACACAAAATTGGATTGCGAATCAAAACTTAAGAGATATTATTATGAGACTAAACTAGCTTTTCTCTCTTTGCCGTTATGTTGATAAGAATTTTATATCATTTTAATTGAACGGCCCCCCTCGTATTCTCTGATTGATAACAGAAACGTAAACAAATAAAACTTGTTTAGAGTATTACGATTTAGAATCAGATGTTTATTTGGATTTTTATTGCATTCATTTCTTTTATAAATATTTATTCATTTATAAGAAGTAGCTCGTTGAGGGTTACTCCGTTTTTATCGAGATAGCGTTGAATAATAAGATTTGCTTTTGCAATTTGTTCTGGTTTTAGCTCATCTTTGTAGCCATTAACTTGTCCTCGTCGCACGAAACTATAAAAATGAAATACTATTATAATACCAAGATACATCTATTTGATTGTACTTACTTGTGTTTCTCCTTGCCAGCGTCTTTGTTCTTAACTTGGGACAGCTCCCATAAGTGATTCGTGGTTGGGTTTTCTTTAAAGATAAATCATTTAAATTAATACAAATTATTTAAATACACATACATACTTTTCATTTCTTCAAAAGACAAGTGTTTCAGCAACTTTTCCATTTGCTTCTCGGTTACAGGTTTGTTAAGAAATCTAGACACGTCGTCGATTACTCCCCGAAGATTCTTCTTCATCTGCTCGAAACTGGTATAGTAGACCCAAGGTTCGTGGCGAAGTTAATAGAACTCGTGGGCATGTTCCATGACATTAATAACAGATTCTTCTTTCTCAATAAACTTTTCGAAAACTTCCTCCAACGTTTTTCCGTAATAATGGCCAAAGGTTACTCCGTGATAATATCTGGATACATAAGCATCTATTGGGTTTCGGAAAACGTAAATTACTTTGTTTTTTCGCTCCCAGAGCTTGGCTGGAAGTAGGGCCAATGGAAGGTGAGATTTAATGAGGCGGGGATCTTTCAGATCATCCACAGGCTTGAATGCCCTATCCAGCTCCCCGTGTATCTGATAATCGAACCTGAAAAATGTCTAGGATTAGCATCAGAGAGACCTTTATCTATATTTTTTTATACATACTCTAAAAACGGAGTACGTAGCTCTAGATCTTTGGACAAGGCCTCTGTGAAGTTGCAATTATTGATCACCAGCCAGAGAAGTTCCTGCATCCAAGTGGTTCCACACTTCGGAAGGGTTACAATAAACACATCCTCATCGTGCATTTCCATGTCGTGGACCAAATCCAGAAATGGTCCAATATTTTTGTTATGGTAATGTTTTCTTTCCGACCAGTCTTTCTTAATGAGATTGGTCGGATAACTCCGGGGCGTGAACTCAACGCGTTCCATGTCAACAGCTTTCTGACTAGGTATACACAAAAGTAGTTTTTAAAGGGTGTAATGGCTTGAAAAAATACCATTTTAAGAGAATATAGTAAGAGAGCTGAGGCCATTTTTCTCTCTTTGGTCGTAACGCTGATAAGCAATTGGTATAATTTTAATGGAATTCTGCTCTCTGATCTCTTCTTTGATTTTATACCCTTTCAGAGGGAAATATAAATTTTACTAACAGTGTGTTGTTTAGCGAACGAGACGTTTTCTATCCTAAAAAGTATATTATTAAAAGTAGTACACTTTACTAGCAGAGCACACACATAAGTTCGACATGGGTACGTATACGTGATATTTGAATCCAAATTACGTATACGACTCGACTACCCACACTAAATTATCCATAACTCAGCTAATACTTGTTCAATCGAAGAATGTTATGCCTTCCCGATCTTAGATCTTCGAGTTCTAGAATACTACGCAAATACTTGGATTACTAAAATGTAATAAAATTTTCGAAAATTTTTAAAGGGGTAACGTCATGATTTTCACCAAAAATCAGCCCAAAATTTAATTTCTCCGTGCTCATGATATTTGAATACAGATCGACGGCCATTGGTTCCCTGATTCGTGAATGGTATTTCTTCCCTGAACATGATGGAAAATGGCTAAAATATTGTCAAAAAAGTGACTTAAAATCCGTAACTTTGGCTACTTTTTATCGTAATGGGGTCAGGAGGATTTCCCCCTCTACGAGTTTCAGGGAATTTGCCATAATTTGGCTAAAACTTATCCCATCGACGAATTTTCTAATCTTATAACTTTGAGTAGCTTCACTTTTTATCAAAACCTGGCAACAAAATAAATATGGCCTAAATATGGACCAAAGGTTCCTATGTCTGCTATGGGTAGAACGCGTCTATAGAAGAAACTGATTCCCCCTTTAGTCAGCTTTTCCTTTTCTACTGATTGATAATAGAGTGTAAACAATGTGTTCGTAATGATATGAAATACCAGTCACTTATTAAAGAACATGTATAGCTGAGAACATGTATTCTGGATCAGCTGAGTGAAATAAAATTTGACTCGGATTGCAAACCACTATCAATTAACAGACATTTTTCAATGATAATTTTGTGAGAATTTCTTGTGGTTCAAGTTAAAATTTTTTTAACCTCTTAAAAAAATGTGAAAAAATGATTCAATTATTTTATGGATGTCATTTAATCACTGCGTTGTATGCCCGCTGAACCTGCAACTGATAGAGTAGTAATGTAAACACTTGACTTGGGGTACCATTAAGCCATATATACTGTGTAGAAAAAACAATCATTTATTTAAACGTATATCACCACAACTTACAGACTATTAGTAGAGATTATACAATAATATAGTATCAAACGGGTGCAAAAAATAATAAAGAATCAGTTGGAATTAAACTTGCTGTAGTTGGCAAAGTCATCCATGTTCAATTTGTAGTCCCGCAGATTGCTGTCGGACCAGAGATCGAACTCCCGGATGATGTCAGCGGTTAGCTCATCCTTGTGACTACCGACGACTCCCCGACGAACGAATCTGTGAGGGGATGAGCTATTTGGTCTTAGTTTTTTGGAGTTTATGTTATTCAATCTGAGGAACTCACCTGAACTCTTCGACCTCTCGTCCGGCGGCAGCCTTCATGCTTTCGAACTCTTTCACGTGATTACAGGCGGGATTATCGCGCATACTCTCGAAGGACAAGTGCTGGGTCATCTTCTGGATTTGATCCTGGCTAACAGAACACTCTAGGAACCGAGCCACTTCACCAATAACCTCCGCCAACTGACTCTTCATCCTCTCGTAGCTGGTGAAGAAAATATTGGGTTCGTGGCGCAGCTGCCAGAAGTCCAGGACATGAGGCCAGCAGGGGGTGAAGTTCACATATCCATCGATGAAGGAGTGCATGAAATCGGACTTGGTGCCCTGGTAACCAACCATGCCACGCCAGTGATGGAAGTAGGAGATGGCTGCATCCTTGGGATTCCGGTAAACATAGATGATCTTCGGTCGCTTGCTCCAGATCTGTTTGGGCAAAAGCCAGGCGGGCAGGTGGGACTTGATCAGTCGGGGCGAGGGTAGGGCATTGGCTGCCTCAATGGTGTCATGTGGCACATTGGGAACCACCCCATTAAATCTTCAATTTAAACCAAATGATTAGTTTCGGACAACAGTTATCACTGTCTAGCTATACCCACTCCAGAAAGGGTGACCTAATTGTTAAATCCACACTCTTGGCTGTCTCAAAGTCACAGTTGTTCATCACCAACCAGGTGAGTTCCTGCATCCAGGTGGTGCCACATTTGGGCAGCGTTACAATCCAAACATCATCCGAGCGCACCTCAAAATCATAAACTCGATCCAGGACGGGCTGGAATGTGTCAGCCAGGCGGCAGAAGCGCTGTTCCCAATTTCCAACCACCTGGACATCCGGTTTGCAGCTGGCGAAGATCGAGGAGTAACCGCCACTGATGGCCAGCTTGTCGATCTGTTCGAAGGGAACACTCTTGGCAAAGAAGCTCGACTGGGGCATCTTGTAAGTCGCGTAAATCGAGGGCACTATATCAATCGAACCGATCGTCTCGGCAGTTGGGACCGCAATAAACGCCGCTCGAGAAACCCAAAGCGATCGCGGGCAGAATCTCGCGTATTTACGCAACTTGGAGATGCATTCGTGACACGATCTTTAGGTGGGTTTCCGAATAAATAATGATGATACCCAGTACTTGTAGAAGTAAATTAAAGAAAATCCCAATCCTGTTTAAAGCTAAATAAAATAGAAATTTATAAAACTTTGCAGGTACCGGGTATTCATAGTCTAACCTTTTTTCAATATCTTTTAAATATAATATGCAAATATAATACCTCCTTTCAACCTAATATCACGCTTCCATCCCCAAACAATATTATGCAATTAACGCATAACCAGACTCGTTTCTGTTCATAAAGCGACACGATTTTTGAGCTGCCTGAATCGATCGTGTTGTAAGACTTTCTTTGTTGGAAGAGCCAAAAGAAAGTTTTTTTGGTGTTTGTTTACCTTTTGATTTGTGGCGTGCTTGGAGAAAATAAGCCCACTGTTTTGGGCGCTCATTAAAGCTGGAAGAATGCCAACCCAAATATGGCTTAAAACAGGTTGTTTGAATGCATGCCAGAGAATCAACCGATTGTTATGGCCAAAATGAGTGAAATCTAAACGAGGCAAACGATCTGATCGGAAAGCAAAAGCTAATTTCAATGTTGGGATAGGATTTGTCGGATAGTTTATTTCGCTCAACCTTGACCCGAAACTCCCCCATGTTTTGAATTGTTTTTTGTAGACAATTTCCATTTTGTTGGATTTTTATTTTTATTATTTGCATTTTGTTTTTGTTTCTTGTTTTGTGTTTTTTGTTGTGTTTGGTTTTGTTTTTTTTACAATAAATTTGACTAAATCTTAACATTTATAATCCTTAACCTGCAAGGAGCAAACAGATGTAGTAACAAATATACATAGTTGTATGTAAAGATTTATCATTTTTGTGTTCAGAAACATAATGTAGTATCGTATCTATATATATATTATAATGTATACATATATATATATTCTTTTCAACATGTAAACAGTTTTTGCATCTCATGTTATCATGATTTCTGTTTTTTTTTGCACACATTATATATGCTGATCAATTTTTTAATATTTTTTGCTTGCTTTGTAATTTTCGCGATTTAATCCAATACATACAATTGAAACACACACATATTAACAACATTAAATATTCATATACATTTATATTCTCCTATCGCTGAATATGATGTGTGTGTTGGGGATTGGGGTTTGTTTGGGGATCAACAATAATTATTGGTGTGGGTGGGATCGGAAAATGGGGTGTGTGGGTCAGATCAGATAGTGCTGTTTGGATGGATTCTCTGGGAGAATTAAGGGCGACTTTGGGACCGGGACGTGTATACGTGTATATAATCTTTATCAAAACATTTTGAAGCACGGGATTTAACACCTTGGTAACACATACAAATTTCTATAACTTGTGAATGAATTCCGATATCGTATGACATATAAATATATATTTTATGCTTCGTAAAAGTTGTATAAATTGTATATATGTATATTGTATATATTATTTAGCTTTTCAATTTCATCTTCCGTTTTATTTTCTTATTAATTTTCTTTTTTTTTATAACAAGAACGTATTATCGATTCGTATTAATAGATCTGGTTTATATATATATATATATATGTATATTTAATTTGTTCAGTCAATTAGATAAAAAGATTTCAAAAAGGATTTCACTTAATTGTTAAAACATTTGGGTTTAGTTTGATTTCTCATACCGTATGCTTAGAAAGCTAAACAACATTAATAGTATTAGCATTAGGATAGCTCATTGTTTTTTATTTGATTTCTTAATTTGTAGTTCAGTTAGGAAGGTAGGTGTAGGTAACTAGTTAATTAGATAGTAAAAGGGGCCCCATACGATTCACATTGTATGTCTCAAGAGTGGATTCGAATTAGTTTTGTTTCCATTTTTTTGTTGATTTTTTCTCATTTTTTTGTCTCATTATTTAATTTTAATTGTTAGCTAGTCAATAGTGATAGTATTTGTTTTTTTAAATATATGTATGTATGTATATATAGTGCTTGCCATGATGTCGCATGCATATGTATGTATATAGTCTTCGTCTAGCTATGGCCTTGTATTCCTTTCCGATTCCATTCACACTTCCATTTTCGTTTCCGCTTCAGTTTCTGATTCTTATTCCTGTTTCCGCTTCCGTTTTCAAACTCTGACTTGGACAGAAAATTAAACTAGATTTTCTTGGCTTTGCAGTAATCAACAGAGATTGTCTTCTTGATGGGAGAGTGAGGTTGAAATTAACAATTGGTGCCCACTGTTCCGTTTACCCTTACCGTAATACCGCTAAGCGCCTAAACTGTTATACTGTTATAATTTTATACCGTTGCAAGGTACTGTTGAGCGCACGCCATTTTGTTTGCTGTGGGATATATTTTTGCTTTGCTGATAGTTTGCAAGTATTTCTTTTCTAGTTTTTAGTTTTTATCCTAAAATACATACACATTTATTTATAAATGGGTGGGGATGGATGGTGGGGGACATACACACACACGCACACACCGTCACACACACATGGTCTCTTATTTTTTGTGTTTTTTTAATAGTTTTAGTTTTAGTTTGTATAGAAATAGAAAGTTCGCTTCTTGTGATGCATCTTAAACATTTAATTTTGAGTCCAGCCCAATATATTTGTTTACTTCTTTGCCTTAGTTAGTTTGTTTTCTATGATTCTGCATATTTGTTTTTGTGACACCGCTTGTTGGCACCTCGTAGAATGTCCCGCCCCATCCTCCGCTCCCATCATGTCCCGTCCGTGGGTCCTTTTGGAGACTTAATATGGCAGCCCAGCATAGTGGGCGATGGTGGAGCAGGGGCAGAGACAACAACTGGAGCAGGAGCAGAAGTTGGAGCTGAATGCTGCTCAAGCATCGGCATCGATATCAGTAACGGGATCGGGATCGGGATTAGGCCGAGAGACTGCGAGGGCGGTGCCGGAAATGGCCATCGCAGGACCTTCGTCGCCGTCACTAGAGCACATCCTCCATTTCGTTCTCGCCAATCGTGGAGGTGGCCGGCGCATGGGCCGGCAATGGCTTCAGTAGACCCGAGAACAATCTCCGGAAGGCCGTATGCTATTTGGAGTTGGCCAGCTTTCCCACTGGCGGCTGCTTGGCCATGATATCCGCCAGTGTATTGATGCCCTGCTCATCGTATTTCTTCCACTGCGAATAGTTGATCTGCATGTAGGTGATGAGCTGCGGCATGTCGATGAAGCCTTTTTATGGAAAAATATTTATAATTTCAGGTACAGAATAGAGAAGTAAACAACTCACTCTCCCATGCATGCATCATGTCCTGTATGATGTATTCGATGAAGCCGATCTGGCTCTTTGGTATGCTGCAGGTTGCACGATCAAACATTGGCATCACAATGGGCATGTGTCGCTGCTTCTCCTCGTCCGTCTGCATGAAGTACTCCTCGGCAATACGTCTGGCCCATTCGATGCAGTACTGCATGGGACGGGCGGGATTGCTCACATCGGCCACCTTGATCAGCATGCGTCGCATAAGGATCGAGGTCTCCTCCTCAGTCTGAGCATGTGGCTAAAAGAACATTACATATCTAATAGGTATTACACTTAAGATTAACTCAACTGACCTCTCGTGACTCATCGCCTCCGAAAACGCTCACAAACTTGGCCAAATGCTCAAAGTGCCGTGTCATCTCCGTGGCCAGGATCATATCAATGATAGTACTGCGGGCCGACTTGTACTGCTCCTTGTCCAGATTCTTGAAAATGTTGATCTTATCGTCACCTGATACGGACAATGGGGCGTATGAGTAATTTCATATATCAAGCCAGAAGCCATTACTCACCCAGTGTTAGCTTAAAGGTTATGGCCGCATGATGGTTCTCCAGCACCGTAAGATCATTGTACAGAACGGCCAGGGAGTCGTTCGAATTGCAGAGGAAGGCCGAGGACCGACCCGGATGGTCGACATCGTGGGCGGCGGCGGCAATCAGGGCTGTGGCCTCCTCCATGCGATCCATCACCATCATGTCCCTGTTAGTTAGCTGTGTAATGAAAGCACCAGTGGCCTAAGAGTATCAAAAACAAAACACGCAAAAATTAGAATAAATAAATAAACTCGTTAAGATTAGTTGGTAATCACCTGCATGACGTCCGCGGCATGAGTGCTGTTGTGATATGTGTTGCTCTTGTGGTAGTGAGCCTCGATTACCGCCAACCAGGCCTTGCACACGTTCTCATCGATGTTCAGGGTGGCGAAGACATCGAATCTCCGGAACATCTCCATGCCCAGATAGAGCAGCGGGTGGTAGTCGGTGATCTCTTCCAATTTGAAAATATCAAAGTCCCAGCTCAGAGATTCGTCGAGAAGTTCCATAATGATGGGGTTGGCCTTTGGAGAAGAGTTCAATATATTAATTATTACGATTTATTTCATCAGAATTGTACCTTCATTTTGGCTGGAACAATGGTGGCCGTTCTGGTGGAGCTGCCAGTGCGTATAATGGAGTCATTCGAGCTGCGGCGTGAGGAGTACACGCTGGGTCCCTATTTCAAATAAAAATTATAAAATAAATATGAATTTTATATCTTAGAGAGTTGATTGAGCTTACTGTTAGTAGAGCACCAATTAAGTCGGTGGCTATGGGATCATCGGTTCGTATTTCCTTCATTTGTGGACTGTAGAGTCCTTCGCGCTTCAGGAACTCCAAGACCTTGTCAATGAGTCTCGCCTCATCGGCCGAACAATTCTCCTGTACTTGTGATAGTAAATTGATTATCTAATGTGCCAGTGCGCAGAGGTTGCAGTTTTGTGTTTTTTTTTATATTTTTGTTTTTTTTTTAAATTTGTACATTTTTTTGTTTTCATTATTATTTTTGGTTAGCGACGCACAGCGAGCAAATCGAGCGAGCGAGCGAACGTGCGAACGAACAGTTTTTATACATTATTTTGTAATATATATTTTTTTATGAGTTGGTTCATTGTTCGAGTACACAAAACATAAAAGTAAAAAAGAGAACATAACAATTAAGAGATAAAAAGAGAATAAATGTAAGAACATGTTGGTTTAGATGTGCTGTTACTGTTGATTTTTTGGGATTAGTAGGCGTAAAGTTTATGTCAAATTAGGATCTCAAATGCTGGCACCACAGTGGGCTATTAACGGAAGTCTGCCACTGCCATTCCTCGTCCCAAATGCAATTTCATTACAGCTAGGAGTGGGTGTGGCTTACAGGTCAGAGTATATTGAATAATTTCATTGTTTCATAAAGTTTTATATGAACTTTATATGACATGTGAAAACAGACTCTATTCAGCTACTTTTCAAATAAAAAGCTTTGCTTATAATCCTTTTACAGGATTACTTTTGAAAAGTTTCCTTTTAATTGATTAAATCAAAGTAATTTGCTAATTAAAAGCAGATCAGGTGCAATCAGTTTCTGCCCTGAAAGCCACATCACATCTCTGAACCCAATTATTCAAAGTTTGCGAAAACTCCGAGCCGGAAAATGCATTTGTGTCGGTGCCTGTGAGTGTCGGGTGTGCGTGTGTGGGTGGTCGGTGGGCATGTGCTAGTGCAAATATTGTTGCTAATGTTATTACTGTCGCTGCTGCAGATGCTGCTGCTGCTGCTGCCGTCGCTTCAATGCTATGTCACGGGGCACGACAGGACACCACGACAGGACACCTGGACACATACACAGGCACAGAGCACAGGCACAGAGGAACAGCCACAGACACGTACACGGACGACAATTTTGCAAAATTTAGGCATTCCCAAAAAAAAATGTATAGAGGACCCTCTACCCCTCCAAAAGGTGCAACATGCTGCAGCCACAACCCATACGAGAGGCGAACTCATACTTTAGTGATAGGCGCCTCCAGCGGCAGCGATGTCAGCTTGGCCAGGCTGGTCCTCCGTAATCCATCCGAGGCGATCGACCGGACATCGAAACTGCAACGCCGCACCGAGTGCAGTGAGCCGCGCGGCGCCTCCTTGGGCTGCGGCAGTGTGGCAATGAAGTCCATCTGGCCGCCGGGCACATCAAAGTTGAAAATCAAGTGCGTGGGTGCGCTGTCAAAATGAGGTTAGCAATTAAGTGGGTTAGCTGAGAGGGGAGGTGGCCATCCGGAGGTGGTTGGGACTCACCTGCCGATGCAGGCCACTGGCACGACCCGTACATGCATGGGTATGCCCTCCTGGTTCTTGCGGCGCACGGTCAGTATCCCGTCGAACTCTTTGATGCTCTTGCCCTGCTCACTGATTGTGGACAGGTCCGATACGAATATGTCCGCCAGCGGCTTGCTAATGATTTCGTCCTGTTGTCGTACACGGAAATCTCATTAATGCCGCAATAGGGCAAACAAATACCCAGCCCGCTATACTGCCATGTCGCTATACTGCCACTAAACACTTACCAGCCGCATGTTGAGGAGCCTCTCGGTGGCACGGTTCGCGTACTGGATGCGAAGCACGTCATCCGTGATGAGCACCACCTCCTTCAGCCGGTGCAGGGCCGTGTAGAGTGCCTGGGGAGAGGGAGAAGAGCAAAGGCCATGGCAAAAGCAATGGCAAAACCGGGAGGTTACACACAGCGGGTTTACAGTTTCATTCCAGCACGACTGTCATTTAATTGAATTAATTTGAGAAAGCTTTGGTGGAGTGGCGGAGAGTGGAGGGTGGAGAGAGGCGAGGAGGTACAGAGGTCGGGAGGAGGAGGTCAGCGGGTCATTAACTCGATTACCTGCTGAGTGGACATGACATTGTGCGGCCGGATGATGGAGTGCAGTATCTGCTTCAGTTCCACACTGCACATGGCCAGGTTGGTCGTCTCCGCTACGCACTGCGAAATAAAATAGTTGTCAGGCTGTAGCATCTGTAACTGTATCTTTTCTCCCCATTTCTTAATTGTGATTGAGCCTTATTCTTTGATGGGGCACTTAACTGAAACTTACTCTATTAACGCCAGCGTCCAATAGAGCAATTAGCACATCATCCTTTTCGAAGAAACTGCAAAAGTCGGTCGTTAGTAGCTTATGGCTGGTGGCGAGTGGAAAATGGAATGGCTGGCTGGCAGGCTGGCAGGCAGGCATCCTTGCCACACAAAAGAGCCTTTTCCACTTTATATTCTCGCACATACACTCTTACACTACTGATACACACTCACCTCTTCTTGCAGACTGCAATTATTGTCGTTAAATGGTGGCCGTGTGTGTGACGTATGGTTCTGTGGGGAGCAGAAGCGGAGGAGACAGCAAGTTTTATGGCAAAGTGAAAAGTTTATGAAAATGGAAAAGTTTCAAAAACTTTGCCCAACCGACTCGACCCAAAACAAAAAACCTGAACCCAAAGCTTAAACCCAAAACAAAACCCATTTCTTAGCACCGGAAAACCCACCTCGCAATATGCTCCGCATCCAGATTCTTGGAGGAACGGGCATCAATTATGATTAGGTGGTAGCACTGAGCGGTGGCATACGACTTCTGGAGCGTGTCCAGGGCCTCCTCCTTCGACTTGACCAACGTGACGTCCAGTTGATGGCGCTGGCAGGCCGCGGAGACCGCATCGCAGATGCTGTCCGCCTTGTAGAAAACGAGCAGGGCCTGGAACATAAGGAGCAAGGTTGGGAGTCGGGTCAAAGCCATTGCACTGATTGAATTGCCCGGGTTCAAAGTGGTCCGGCGAGGGCTTACCTTAAGTTGAGGATTCGGTGGTAGCACGGTTGGATACTTCAGGTCCATGAGATTTCGCTGCAATAAGGCCAAAGAGATCCAAAGCCAGGGGGGAAATAAGGAGAAAAAAAAGAAGATTTGTCAGAGCAGGTGAGACAAGGTGTAAAATTTAATAAAAATCTGCAGCTCTGTCCCGGTTTTACCCATCAAAATAAGAGGGCTTAACCCGGCTTCGCCTTATTCCCCCCATGCGTTGTGTATCTGCCAGATACGAGTACGAGTACAATGCGTGAATGCGTGTGTGTGGCGTTGGTGTCGCTTAAATGATGATAAATTAAAATAAAATTGCTCGTTGCTGCCACTCTGACTCCAACTCTGACTCTGATTCTGATTCTGCCACTGACTTATGTGTGGCACGCTCGTGTGCTGCAGATTTATAATGCGAGCACATTAAATCCGGATCCGGATGCGGACCCGGAATGGTGTTGGTGTTGGGGTGGGCTCAGTGTCAATCAGGGGAATGAAAATGTAATCGGAAATGTATCACAACATTTTCCAGAACACATACACCAGCCAGCCATACGACACATGGCTAAGGCGACAGATTGATGGGCTAACCGTAAAAGTTGTTCGTCCTTGGAGAGCTGTACCTGAAATATCCTGAACTCCTCCTCTTCTGACGTTTTTTTCCCAGCCACCTGGAGATGTAGCTTTGGCACCTTGGGCAGCCGTCGCTCGTACAGGCTCCGTGTTTTTCTCTCCAGGCAGTTGGCCTTGCGTCGCAGGACCACCTCGCAGGAGTCCTCATGGTCATAGCAATCCGTCTCTCTTTCGCATTCCCGGTTTTTTGTGTCCAGACTGAGGTTGTTCAGCAAGAGCGCCGGTACGTCCAGGCTGCGTATGACCTCGGCTATTTCCGGCTGCAACGCACTTCGTCCGCTGCCCGAGAAGGCCACGCTGAGCGGCCTCGTATTGCGGCGCAGAGGAGTCACTATGTCACGGCCCTCGGCCTTGACGTTCTCCTCGTATTCCAGCTCCATTTCCTCGGGTGTTTTTCCCGAATTCCGTCCGCCAAATGACTGGGAAATGGCCACTGAAGCTGGCCCAGAAGCTGCTGCTGTTGCTTCTGCTGCTGCCGAAATCGTTTCCACTTTCATTTCCGGCCAGGAACCTTGGATACCGCCGTTAATTGCTGGCACACCCGAATCCAAATTCAAATCCAAATCTAAATCCGTATTAGCAGGGCTTATCAGCCGGCTGGGGCTGCTTTCATTATGGTTATCGCTTGGCGGATCGGATAAAGCCGTCGGCCTAATTACAGCCGTATACGGCTCCCCATCAGAGTCCGGCTCATTCGATGGATTCTCTCGGCCGGACTTGGCGGAGGATTTGCGGCGGAACACACGGCTGAATTTTGGCAAGCAATTGCGCATTCTGCTAATTATAAAACAACACTCAGCCACTCGGGAGAGAGTGAAGCGACCGACACCGACACTATCACCGCAACAATAACAATGACACCGACAATTACACTCGGCACTTGAGGTCCAATGTCTTAGATCAATAACAAGTTGTTTGCATAAGCTCCACCACACACGCACTATAATGGAGACGGACTAATGACAGGGGCATTTCCAATTTTTCCACATTGTCTCTACTAATGGGACAATCTCGATCTCGCCGTGTATCTGTATCTGCTAAATCTTTGGTTGTATCTGTAATCTTTATTTGTATCTGTTGTTGTCTGTTGTCGGTCGACGGTAGACAGTAGAGTGGGTATGCGCCCGACTGTCGGTATCTCAATCTGCGGTCGTATCTCTCCGTTCGGATCCGATTCTGTGCGCCACTTAATAATTCACAGGTTTTGTGGTTCGAAGCAACGCGACATGGTACTGAAACGAAACTAACTGAATCGCATCGAAAGCGATCGACAACGACAACCCCAACGCTCAACACTCAACGCGGTATACGGGGGTATAATCTCTTTCTTTGCCTTTTGATTTCCCACCTTCAATGTTAATTGATTTGATTTCTATAGTAGCGTATTGTTTATAGGCAAGAGCCTCTAGGCCGGTGCGAGGGTATGGGTGAGAGGCTATTTAAAGCGGAATGTAAAGCGAAAAAACGCAGCGATCACCGCCCAACCACCCGACCCGCTGCCGTATAAACGGCTCTCTGATAAGATAACATATCAAAAAAAGACGTAACACACATGTGGTTGACTTCAGTACCCCATTTACTCCATTACCCCCCTCTATGTTATGGTGTTTTTTATGTGTAAGGGATGCAGACTCACCTGGTACACGTCCATTGGCTCATCTTCTGGGGTGAGGGCGAAGGCGAGCGATGACTTGCGGTGTCCTGGACGGCTATTCCCGCCGCCGGATGAACTAGTGCCCGATGTGCCTGTGCCTGTGGAAAGAAAATGATGAAAATGTTTGCCGGGAAAACACTCTTCGGTGACGAGGAAAATTCTCCCATCGGCCCAAAGAAGTATGCTACATTTCTGGGCGTTTGGGTCTCTAAGGGCATTGCATACTTTTGGGCTGCCGACAGCTAAATGCCCGCACGCCCACAATCAAAATGAATGGGTGACCAACACTAACACACAGACACACACACACGCTCACTCAGTCACTCTGCCACACACATACCAACACACTCTGACAGGAACACACGCACGCACATTAATTCCTCTTGTTGCACGTTTTATTTAATTATAAACGTTGGCATTTCAGAAACACTTTATAAACGGGCGAAGCGGGGAAATCCTCGCACGCCCCAACACACGCACACGTGTGTGCCCCGGCGAAAGGGTAAGGGTCCCAGGTCCTTGGTCCTTGGGGTTTCTATCTGTCAACAAAGCCACTCCATGCGAGTGAGCAGCGAGCCCCAAAGGAACTAAGCTCCACAAATTGTATTTCACTTAATGAGAAACACAGGACGAGCCAGCTCTCCAGCCAGCCAAAGCTGACCATCATCCAGCCCACTAAATATTTTCGGGTTTTAGGACATCACAAGGACATCAGTCCCACATTAAATTGCTATTCAGAAGACAAGGGAGTAATAAATATCAAATAAATAAATTTGCTTATAAATGTGCTTAGATATTCTGCTTTCGATTCTTAAAGTAAAATTCAAAAACATATTACCAGGCTCATGGGAACAAAATCCATATTGGGGCTTGGCTTACCTTCTCGGGCCATCGCAAAGTTGAGATGCTTTGGAAAAGTTGAAGACAAAATTAAAATTCTGTGGCTTCTTGCAAGTTATGTATGCTTAGGCCCGAACAAGAATTTTGAAGACCCCCTCTCTGGAAATGATTGGCCAAACACCAAACTTTTAATACACGGTAGAGTGCAAGGGTATATTGTGTTTTTAAGAGAGTATATATTCTTGATCAGCAAAGAATCAAAAGACTTAATCTGGTAATTTTCAGAGGAGCTATGGACTCTATTTACTGCCTCCCTCGTTGAGTGGCTCCTTAGCACCAAAAAGGATGCAACAAAATGGAGTAAGAGTACCGGGTATCTTGTAGTCTAGAAACACCACCTTAACCGTCTTCACTTGTTTCTAATGGAATTTACCGAAAGCTTTTGTGCGGCTTGCTTGCCAACAAATTAAAGTTATCAGACATGAGCAAATGTTAGTGCTTTGATTTTGTGCAGATGGGCGGACTAAATTGATGAATTCGTATTTGCCAAATACACTTTTTGCATTGAGATGCAATCCTGTTAAACGCACTTGCTCTGCACATCTCAATTACTTTCCATGTTGATGGTTGGCAAGCCCAATTATTTCTAATTCGCTGACTTTTCAGAAATTATTAATTCCAATTTAGCATGTTTAATTGCTGGATTTAACTTTTAAATTGCTCTACATGGCTAAGCAGGTGGAAATCTAACCGACAACATGGCCAACATGAGAGATGGAAGGAAAATGAACAAAACTTTGGGCATGATTTTTAATTGCCAAAACCCACTTGGCAGTGCATAATTTGGCCACAAAGCAAACTAAGTCCGCCCACAAACACAAACACTAGCACACACACTCTATAGATATGTGGGTGGATGTTTGTTTATATTTATTCCAGCTCCCCTGTGGACACGCATGTTAACCGCATCATCAAACTCAACTTTAACCCCTGAAGAGCTGAACCCCGAGAGTTGAGGAGCCTTACCCACATTTAGCTCGGATTCGGAGGCCGGACGCGTTAATGAATCTCTGCCTGCCGTTGGCGTTGTAGCTTCTGCTCCTCCTCCTCCTCCTGTAGTTTTGGCATCCATGACTGGGGCTTGTCTGGTCAGGGGCACACCCACTAGCCCACTGCCTCCCACCATGGAGCAATTGCAATTGCTGGGAACACTTTCTTCGCTTGTGTGGGCAGCGGCATTAGTGGCTGTGCTCGTTGTCGTTGCTGTTGTAGTCGCCGATCCAGCCAAGTTCGGCTGGCTGGAAATTATCATTGTTTGTGTTTTGTGGACCTTTGTTTTTGTTTTCACTTTTGTGTTCTTTCTTGGCTAATTTGCAAATGAAGTCACACAAATTTTGATTATTTTCGTGGCATTATGTTAATTGTCATTTATGTGCAATAGTTTGTTTTTTCTTTTCCTTCTCTGTTCTATCTGGTTTGTTTATCTGTCTGCGGCATTGATTTCGCACAATTAGTGCGTAATGATAAAGTGGCCCACATCCGAGCGCACACTTAATATAAATAACTAAGTGAGGCATAAACAAAAAACTAGCCAGGGAAAGTACCCACTAACATACGCCATCCATGTACCAGTTTTCATACATAAACCCGCCAGTGGGGACAGAATATTTGCGCTTATTCAAATGGGTCGAGTGTATCTTATCGTTTGTGTTATATACATATTATATACATATATATTTTCTTTTTTTTTCGACTAAAGGAACTGGAGAGGGGGGGTGGAAGCATGGGCAGGGCGGAGATGGGAGTTGGGGTACACGCGTTGTAATCTAAACGAAAATCGATAAATTGTTTAGATAAAAAGCGGCCAGCAGCCGCTGACGTCGCAGCAACAGGCTCAGGGAGCTGTTTTTTGGGGGGACCTGCCCCACCCACCACGAAGAACCATATTTTTGACTTTGTCAACTATTTTGAAAGTTCAGGGCCTGGAAACTTGGCTAGTATGTACTTACAACTGGGTCTCGCACTGCGGTTCATAGTATCAAATCCCGAGGAGAAAAATCACGGGCTCATTAGCGTGCGAATTTTCACTTGAAGTTGGGACAGCTTGATCGATTGCCCAACTGTTGTTTTTTTTAACTTTTAGTTTTGAGGTGTGAAGGGAGGGGGCTTTGGCTGAATTGAAATTGAATAGAGCCAGCAGGGATTCACTTATTCACTTGCGCTCGGCGGTCCGAAAACCAATCCGAATCCGAAATCCGAAAAATAAATTGCGAAATCGCGAGCCGGACTGAACAAAACGTCCGTTCTAATCCGGTATGAAGAACTGTTTGCCAGATGATAATTCTCGCACGGATTTTGAAACTGGCTGCGGCTCTGGTGGCTCTGGCTCTAGCGGTGGCAGTGGCAGCGACAGCGACGTTGTGTACGCTCCGGCCCAAACTAACGGTCTGCTGGGCCCTGGCCCGGTCGCATGGAGATACAGATACATTTGTATCTGCGAGTACGCTGGGGCGTATCTAAGGCGCTTAGCCGGCTGTTAGAAAGCAGGTGCAATGGAATTAAATCCCACGGAATCGCCGAAAGTAAATTTAATTTTAATACAAAGAGAGGATTAAGAAGCCAGGGAACAGGATAAGTGGAAACGGGAAGGGGATTCCAACTGCCTGGCTGGCCGATCAGTTGGCCAATGGTTTTGGGGCCTTTTGCGCCTTTGGCCGTTGTCATGGCGACCAATTAATTTGTGATAAGATAATATCAGCCAAGTTTGCTCATAGTATTCAGATGTTTAGGCTGTGTGTGCGTCGGCGGTGGGCGGAGGTGGCCGAAGCAGAGGCAGGTTCAGATACACAGCACTGGCGCAGATGCACAGATACTCAGGTACACCACAGATAGAGATACGGGGGATCCAAGGGAGTGCGCGTGCACAATCTACAATCTATGGGTGGTGGATGGTGGGTGGCGGTAGCGGTGGAGGTCTACCCGAAATCGAAATAAAATTGGCCTACTATATCTAACAAAATGCGATCTTCTTTACTCAGCGATACTCGCTAGCTGATAGCCCTATACTAGCCACTGGCCACCGGCCGCGGCCACCTTACTCTATAGCCACTAAAACTTTATAAAATTAAAAGAAAAAAAAAATAAAGAACCATATTGATAGGAAACATGGGAACCGACCGGCGGGCAACGTATCCAGCGGTAATCTAATCTCCGCCGGACTCGGCGCGCCATACGCGTATTTGTGAAGAGCTTCACGTGGCTAAACCCGAAAGTAATTTGTGTAAAACTTAGAAAATCGCAAACTAATGCGAGTGTAGGCAAAAGCATTGAAGACGTTAAGTATACGACCAGTTGCCAGTGCCACCACTGCCACCAACAAACAAACAAACAAACATATGTAGTACCGAAAAGTCATCACTCAATTTCCCCAATTTCCGTGCAAACTGATAAACTGCAACAAACGCGACTGTGACGCGTGGGATTAGCTATATATAATGGATCGAGTAGCGTCGGGTAGTGATCGCTCGGTTCGGTTTGTTTTCTTTGGCTTTGATTGATGTTTTGGCGCCATTCCGTGGGCGTTTGTTTCATTGTTTACAGGGGTTGGGTGAGAGAGTGCAAACGGATCGATAGATCGATCGGTCGATCGGTCGACTTGAATTAAATATGAAAAATAAAAAGATGCGAGATCCATTTCCCTCTCTCGATCCGTTTGCACATCTCTCCCTTTCTGTGTTTATATGGCTGCTGTGGTGACTGGCACAAAACCAGATATTGTCATGTGAATTTTTGCATATTAATTGGATGTTTTAATTTATTTTATTTTTGCGATTTTAAAAGTGAGAATTCCGATACCCGGGGGTCCAATAACTTTCCAAGTAGGATTATTAAAAATGCACTTAAATAGAACAAACAAACTCAGAGGAAAAGAGGAAAACACTGGCACATAACGTATCTGCGTATCTGGTGGATTCATGTATTTTATATTGATCATCAGCTACACAGATACAGATACAATATCTAGCCGCAGACCGGAGACCGGAGACGGCTACTCGTTACACTTGCTGTTTCTGCTGCTGCGGCTGTTGGCACACTTAGTTGTGAAGTTTGTTTTGATTTTTAACACTTTTTTTGATACTCTTCGCGTGTATGAGTGTACATTTTTGTTGTATTTTAGAGCACGCTAAGCTGTTTTTTTCCACCTCGATCGAATGCAGCCACGAATATTTTCAGTTGCGACTTGTACATGTACATGTACATCGAATCGAAACGAATCGAAACGTATCGGTTCGGTTCTATGCGTTTTTTAATTGCAATCGCTTTGGTTCGACGACTGGTTGGCCCTGAGTTATATGTTATATAGCTTATAAGCTGTAAGCTATCTATATGCACTGCTGGCACGACTTTTGGCCAAATTTGTGTTGATTTTCAGTGACCAGTTTAGTGTTTTTTTTGTTTTGTTTGTAGATTTGTCAGCAAAGATCTGCGATTAGACGACACACACACACAGACTATTTTCTTTTTTGGATTTGCATAAGTGCGTGACACTATTGCAATGATTGCATTCAATTCCACAATATATGGCACATGCAGTAGATTCACTTTTTGCTGGTGTTATTGTTGTTGTTGTTGTTGTCGGCGGCAACTGCGGCGGCGACAGCAACTGCTACTGCTACTGCTTCTGCGACTGAAGCGACCGACGCGACGAAAGAATCTACAGCAAATGAAAATGAAGTGACTCCATAAATGGCGAGCAGCTGTTGCCGCAAAGTTCGTTTATCGCCAAAGCCTATATCTCTCTTTATATCTCTCTCTTCTGGTGGCTCTGGTGGCTCTTGGGGCTCTTGGGGCCTGCCACTTCCACACCCACTCTCCGGTGCTCCCACACTCTCTCACTGGACTGATCCGCTGGACTGAGCGCGATCAGGTTACAACAGATGCTCAGTCAGTCTCACCTGAGAAACGCGAAACTGGCGGTTGGAAAGGTGAGATAACAGAACCGAGAGCCAGACCAGAGAGCCGGGCAGCCGGAGAGAGGCTGGTAATTAGACGTCGCCACAAAACAGCTGCGCTTCAAGCTGAGACAAGCGCCAGCTGACTTTTCTGAGACGGGATCGGGTTACCCGAACCTGGAAACCTGGAGCTGCATCCGAGAGTGTGACGCACACCTGATACCCCCTAATTGTTAAGCAAATAAATAAGAAATATAATTAACATTCCCATTGTCTCATAACAGGCGAGTGTCTCCCCTTTCCAACTTCTCGATTGATTGGGAAGATTGATTACCCCTCTCGGAAACAAAAACTTTTACCACCCTAATCAATCTTTTTATCTAGCCAACGTTATGACCACTTGACTTGATTGAGTTCCAATTTTGAGAATTGTAAATTTTCTTTCAATCAGGAGAAGAGTTAATGTGCAACCCCCGCTCTCAGATTCCCATTGATAAGTGCCCCGTTTGGAGTACTATCAGCCCCAGCATAGCGGAAGTTCTTAACGGTGGAGTAGCCTCACTTCAGATTAGAAGAAGCATAGTTACTCAATCGGCGGTCTTATCTATGGCTTTTATTGCCCAAGGTTCTGGCCAATGTAAATGGGTATTAAAAGGGGGGATCAGTTCCACAAATGAAGTTATATACCTCCTAAATGAAAACCGGTTCTAAGGAGCTTGAACTTCAAATCTTCAAGGTTACTTCCATATTTAATTACAACCCATATCCCTTTTGAAGAATGATAGTGCCTTAAAGTGACTACTGTACTTACTGCCTGTGGCACGTCGCACCACGCTGTGCGTAAAGTTGCCCAAAGCTGCCACCGTGACAATCGAGTCCTTCTTCCCGGTACTGAGCTGCAAAAGCAAACACAAGGAGCCATATAAGCGGCGAGTTCAAAAAGCGACCTGCCCCCTCAAGACCAAAGAGCTGGATGCCCTCCATCCCATCGGTAAGCTGTGGTGTTTAGTTACCTTTTCGTAGTCGGCCTCGTTCTTGGTCTGCAGTGGATTGAGTAGCACCTGGCCGCACAGATTGTCGCCCGCCCCGCTGCCCGCGGTGCTGCCGTTGCCATCGTTGGGAGTCTGCAGGGTTACGCCCCCGCAGCTGCAGCGACGCAGGCGACTGCGACGCAACTTGATGCAGAAGAGTCGGCTGCCATCCTTCTCAGAGGCATCCAAGGGGGGCAGGGATCCCTGGCCGGAGGTGGGCTGGCCACCGGCTGCGGCCGAGGTGGACGAGGGGGCGGGCAGTGTGCTTGGCGAGCAACCCATGGCGAAGTCCTGCTTCTGATCCTGGTACTCCTGGCACTCCTTGCACTCTACTGACTAATTCCGCGTCCACTCTGGACGTTGCGGTTACTAAACTAAATTGCTCTCGGTCGCCTGGTGATTTTGGTTTTAGTTCTAGTTTCGGTTTGGGATTTGCTTTCTGTTTCTGTTTCCTTTTCGGTTGGACCTTGCTTCCTTCCTTTTTTCGGCTTTGGTCTACGGATTCCGGGTCTTGGAAAGGTGCAGCTTATTCCTCGGCTCCTTGTGGTCCTGGCAGTGCTCCTGCCGCCTTTTGGTTGCTGCTGCTCTGATTCGATTGCTGCTCTTCTGGACGATGCTGCGGTTGTCGGCGATAACATAATTGAAACATTTTCGGGCTGCGGTCTGCTGAGTGATGGACTGATATTCCACAAACAAAGAGCACTGCAATTTGAGTAAAAGAACAAACATTAATTAAAATGCCACAAAAATGCAATCAAAATGGGAAAAATTCTAGAATTATTTAGGATAGAATAGTACCGGGTATCATTTACTTAAAAAACTCGACCATAGCTTTTTTTAAAGCTGAAACCTATTCACATTTGAATAACAATTCCAGACATAATTAATTAAATTAGTCTACTTGACATTGATGCCCCATAATTGAGGATTTTTCGGGCATTTCGGATCGGATATTTTTAGATTGTTTACAAGGCGAGCGTGGTTTCATTGAAACTCTCATCGAAAATGGACAGGGCACCCGCACAATTGTCAAAAACTCTTGGCAATTGTTATAAATTCATAAAAGCCCAAATATTGGCAATGATTATTGGAGCCAAGGCGAAAGAGCAGAAACCGAAAATAAATAAAAAACATAAAAAAGGAAGGTAAATAAGGGTGTGGAAAGACAGGGAGGGGGGGAGTCCCCCGCCCCTGGTCGAACGTGACCAACTTGCAGCATATGAATAATGCCCAGTCAGAGTTATGTTTGCGTTTTTCTTTCGCCAACAAACGATGCGACGACGACTCCTGCTGCTGTCTGCCATATTAAGTTCGGGTCCCCCCAAAAAAAAAAAAACTTTTGCGAAACTCGATAGTCTGAGCCCCCGGTGGCACGTATCAAACAATTGACTTGTGGGGATTTGCGAGTGTCATATATATAATAGAGCTTTCGGTATCTGTATCTATGACGCCCTGGCTCTGGCCCTGGCTGTTCTCATTCCGGCTCCGACTCCGGCTGTCATTCCTCGACACTTTATCTCGAGGCGGGCAAATAGAAAGAAAGAACCCTCTGTCGCTCGTGTCTTGCTAACCAATTTTAAATATTTAGATAAAACGATTTCATCGAAAGCGAACTCGACTTCGACTAACAGTCTCGAAGGAAGCCACTGACTGATATGCCAGTTGGGGGAAGGTGGAGCAGTACACTTCAGATTAGTCACCGAAAGTCGCACCCATTTCAAGTGGCAGTTCGAATCCCACTCTTTTTGGGAGATCAAGTCTGCGAGTGAAATGTCTTCTGTCTGAGGAGTGGATGGGCTATGATGGAATGGGAAAACAATAGGGAAAATACACAGTCCTTATCTCCAGCGACGTTGATTGACTTGCTAAAGGGAACGAACTGTCTTTCATCTGCATTCATACATAACAACATCCACGTCCATAAGGACACTTGTTGTGGTGCTCGACTAGGACTAGCGCCAGTCCTAGTCCTGGTTCCAGTGCCCGAATCCGTTTGCATTGTTGCCACCAAAAACAAAAGCCGTCACCAAAGAAGACACAAACAGGAAGACTGATGGCAGAAACACACACAGAAGAAAAACTACCACTACCATATTGGTATTTATGCCCCAAAACGTTGGTAATCAATTGACGATTTCATATCACGATAGTTATAGTTTGTCCATCATTATCAGACTTTAAAATTGGAAACGTATTTTTAATTTCAGTTTGATATAAATAAGTCCAATTCACCCTGATATGATAAGCCATTGCTTTTGTCGTATAACAATAAAATCTATATTTGTTTTTAATAACTGACCTTTGGGTATAATCGGAAAATTGTTAAGTAATATGAGTGCTGTAGTAACTTGTTGATTTTTCTCTCTGTGCCGGCTCAAAATCAACTTCAACCGACCCATCTACATCCCCAGGAAAGCAAAATAAAATATAAGCAAAAAAATAGAGATACAATAGAGATGACGGGAATCAGCTTTGCGTTCACATCAGTCTATGGTGTGTTTGTTGATTTAAACAAATTATTTTTAGAACCGACCATATTAAAATGTACAAGTAATGGCTTTCGCTGTTCACTCAGCCTCATTTAAGTTTTCAAATAAATAACGAACGAACGCTGTAGACGTAACATAATTTGTTTATCGCCGAGCAGGGATGTTGAAATTACTTAGCCGCCCCGTTGCCAGGCCCCGTTGCTAGGTGGTTACCTGGAGGTGGGCTTGGATCCGGACTGCGGAGTCAAAGCCACCCAGGATTCATCCCAGCGCCTTTTGGTATGCAACGCAAAAGCTCAAGAGCCAAAGAGCCAGAGTACCAGAGTACCATAGTGCCGCAGAGCCGTGCGGCATGCACCAAGAAGTGCCAAATTCTATTAGCGGTCCCCAACGTCAACGTCAACTCATTAGATGCAGCCAGTCACGGATGCTTTGGTAGCTTGGATGCTTGGCCCATAGCTATTAGTATGCAGGTGCTTGTGGGTATTTGTATAATAGCATCATCAGGATGCCTGATGTAGCCTAAGTGTGTGTGTGTGTGTCTGCCTAATAGAATTTCTTGCCAATATGTACGGCGGGAAGGCATGTTTGTATTTGGCAGCCGAAGCCGGGCCATATAAGAAACCTTGCCGAGACCAAAAATGATGAACATGGAACCCCCCTGGTGGAGCGCATTCGAACAATTTTGTATCTAATAGTTTTTGCACGCTGATATTTTGCAGCTGGCAATCGGTTGGATTCGGCTTTCTGTTTACTTTAGATGCATATATAGAGAGTCGATCGGAATTCGATCGTCTATATACAACATTTACAGGCGTTTCGGTGAAAACGTATCCAATGGATTATCAGGAATGGGTGGAGTAGCTTACATGTGACTCAGTTTTAGAAAAAAATGGAATCTTGAATATTTTAATATGAAAGTCTTATATAAGCCCAAGGCTAAATGTTTTCATATCAGTCTCTATAACTAGATCTGCCAGTTAATGTCTAGAAAAAATATTATTGTAAGCCAAACGAGCGAGATGTTACAGCTTTGGGATTTCCTATTCCCCCAGAAGAACATTTTTAATGGCCCATTATTTTTCAATAGATATGTACCATAGAGTATAAATCATAGGAGACCCTAAGACAATGGACAACCTTCGTAAGAGATCTCACCAAGAATTTCATGTTCAGATTGTGCGTCACAAGTGTCAGGCGATTAGTATCCTCGTGATGGGCCTTGAGGCTTCAGTATGGAATGGCGACTAATCGCTTACAGAGGGAAGGTTGAACCTCGACTAATTAATAATAAAGATGAAAGAACACGCCACTACATATATAGTACACACCAATGTATATCCGATGGTGTACATTGCTTACAATATCTATGGGGGCTTTTCCGGCCATTTCAAAGAGCTTGCCTGCCACTCGGACATTTGCATTTCAAATGCCGATCTTTCGAGCGAGCCATGACAATGGAAACGAATCTCGGGAATAATGGGAGAGTAGGGAAATAGTGTCGCAACCTGGAATGCCAGATGGGAGGCCATGGGGGAGCGAGGGAGTAGGAGGAGCTGGCTGATTGCCCCAAGCAGTTGACAATACAATCAAATGGCACACCGAGCGAACCGAGCATAAAGTTAGATGAACTGCAGACGGTCGGAGTGTAAACACGTCCAGGTGCAATCGAATGGGGGGTTTGCACTGAGGAGGAGGTGGTACTGCTTAGCATGCCCATCGGTGTGCAGGTTGCATAACCGTAGTTATAATAAACATTTCAAATGTATTTTTATTTTTCAGATTCCCCTCCTGACTCCTCTTTGAAAATCCCAATCAGTATGCACGCGAGCGACTCGGATTTATTTGCTGTTAACAATACCAGGCACCTACAATTGCTCCAACAACAATAACTGCTACACTAACAATCCATTTTAATAAACAGTTAAAATCGAGAATTAATTAAGTCAGCAGGGTAGGTAGTGAGGCAGCCAGCCAACTGATTGGGGGACAGCCTATCGCATAGATAGTGAAAACGAAAAGAAAGCCACCAAACTCAATTCATATAGTTATATAGTAAACAGCCATTAGATAATCGACGACAAAATGGGTCAGTCCATGAGGGATATAGCCGAAATACCATATATACACCAAAAAAAAAAAGAAGACATTCAACGGAAAACATTTTGGCAGTCAGCCTGGCAGTCAGGCAGCTAAAATGCAAAATGCAAAATTCGAAACACGAAAAACGAAAAACGAAATGCGAACGCAATTTGCAAACTTATTGTTGCTTGTTTATAAGTACGGAATGATATTTTTCACATTGTTTATGGCAAGTATGGGCATCGAGGCATCAAGGCATCGCTCATTGGCCCACCTGTGCCCCTGCCAGCCCCCTTCCAGCCTGCCACCGACAACATTTTAAGCGATTTTTATGTGCCTCTGTCGCGCCTATAAGAAGTCAGGTGAGTTAGAGGCACCGTCTCCGTCTCCGGCTCCGGATCCGGGGGAGATTGTCACCGTTTTTGTTGTCAGGTGGTGGGTGAAGCTAAATTAAAAAAAAAAACTGAAAAAAACAAACTGCAAAATGTTTTTTGCGACGCCAGTTGCATGAAAATTTTCAATTTTATTTTTTTATTTCATTTAATTTTATGATCTTTTGGAGGGCACTTGCTTAAAAGCCAGCAGCTACAGAGTGGGAGATACAGAGAGGCAGAGACGTTGACACTTCCAAGGTGGCTTGTATAATATAATTGCGTGCGATATACACACGACTGGGGAAGTCAGTGGTTTGGGGTGTAAGGATAGATGGATGGCTGCTCCCAGGCACCGGCCAGAAGCACAGATTTGTATCTGAATGCCATGCCATCTATGTAAATGTGTATCCAAAAGAATGCTCGCAAATTAAGCGAACAAACGAAAACAAAATCGCAACCGAAATATGTCCAACTTAAGTACATATACAATACATTATCTGTTGACGTACCGAAAAAAATGTTGTCGTTTGGCTGCTAGTTGTTGCTTTCCCAATGATTTCTTTTTGCTATTTACGTAAGTATGTATCTGCACACCACACTGTATATATATTAATATATATAAATATATATATATTTTCTTTATATTTTAATATTTATATCAGACTCTAGATATAAATTAAACAAATACACACATATGAGCACAATGGGGGGATGGGATATACACACGCACTAACAATAAATATATTTTCATATAAACGCGAACACGGGCACATAGATATGCAGGTGTGTGATAGTATGTGTGTGTGTGTGTCCGTTTGTCGAGATACTCAAGCACTTCTTTGCGATACATCGTCGTCACAATAACAATAACAATAACAAAACATTTTTCGTTGCTCTTTCTTCCACAAATTAGAATTTATTTTAATGCGCGGGAGGTCACGTTCATAGCACGGATGTTGTTGCTGTTTCAGTTTCAGTTTCTGTTGCTGTTTCGGTTGCTGTTGCCTTTGTTGTTGTTGACGCACAAGATATTGCAAAATACTCGCATGTACATAGCCGGGCAGTGAGTATACAAAATTGTAAACAGCAGAAACTTAAATTCAATGCATTAAAAGTAATAATAATAATAATATCAGGCACAGCAGCAGCAACAGCCGAAGCAGCAGCAGCAGCGGCAACAGCGGCAGAGACAGTAGCTGCGATAACACCGCAAACGTATCTGTGAGATACAATTGGCTCACATTTACGGCCGCTGTGCTGCCAACACTCAATCTGAACAATACACACACACACTCACACTCACGCACCAGCCATTCATGGGCAGATATACACACATACATATATTGATCACAAATCGAGTGAATATGATTGCCGATTATTGCGGCCGCGAAGATAACTAAATTTTCGGTTGCGCCACTGGTCGGTCAGCGGGTGGTGCAAGTTGGGTGGTTCTCCTTCTACTTCTATTTTTTCTTTGCGGGGCAGAGCCGGCGAAGAACGAAAACGCTCGACGAAAAGATTCACGAGATTCACGACCAGAGACGGGGGTAGGGTGGCCTGGGCAGCGGCGATCCGCAATCCGCTATCCGCGATCCACGAGCGGCAACGACGACGGCTGCCTGTCAAAGCAAAACGTCAACTCAAACTGAATCCGCTCCGCTCAGCACCGCTCTGTTCCGTTCGCAGAGAGCGTTACGATACGACACGATACTTTATGGAACACAAAAGAAACAAACTAGCTAGCTGGCTAGCTATAGCTGGCTGTCTGCCTGACTAGCTAGAAGAACGCGAGTACAAGGAAAAACTAAAACAGTCTCTGAGATACAAGTTCGTGCGAATGGCAACGACACGGAGCGACAGCACCGAACGAGAAGTATCTGTATCTGAACTTGGCAGCCCGATCAGAATCAGAAGCAAGCGGCACAAGCTGAAGCCCAAACAGAATCGGAAGCACGCAGATTTCGGAGAGCAGGAGAACGGGAGAGCCCCAGCGATCCATGAGATACTCCGAGAGCGTAAGAGCGCAAAGAGTCGAAAGGCCCCCCAAAAGAAAAGAAAGCCAAGGGAAAAAAATCAAAACACCAAGTAAGAGAGTGGAGAGCGTTTAACGCTCAGCTTTAAAGCTGAGCAACTATTTTCAGTGGAGCTGAGCGCGTGACTTTTGGAGATATATTTTGGAATTATAGCTTCTAATGGAGACACTGGTAATGCTATAGAAAGACTACTTGTTGGATATTCTTTCTCTTAAAAATTAAAAACTCTAAAAGCAGTAGAAAGGTTGGTCGATAAATGTATAAACATTTTGTTTTTGGTTTTAAAGTTTTCAACAAATTGGCCAAAAATGAAAATAAGAAAAATTGCTTTCAAGATATTTGTACTTATTTATGTGACCTAACAACGTGACATTATTTACCAACGAGCCCAATTTTCCAAAAAGTTCAAAGTTTCTATGTCCATAACTCTTCAAATATTGTGAGGGACATACTGCCTCCTTCTTGGAAGCTTTTTTAGGATACCCTATTGGGCCTACTTTAATATACATTAGAATAATTTATAATTTATAAAAAAAATTGTAGGATGAAAGATGTTGATATATGGGATACAGTGCGTATGCGTAATATTGTGCGTATGAGTGATATTACCTCTAACACTTAAAATTAGCGACTGAATTTTCTACAAAAATATATATGTAAACTAAATAGAAAAGCAACCATTTATTAAATGTATAATTTAAGGCATATCAGAGGATAGAAGGAAACCTTAGGCACCTGTTAAGGATAACATCTTAATGAGCAACTTATTTTCCAGAGTTTGGAAATGTAAGAAACTACAAGTTACTTGAGATATTTCTTGAAATTCTTGCAAGCTTCTGGAGCCCAAGATAAGATTATAAAGTTGAAAAAGGTCAAGTCTCTGACTTGGTATTTATTTAGGTCACAAAGCACTACAGATTTAGAAATTTTGTCTGGCCTAAAGAGCACTAACAATGAATCATTTATAGCATCAGAAGATAAGCGCAGTAACAAAAAAAATTCCAAGCCATGAGTCACCTGGGGGGATAGGTAGCTTTAAACGCACACAGATTTGGGTGGGCTTGCATGGTGGGTGCTACCCATAGTCAATATTAAAGGTGATAAACTTTATTCTGGTAACAATTCATTGTTTGTGGTTGGCCTGGCAAATTGCCTGGCCAAGGATCGGTCCTTTGGCCGTTCCATTAACGGCTTTTGCCGAGCCCCAGGCAATTGCTTACACTCCAGATGGAGTCTGCACGCAATCCAGCTTCATTTGGCCTCCAGTACCCTCACAAATACACAAAACAAACACAAACACGAACACAAGCAGAGGAATCACACATGGACACAGGGACACGTTCACGTACACACATGAGCACTTCTTGATGAGCTTATATGAGCAATGGGATTTTTGCTTCCTTTATTTTTGTTCTTTTGGTAATTGTAATTGCGTTTGCCTTCGTTTCATGTTTGGCATGGCCAAGTGCTTTCAGTATTTCAGTATTTCCACTATCAATTAGCCAGAAACCCAGGGCCACAGTCAGAGTCACATGCAGGGCCAGAAACAGAGCCAGAATCACAAACACAAACCGAATGCGAAACCAAATCCGAATACGGGTAACAAATCACGGAGCCTGCCCGCCGGGGTATTCCATGTACGAGTATGTATATTTTTTGTGTTCCTTTTTTCTTGTATTTTGGTTTTGGCTTTTTGGATTTGCATTTTAGTTGGCCGGATGGATGGAGGGTTGGGGGAAAAATAGGTTACCTGAATCCTGGCGAATCCCCGGGCAAGTATTGCTACTCCAGTTGGATGGTTAATTTTGCAGCCGTGCCGTAAATCACAATTGCCGAACCGGACCGATAGCTGGGCGAAAAAAAAAAAATATATAATAAAATCAACGCGATGGATTCACTGCCGAATTTGTTTTCCCATTGGAAGCGTGCTTGGTGGTGCGACTGCGGCTGCTGCTGATACTGGTGCTGCTTTCAGCCGATGGCCGATGGCGATAGATAGACACCAAAGCCAAAGCCAAAGCGGCCACTCAGTCAGTCAGTCAGTCAGTCAGTTGGCTGGTCGGTAACTTGGCCAGGAGGCGAGACGAAACGAAAGCACCTAAAACGGCTAAAACAGCGGGCGAACAACCGAACAACCAACCGATTGTGTGCTTGTGTGTATCTGGGTATCTATTAGAAGTGCGGCAGCGAAGCGCGAACGGTGCTGCGAGCTGCGTGTATCTATCAATTCTGCCAAAACCGAACTAAAACTCTCAAGTGTGCAAAATTGTACATAAGTCGAGTGCTGACTGGCATCCTCGTGCCACAGCCGAGCGGTTATGTTGAGCATACCAAGTCGCAGCTGAGGCTGAGCAAATATGTTGCGCACAGATACACAGATACACGGATACGGATACGGGTACGAGTACAGATACAGATACAGACCGAGTCCAGCAGCTAACAAACACGCTTGTTGCATGCCCAACAAATGTTGAGATACAAAAAAGCGATTGGACGCGAAAAAGCTCCGGCGATAAGGGTGGCCTCCGGTGGTTCCCGGTTCTGGGGGATGAATATGCAATCGACTGAGGAGGCCAAGCCACTAGCCACCTTCCGCCGGCCCCCAAAAAGTAGGCAACATTTTCGTATAGGGCGCAGGCGTCGCTGCTGCGTGGCAAGCTTTTATGCTCGGCAACATCCTGCTGAGGACAACTGTTGCGTGTGAGCCGCAAACACACACCCACACACACTCACATACCAACAAACACACACACACACCCACACAAGCGCATAATTTGTGTACTAAAAAGCCACACAATTGTTGTATTAAACACATCAAGTGTGGGCGCGGGGTGCACATGTCTCGGGCCCCCGTCTTCGGGTAATTTTACATTTCTTTTTAAAGCTTAGTTTGTATTGGTAAATAATAGAGGTTACTTCCCGCTCGGCGCCAAAAAGGGCAAACCATCGACGTACTTTATGTACGATACTTACATACGCCACTGGGCAAAATATTAGTTCTAAAAAATGGAAAAAAAATTGTTTTTTTTTTTAGAATTTTATTGAGGTAAAGATTGAATAGTTTTAGTTGGGTTATATATTATATTATGTTTATTCTTAATACTTTTTATTTTAAAGAATGTTATTTCCAAAATTAAAAGCTTAGTAGTTAGATCTTTGTAGTTTTTCAAAAAATTCAAAAACATGGACTAAGGGATGATATAGACTGTTTTAAGGTAGGAAATTAAAAAAGGACTTTTTTGAAGTTTTTGAAAAACATCCAAAACACAAAAGAAATTAAAAATGTTTATGGAAAAAATAAAATTTTATACAATAATCAACCCTTACTTGTACCTTCGAAAACCAAACCTAATTTTATAAAAAAATGTCTATTATTTTAACCATAATTGTTTGTCGTCGCTCTCGCAGGGGATGACGATGTATCTCGCTCGCTGGGAGCACATTATATAAAATTTATAAATACTTTTAAGCGCGGCCTGTCAAGGTGCGTGCCACGGCCCGTGCCCCTCTCTCTGTGTGTGTGTGTATGTCCTTTGGCTTGTGTGCGTCTTTCGTCCCTGTATGGGTGATTCGATTTGGCTCGGCTTAGGTGGGTCGAGATAGGTCGATTGGCTGCCGACTTTATTACTGTATTATTGGCCTTTAATTTGAGCTTGAACAGCAAATATACGTACATATATTTCCCTGGCGTCTTCCTGCGCCTTCTAACAATTCTTTTTCGGGCTAATTTCTGTAATGTTTTTCATTCTTTCCTGTTTTTTTTTTTTTTTTGTTGTGTCAGCAAAATAAAAAATGCCTCAGGCTTAGAGAATACAAACGATTTATGAGGCTGAAGGCTGGACCTGGACCTGGACCTGATTAGTTGGGGCAATTTAAGGACATTCAACACGTGACCGTTTCCCTTTTTGCATAATTTATATTTGATTTCATTTTTTGCGTTATTTATGATGTCCCTGGATTATTTAAGGATTTTCCTTTTGTCATACTTTTGATTCGTATTTATTTTAATTAAATTCCAACCGAAAACCCGATTCAGCGGAGCACTTACCACTGGTTACTGGCCCCAAGCTATGCAACAGATGTGTTGTCCAATTGGAATTGAAATACCGAGTGCAGCCCACGACGGGCTTCAGGAAATGATTGAAATTCCAAATCAAATTGATGCCCGCTTGGTTCGTGGAAATCAGATTAATGCAGCCGAGCCATTAAAGGCAATTACTTTGTTTTCTGCAAGTAATGGAATCACAACAGTCATCTTGCCAGCCATTGTTGTCTCTTCACTCAAATAAATATGTGATGAGGAGGCTTTAAATTTAAATAAATTGGACCGAAAAGGAAGCTTTAAAGTTTTATATTTTTGTCTAATAATACCCATAGCCTATTTAAGCAGAAGCCTCTTTAGTTGGTAAACATTCCTGGTGCCTTTCAGCTTTAGCGGTTTATGGCCAGGGCCCTAAACGCACTTGCCACTTATCAAGGTCCTTGGCCAGGCTGCGTCCAATGTACGCAAGTCATTAGGCTGATGGGTCCAGCTCGCAGCTCGCCTCCAGGAAATCATCCAGCCGCCGCATTATGCATTAATGTAGTTAGCACTCGACCCCACCTGGGCAGGTGAGGCCACTGGGATAAAGGTGAGTTAGGGCTGGTTGGAGGCGGAGGCTGGTTGGAGGTGGAGGCTGGCTACGCTGCGTTGGCCCCTCTTGGGTGCTAACAATTTCACGCATCCATTGTTTCCAACAACATTTGCTTTTCATCACTTTGTTTGGTGTGCATTTTGTGGGCTGCCTCTGGTTCAGCTTTTGCTTTTCCTGCCAATGATGAAATGAAGATGATAATCTACGGCCCCTTCTGTGTGTTTATAACTTTCTCGGCTTGTCAAAATTGAGGGGCCTCGCCACAAAAACAAAATATGTTTTTTTACAACGCAAGAGGCGAAAACAAAGCAAGTGGAGTTTAAGTGCTTTTTATGTTGAGTTTTTGCCCCAGCACTTATATATGTATGTATTTTTCCCGACCCATGGCATGGAATATGCCAGCCATCCAACCCAGAACCCAGAAGGACCACCCACCAGCCCGTTAATTAGCCACAAGGCCGTGTTTTATGACCGTGATCGATTCGAACTAAAATTAAATAGATTTATTATTCAATAAATTGAACGTTTATGCTTAGAATATGCTCATCAATTTGTTGCTGCTTTTGCTACTTTCGCTTGGCTTCGGAGTAGTTTTCAGAAGATTTCAGAAGAGAAGTGTTCTTATGTACCATATGTGGGGGGCTGGGGTTCAGAGGGCCAAAAGCGCAATTTAATTTTACGACAAATACATTTATACTTATTACTTGTGGTTGCTTTAATGCCTAAAATATTTCTATGATGCGTATTCAATGTGGTCATAATGGATGTGCCGTGATGTGTGTGTATATGTATGTGTTCTTATAATTAGGTTTTGGATACGGTATTTATGTATATATCCGACTACAGACTAAGTATCGATTGATATGTACAGGAAGCTTTGCAGCCTAACACAAAAAATAATAATGATTCAAGTCTCCATTTAGGAGGAGTAGGAGGATTAAACAGATTTCTTGCTAAAAACAAAACTGATTCTTCTCTCGAAAGCCTAACCTATATTATATATCATATATCATATATATATATGTAGACCTTTATCGGTTTCGGGGTTTGGGGTTAAGTGATGTTCAAAGTGATGCACTTATGAATGTAATGGCTATCAATAAATACACGCTCGCTAGCTTGTCTTTTATGCAAATGTGGAAATAGAGCACACACATGTATCCTACACATATCTCAGCTAACATATATATTCATATCATATATATATATATATATCTATATGATCTTTATATCTGATGGCGGCGGTTTAAAGTTAAGTCTTGCAGGCAGAGCAGGGGGTGCAGTTAGTTGATTTTTCTAATGCGCTTTCCATGTCCTGGCCTGTAAAAAAATGGCCTCCTCCTTGGTAAGTGTGTGTGTGTGTGTGTATGTACATTCAGGCTCGGCATCTGTGTGCTTGTGTGAGTTTAACTGCTTTTGTATTTTTCTGAAAAATATGACTTTGGTATTCCATTTCCTTCGTAGCACTCGTTATCCTTTCTAGCTGACCACAGCATCCTTCAGCAGGGGCATCCCCACACTGCCACCCCCGTTGACAATGGCCGCCGTTGCACTGCCGCTGCTGCTGCCCTCCATGTCCTGGTCCTGGCCATCCTGTTCATGCTCCGCCGCCTGCTTAGCCGGCGATTGATGGGCATCCTCTTCAGTTGAGGACTTTGCCTCCTGGCCCTCGTGCTCCTCCTCATCCTCCTCCTCCGGCAGCTCGCACTGCTCCTGATGGGCTGAAGCCTCTGGGCGGCATGGGGAACTGGTCCTTGTCTCGATTTGGCCGAGATTGGGCACATTGGCCACTAGGACTCCCGAGTACTTGATGCCATTCAGCTCCAGGTTGACAATCAGTTGTTGTTCGCCATTCTCGCCAGTTCCTAGAAGAATCGATTATTAATTATAGATAATGGAGAAATCCTTCTTTCGTTGTACTTACCATTTCTGGCCACTTGGAACTGCATGCCCGAAAGCAGGCTCAGAGTCTCCAAAGGATTCAGTTTCACCCCAGACGAGCTCTTCTCCTCTCCCGATCCGCTGCCCTGGTTCTTTCCATTGCCCTTCTTTTTGGTGGAAACGGGCGAACTGTGACGGTGACCCACCGAAGCAGTGGTGTTGGATGTGCTGGGCGAGTTCTCGATGGCCGAATCATCCGACTTGTCCAGCTGGTGGTTCTGATGATGATGGTGGTGGCTGTGATGGTGTCCATTCATTGGCTGCTGTTCGCTGTCATCGTGCATAGACGAGGAGTTGCCCGTTGTGTTGTGCTCATTGTGTCCGTAATCATCTTCCGGCTCGCCCTCAGAGCCAGCATCCTGCTCCTGGTGGCTGGCCTGGTGATGGAATCCCGCAGCCGCTGCCACTGCAGCCATGTTGTGTGGATTCAGATAGAAGTTGGCAGGAAACCCGGGCGGCAGGAGGCCACTGCCCACGCGCTTGGCCGGCGGTGGCTGATGAGGACCATCATCCTGCTCCACGGGCTCCGGAGTGGGTTCTCGCTCCCGTTCCCGTTTGATGTTAGTGAGATTTGGTGGGGAATCGGAGAGGTTCAAAGCTTCGCTGTAAGTGGTGAAATATTTCAAATGGTAAGTATCTTTGCTAAACAAGTACAGTGGGGTGTTTGTCTAAAGAAAATGACTTTAAATGTCTCATCTAGATGGCGCCAGTGTATAGTGGAAGTATTTAGTTTTCTTTTAAAATACTAATTTATGTTAACTATTAGGTTAAAATAAAATAAAAAATTCATAAAAAAATTCATTTAAAAATTCATGAAATATTTAAAATGTTGAATTAAAACTTGAGACATAAAACTGGTTATAATCCTTGGAATTTGAAAGTATGTGATTAATTTATAGTTTTTAAAATATATGTTTGTTAATTGCAACTACCATTTTAATGAAAATAAAACCTGATTGAGCTGTAAATGTTAATATTTTTTTTGAAAATTTTGTTGAAAATAAAACTTGATTGAGCTGTTGCGACTGTTAGTCCCAAAATTAAATAAACCTTATGCAACAGTGATTTTTTTATGGGATTTTTGTTGGGGGATAATCCATAAATATTTCAAGATCTTACCGTTGCTGAGGGGAGGTGTGGGCTGATCCCGGCGGACTGTTGTTGTTGTGGTACATGCGCCACAAGGCCACCTGAGCGCTGAGAGCGTCGTGCTTGCTCAGATCCGGACTCTGGGAGCGCTGGCGCTGCTGCTGGTGTTGCTGCTGCTGCAGGTGATGCGACTGTTGCTGGGCCTGTTGCTGTTGCTGCTGCTGGACCTGCTGTTGCTGGTGCTGCTGCTGTTGGTGCTGCTGATGCGGATGGCCGGCGCCCAGGACGGGCGGCAGGCTTTGCTCCTTCTTGGCCTGAATCAGCTGCAGATACTCCATCATACGGCTCTCGATCTCCTGCTTGACCAGGTTGGGCATCTGGCCGAAAGCCGGGGCACCCATCAGCCGATGGTGGGCGGCAGCAGCGGCGGCGGCAGCCTGGGCCTGTTGGTTGTTGGCCACCGCGGCATGAGTGACGAGGGCCAGCGGTGACATCTGTTGCATGCCCCCAGGCAGAGAGGGTCGCGAAATAGGTGTCTGAAAGGCGAATGGAATTTTTATAGGAACTCCTAAATAGGCCTAAATATTCAGACCACTTACCAATGGCATCTGATTGTGCATGGCTTCGTACTGGCCGTAGCTGGAGCGGCGTCCTTCCCGCCGGTTGCCATCGATGGCCGCCTGCAGCTCCGCTGGGGTGCTCAGGTTCTTCTTCTCGCACTCGTACGGGTATAGATACTTCATGTATCTGCAAGATGCATAAAATTATTAAGCATAGAGTCGGAGAAGGCAAGTGCATATGTAGAGGGGGGGCAAGGAAGACTTCACATTGATGTCCTGTTTAAGTTGAATTATCGTGTAAACACGAAAGCGACAGGCAAACAAAGATCGCTGATCAATTGTTGCTTGATCTCGCAGCAATGTTTGATTGTCCGTTTCTGTTTGCCTCGGATTGTGTGTTTGTGTTTGCTCTGGACATAGCTCAGGCATTAAACGGGAAGGGTTTCGGGATGGGTTCTCAGTTTTCAAGGTTCAGGGGTATCCACTTACTGGGTGCGCAGGGTAAAGGCCGCACTGGTGATGCTCGAGGGCAGATGCAGGCCCTTGATGATCTCCTGCCACAGCTTCTTGTTGATGACATCCACCAGCCCGCCGCGGGCTATTACCAGATTGTACAGCTCATAGAGATCCAGCACCGATTTGGCCATTATGGGCAGCCGATTGATCGGCGTTCCTGCAACAGATACACCAAATTAAAATCGGATTTGTAGTTGTTTTGTTATTTGCGCAATGAAACTTGCTCTTGCTCTTGCACTTGCGCCTATGTTTTTCCATTTAGCTCGTTAAAATGCCCCAACAAGCAAAACACGATTTAAAGATCCATAAAACAGATTTATCTATCTCGAAAAAAAAGAGAGAGAGAAATTGAGTGCATAGATTGCACTATCCCCCTGGCATAGCCATAGCCAGTCGTCTTCCACTCCCACTCATCGATCGCGAAGCAATTAACACTTGTAGCCCCTGGAGCAGCTAAAAGTGCATACCGAGGCCGATAAAAACTGAAATAAATCCTAATTGTTGCCCGATTCCAAACACATCCACCTATACACATGTTTGTACATATGTTGATCTGTTTATGGCCGCTAATCATCATCATGTGCATTGGCATTTACATCTATTTTCTATTTAAGATGTATTATTGTTCATGTTACTGCCAAAACTACCCTAAATACATCATACTATTGTCCATTATTTTTTGTTCTCTATAGTATAATCCTAAAAAAAAGTTAAAATTTAATATTCCTTCTTCCCTTGGGCGCAGAGCACAAGGAACATATAAAAAAACAAATCAAGCTGCATAATTGCTGGCTCTGTACGTGAGTAATTCGAATTTGTATAATGCTGGCCGGCCTCCTTTCCTTTTTTACGATCCAAAACCCAATATCGACTGCAGCATTCATCAGTGTTTTGGCCTGGGCCGCCTGTTGCTGCCACATTCGGTTCGATCGATTTTCGGTTTTTTATTCTTTCTTTTTTTTCTGTGGGGTTTTATGAGCCCGAAAGGAATCAATCAAACTCTTTGATGGACGTGTTGATTGAATGAAAATACGTTTGTTTTTTATGCATATAAACAAATTGAGTGGCGAGCTGATGCTCGTATCAAAAAGGAATAATTCGAAATAAATGCCAGGCGCTTTAATAATGTATCGTACTAAGAGAGCAAATCGATCGCTGCACGAGCCAAGCTGGCAACAAACAAAAAACATTCAAAGGAACATCCATAATCAATGGCAATTTAATGATCAACTCTGGTCGCCCGTCACTCGCTCGATTCGATCGAGCCAGGCCAAGGATCATTAAACCCCGATACCCAGATGCCCGGAGGGGCCCCGGGATTCGATTTGAAACGATCAGGACCGATTGCTCAGATCCGAGGGCGCTACTATTACTCCTGACACGCACATGCCGCCTGCCGACTGACTGACTTATTATTATTATTTTTCTTGGCAGCTTTTTACAATTTTTTTGTCTTTAGATTTTGTTTTATTTTGGCTTTCAGGCTCTGAACTCTTTTGGGGGCGCACACACATCTATTTATTTATTTATTTATTTGGTTGCATTTGTTTTCCTAGATGTCAGGCATTTTTAATGGAAATTAAAAGAAACTTGATCGAGTCGGAAATCATAACGCCACCAAGGGGGAGTCGACGCCACACAACTCACATAGTACGTCTCTGAGATCTGAGATCTCAGATGTGGTAGACTAGCACACCACCAGATCACCAGAATCACCAGAATCCCCAGTATCCCCAGATTTCTACAAAAATAGCGCCCCGGTTGATAAGTGATTGACGTCTTTTAATTAAGAATTGCGCCGCTCTTCGTTGCACAAACAAGATCTCACGGCAAGCGATCCACATTTATTTTATTTTCTGATATTTTCTGATGAGCTTGAGCATAATTTCCGTTAGTTAGTTGGTTGGTTGGTCGGATGGCTGCTACAATTGTACAAAATAATATCATTCCGCCTATATAGACATATGGACACGGAATACTTTTCGACCCACGAGAGTCGAGCATTCTTTCAGTTTCGGCGCTTCCTTCTCATGGCAGACGACACTTTAGACAGCAGTCGAGTCCCAGTGGCCCCCAAAAACGCCCCACCCCACCCCTTTCCTTCCCTAACAACATACCACCTCCCGGCACCCTCTCCTTTGCAGTGACCGCGTCGGGTGAGCATGCATATGTCAAAACTTGAACGCATGTGACAGATTAAAATCCATTAAGTTGTCAAGCCCCAAAGATGAACTACACACATAGATGGCGTGTGTGTGTAAGAGTGTGCATGCAAAGCATAGATTTTTAATATACTTTGTATGAAACTCGTACGAAATTACATTAAATAAATAAATAATACATGAAAAGGAGTGAATCCCAGACATCACACACTATTTTTCTTTGGCATTCTGCAGTTTATTCGCATATTAGTGCGAGATATTTTCGGATTCTTAAGGAGTTTCTTTTTAGAATAGAAAATACTCCTCATACTACTACCTTTAGAATTAAGTATACTGCTATTGGGGCTTGTTCATGGCCAGTTTGGAACACTACTTGGAACACGACTTGTGCAAATACAAATAAATTGAATGCCCTTTCGAGTCGCCAGTCAGGCGATTCCTGAGGCGGAATAATTCAAAAAGGGGGTAACCAGCCAGGAAGGTTTAAGAAAAATGTAATTTATTCGGTTTAGTACAGTCACGTCATGTTGCATTTAGATGCAGTGCGAGCAGTATTGGTTGCACGCCACCGATTGGACTCGTAATGCTCATAATTAATGACAAAAGTGCAGGAAACCATACTCGTATTTATAAATAGGACGCCAATGCAAGTACTGCATATTGGTATATGGCATATCCCCTTGGATCTTGGGTCTTTATGTATATACATCTCTCTCTCTGATGGTGTGTCTATGTGTTTGTTTGACAGTAATTTGAAGTGACAAAATGACAAAAAGTCAGCCACCAAAAATGATTTCACTACTTCTCTCTCGGTTTCTTTTCTTTAGAATTTGTGCATATTTTAATGGCTCCCCTCGCGGGGCCATCTCCTCCTCTGGCTGCACTCTTCAAAATCAAACGTCAAAATGCCGAGAAATTTATTCAATTAACATAATTTGAGTGAGCCCAAAAACACTTGGCTGGCTGAGTCAGCAAACCATCAACACCGACGACATCTGGGCCAGAGATATGCAAATGCGATGCAAAGGTTCATCATACACCAGACCAGATTCCCTCGAAATTCCCTCGAAAATAATGAAAAACTTCAATGCAATATACAAACTTACCGCGCTTTTGCATAAACGAGAATAAATCGTCGAGGAACTCCTTGCGTTTGGGGTCGTCATTGATCTCGTAGAGCTGTAATTGGAATAGGGAACCATTATAAGCATATTAGGCTCTGACACAACAATAAAACAATCCAACAATAGAAGCAACAACTTGACTCTTTTGGCCAATGGTTTGGCACAAAATGGAGTTCCCTTTTGGCTCACTTCTCTGGGCCTTTGTTGGGCCAACAATAGATGATTATGTTGACAAGGGCGCGTGGTCACTCCCCGTCTCAGTTTAACCCCCGAAACACGTATCTCTCCCTTTCAGTCATACAGTTCGCTGGGGGTTGGAACTCAGATACATCTCTCTATGACCTCCAGCCCTCAATGGAAAAGTGTGAAACACTCATTGAGTTAGAGAGCAATTGAATCGAACAATGGATAATTAGGTGATAAAGATAGAACCCAAGAGATACACACACAAAAAGATACAAAACTACATGGCGGTTTAGTTCACTTAATAATTCTACAACTAAAAGATAAAGGGCTAGAATTGGTATTGCCATTTGGGCCTTAATATTCATCATTGCCGGCTGTGATTTTCCTGCGGCTCATGATTTGACCTTTGCCACCAGGAACCAACTTTCCTAGTCGCAACCTCAACTCCGACTTGGCTGCGAGAGAGTGCATATGTATGTTCAGAATTAATGACAACATCGGAGTGAACTCATCAAATTCGGAATTCATCATACTTTCCGCCTACTGAAGTAAGAAACGAAAAAAAAAAGCTAAGACTTGCCCCGTCTGAGCCCAAGTCTGAGTCGGAAAAGGAGCTTGAGATGGAGTCCCCCAGCCGTGGTGCACATTCTAAGTCAATGCGAATGATGAACTGCTGCTCCGTCTCCCCTGCCCCTCGCACCTCTCCGCATAAATGATTTAAAACCAAGTCAGAAGAGAGTTGGGGGCCAGAGTCGGCTCTGGGCCAGGCTCTTGCCAACCTGGCTGGGTATATTTTTTATGATGCTCGACGCCCACAAGACCTATAGAGGAGCATTGCTTAAAAGCACACAAACACTGCCCTAAGATCCTTTTTTATTTCTGTATATAACTGAAGATATATATATGTATATTCCTTTATATCGCCTGGGGCTAAAGCCAAACACAAAATAAATTAATTGAAATTCAACTCGATTGGTATTTCTTAATGATTTTCTCTTCACAAAAGTTCACTTTTTTAAATGGTATGTACCTCTTGTATTTGATCTTCCGAGATGAGCATTTTGATAGCGTTTAGCACTTGTTGAGTTTATTTTTTTTTTTATTGTCTAAACAAAACGATCACTTGACTGCTAGAAGTTCTAGCCAAGAACCGAAAATTCCAATATCTCGAGAGGGGAATTCAGCGATTACGATTTTATTTCGAGGCAGGCGGCGGGCATTGATTATCGCGACGATGCAACGCCATCAAAGGTCGTTTATCAACTAAAATATGGCAGGAGTCTCTCGATCGAGATGATGCTGTCGACGTCGGCTGCAGCAGAACTAACACTATCACACAAACTCACACACACACAGTCACACACACACACGCACTCGAAGCAGGCAGGAACACACATGCGCATTCAAGTGCCTGCCTGCTAGTCTGGGATTTTCGGATTTTAATAAAAATTTTTCATAAAATGAAGTCCTGCCAACAGGCACAAGGGTTGCAAGTATTGTAGGAAACTTGCCTGCGCTGCATTATTTATTTCATTTTATTATATGTAGTTATCTTGCATCACAGCAGCGCCGCAGCACCGCAGAGAACCGTTAAGCGCTGCTACCAAGATCTCCTCGTTACCAAATCCTCGGGCCATAAAGCCATAAAACGGAAAACCAGGAATTCTATTCCCACCCTAACCGACGACCATAAGTTTGTAGACCAATCATAATCGTTTTTATTTCTAACTATCCAAGTTCCCGCTGCCTGAATAACACATGTTACACACACACACACACATGATCGCTTGAACTCACAGATACAATTCAGAGCGATCTTTTGGGTTCGGGTTATAAAAATAATCTCACTTATTTGTCGCCTAGACTTAGTACCTAAAACAAATCCGCTGCGCCGGGGAACTGTAATGCTTGAAATTTGAATCCTTGATTCTGGGAATTTTTCAACTGCATTTTTCGCCAGATCCCTGGCTCTGCTTCTGTGCTGTCTGTAATTTATAACTATCAGATACGGATACGGGGCATGTGGACACAAACAGATTGCCAGTGGACATTAAAAATTATATGGGCCGGGAGAGCGAGATATCCCGTTGCACGGCCAAGTGTTATCCTGCCAGATACAGATACAGATACATATAAGCAGATGTAAAAGTATCTGCAGGTTGCTTGCATATTTATTCAAGAATTTCACACTCTTCACACGAAATGTGTTGAACAGATTTTTTTTTTTCAGATACTATCTATACTTTAATTTTAACCTTTTACTCTTAAAAAAAAAAGAATAAAATTAGAACGTCTAAAACCAAGATAATTAGCAAAAACACGTGCCAAAAAAAAAAAAAATAAAACTTTAAATTGAAAGGAACTTGCCCAAACCCCGAATATGAATTCTTTCACGTATCTATAGATACTATTTTTTGTTGTTGTTGGCATTAGAATTAAGTACAAAGAAATAAAATAAAGAATATTATTGGAAATGCTTTGGGAGTCTATAATTAAACATAATTATTCAGTATGTACAGATAATTGACATTGATTAATGAGAGCAAAGCAGAGCAGAGCCGTCCCATATAGAAACTATGTATATAATACAAGAAATGAACTGTGAAATGTACCAAAAATAATATTTTTGTTTTACTCGTGGTCTTCGTCTGCGGATGGATGGATGGATGGATGGTGGATGGGTGGATGGATAGAAAGATAGATAGATAGACTAGCTAGGCTGACTATCTGGCTGGCCGGCTGACTGATGGCCAAAACTTAAATCGGAGCGCAATTCGAATCTGGGCGAATGAAAGGCAGCCCCTGCATGAATGTATCTGTATCTGTGTATCTTTCAAAATGGCTCTCATAGTCGCCAGCTATCGCTTCAATTAACATAATTAACGCGCCGCCTCATTTCGTTTTCGTTTCGTTTCGACAATTAATGAAATCCAACGAGGAACAACAGCCATTTTGGATTGTCTTCCCGGCTGGAGTGGGTTTTATTCGACTCTCCACTGGAGTTGGAGGCGGTAAGCGGGAAGAGCCGAACTCCAGCCGGTTTCTGCAAACACATCATCATCATCATCATTCAAGCCGCACACGGTGTAAGCGAAGGTGTTAAGCGTGAAGCGCAGTTACAGATACACACACCGACTGACTAAGATACATAAGTATCTTTTGCATTGCATTGCGAGGGTCAAAGTTTTTATAGTGCATAGAGAATGCGGGCTCCGTTTGATGGATAGCTCTCGCGTCTCGCCGCGAATGGCCGAAAGGGACTACATTTAAAGTTAATCGAAATTTGGTTTTTATGGCCCAAGCGAAACCAACGACGACTTCGAGCCGAAAAGCTGTTGAGGTTCACACGGATGGACATCCATCCACACAGAGACGCACATTTTTGGCAACCACATTTAATGACCCAAAAATACTGGGCCGTGCACTTCGCTCCCAAAACACACACACTCTCTCTCTTGACCGGCCTAATTGCCCAGCATCTGGACCTCACATGCCGAGATTCGATCCCGTCCAAGCTATTTTCTCACCAAATTAACGCCCTGGAAACGGGGCTTCATTAATTGCTCAATTGCAAACCGGAACTATCGACTGGACCGACGCCTTAGCCTCCAGCCTTCAGCCTCCGGAGTCTTAAGCGAGAAACGAGATCAGACAGTAACTGGTTTGCAAGAAGGATCAGCAAGGAGGTAGCTCCTTGTGTTCGCCTGCCAGCCAGGTGGGATGCTCCTGGATGCATTGCCGATGGAATATGGCTATTAGTCGTTAATTGATAGTTTGCCTGGGCATCTTGTTTGCACACTGTGTGGCTTTCTGTTCGAATTCAATTGGGCACCACTAACCTGTCTGACTTGTTTGTACTGCTCTTCAAAGCTCCATCCATTATTCTGCTGGGATGAATTGGATGCCTCGCTGGACGTCGACGAGTTGGATGCGGAATTGGCTGCAAAGTGGCGGGCTGAGTGCAACAGTTAAACACTAAAATGGAGGAGTAAGTCGCCGGTGGGTGCGCGATGATACCAACCTTCTTTGCCGCTGGGCGCTGCCGAGGGGGATGCGAATGAGAACGGATGGCCACCCACTCCGCCTCCGCCTCCTCCTCCTCCGCCGGCTCCTCCCGCTCCTGCTCCTCCAGCACCAGAATTACCGCCATTTGTCGCCGAGTTGTTGTTCGAGCTGGGGGTTGTATTGGTGCCGACACCGCTGCCGTTGTTGTTGTAGCCGCCACCGCTGCTGGGCGCCGAGGTAACGTGGCCAAAGGAAGCTGCTGCCGCTGCGGCTGCCACCGAGTTGTGGGGTAGCGGGAATCCCGAGCTAATCGTTGTGGGCAGCATATTGGCTCCAAATGCCGCTGCATGGGCTGCATAGTCCTGTTCCTGCGGGGAAACAGTACTCATTGTTAGCTTCAGAGGTTCAGAGCTTCAGAGCATAAAAATGATATCCAATTTGTAATGAAATAGGACTCACCATCAGTCCCACTTTCATGTCGCGGACCTGCATCTTGAGCTTCTCGAGCACATCGCTGTGCTGCAGATTTGGAATGCTGTGTAGGCTACCGATGCCCATGAAGCTGCCCAGAGCGTTTAGCGGATGATTCGGCGGCAGTTGATGGTGATGGCTGTTCAACGAAATGTATCCAATTACCATATAACAATATGCACTATACCTATGGATGGGGCAGGAACAGTTACTTACCTGAGGGGCAAGTCCGTCTGGGGCTCGGGACTGGCGAAATTTCCACCTCCACCGGAAACTGTGTGACTTAGGCGAGCTGCGATCGCAGCCTTGGCGCTCAGCTGGTGATGTTCTCCGTCCACGGAATCGCAGTCACGCATCTCGTCGTCGGTTCGATCACCGTGTGACTACAAAGTAAATACAATTTTTTTAAAGATATTAATCTCTAATAGAGATAGCTCTTAAAGCATAATAGTCTCACTCTTTCCAGAAAGAGATGATCGAATATTAATGGCGGCGCTTATGTCAACAAGCTACACGCTGGGCGAGCTTAATTGGCACAACTTTATCAACAGGGAATCGATACCTTCCGATCAAGCGTGGGCAGTACTTAGTTAGTGGTCATTGCTTCAGCTGGGATTCTGAGTCAGGCCCAGAGTCAGAGTCAGAGTCGGAGTCAGAGCTGGTTTATGGCATGTGCCAAGAGCCACATTAACCAAGGCACGCCGCACAAGGCACTAGGAACAATTTCAATTGAACTCGAAAGCAGCTGAAAGCAACTTCCTCCGGGCGGGGTGACAACAAAGGTAACCACTTAATAAATTAACAATGGCAGACCCACAAAACGGCAATCAGCCCAGAGAGCTGTTCGCACTCTTTTCTTAGTTCCCCAACCCAGGGCCGGTTTGTGGATCTACCTCATCGGACTGACTCTGGCCAGAATCCGCTCCTGGCCATGGGGAAATGGTCAGAGTCAGAGTCAGAACCAGAGACAGAGTCCCAGGGCAGCCGTGACTCTTTGCCAAGAAGTCCGCCACGCATGGCCGAGAGTGTTGAAGTCACCAACTGCGACTGCCACACAACATCAGCAGAGTCTTTAGCCACAGCTCCTTGGCAAGCTGAGCTTTTGGTGCTGCAACTGCAACTCCATCACGGCTTCTTGGTTTTTATGCATTTGGAGAGGTGCAAATTAAGCGCATCTGTGACTGTGTGCAAATCGGGAATTTTCAATTTAAACATAGCCATTGGTGGGGCAGACTGACGGGGTACCGGGGAGTACCATCTTGCACAAAACAAAGTAAGCCTGCCAGCCAGCCAGCCGGGCCAAGTCAATTCGCTCTCATATTGTGTGTGTGGACTTTGTATGCTGCATGTGGATACAACAAACACACTCATACACACCCTATAGAGTAGTGTGTTCAACATTTATCGCCTGGCTCTTTGGAGGCTTTGGCTTCGGCTTTGGCCCGGTGTTGGTGGTGTCGTTTGAACGTAATCATAAATGCAACCAAAACCAAGGCATAGACAAAAAAGAAACCATAGGGAAAGAGAGTTCTCGGAATTCTTTGAAGTTGGCGAAAAGCAAAATTGTGGCAGGCCAGATACAAAGATATACACAGATACTTGGAGTTGCGGTGCGAAATAATTATATTGACGCTTTTCCAGGTATGATTCATAAGTGGCTTGGATGAGGTGTGAGAACTAAGCCTAGTAATCAGGTCTTGGGCAAAACTCACTGACCACACCTCGCTGGGGATGGGGCCACCTCTGGTTAGTCCACTCTGCGCATGTTGCGAGTGTGTGTACATCAAATTAATGTAACTTATCGAAGCCATGCGAAATATGTAAACCCATGGAGATGCACATGTGCGGCCATTTACCAGTATATATCATACATATAGGAATATACAGACAAATGTATGTATGGTATATATATGTATGAGGAACATATGCATCCAGCGTGCTCCGCTGCAGTTTCGCGGCTTTACCGGGCTGCGTTTTAGTTGCGGTCTGGTGTTGACCAGGCCCAAACACACTGCCCAACAATACAACAATTGCGGTCTGCCAATGGCCAACAGCATGCCAAGCAGGCCATGCCAACTTGCACCTATAAAATGTCTAATTAATGCACAACGAATTTGTGCCGCTTTAATGTTGCAGTTGCTGGTTTTGCAGTTCTCGGGAATATGAAAAGGCAGATGGAAATACTGGCTTAAAGACTGGGCTAAAGGGCGAAATTATATATTCATAGTTCCTATCAGAGCTTACCACATAAACGAAGAAATTCATCAGAAGCACCGCATTTTTCCCCATTTAAGATATGGAATTTCATTGGAATATCGAGAGAGCTTCTGGGGAATATATAGGCGTACTAGGCGTCGCATAAATCACCATGAAGCGATAAGGTGTTCTAGTTCGACGACATTAAGTCACATCCAAAATGGATGGCGGGAAAACACAATGAGCACACTAATGGAGGTGTACAACCTGGTACTATCCTGGTACTATGGCTGGGGGGACACGCTGGTTCCATTAATTTTTGCGTTGATAAAACGCTACTGTTATCGCTGGCTAATACTTTGCCGTTTCAGCCAAGACATTAAATCGCAATTAGACCCACACAGACAAGACAATGAGGAAAAATGGAAAACCATACACATGTCTCCATAGAGATACTACTCCAAAACTCAAACAATACAATGGGATATGGATATGGGTACTGCCTATAGTAGGCTGGCTATACAGATACGGGTCTAGGACGTGGAGGCGGAGGTGATACCGGGCACCGGGGACCGGGCACCTGTGCAATTTACTTTAATAGCTTTCAATGCACCGCAGCCGGGGGACAACAACTATCTGAGTGCCACAATTGCAACAGTATGAGTAAAATATTTAATTTATTTGCCGCAGACAACAGTTTTCCGCTTCCCCCGCCGCCATCCGCGTTTTATCGCTAATTAGTTGACATTACATTTTCGATAGAAGTAGCTGGAAATAATTTATCTAAATTTATTATCATTTTCAAGTTGCAACCACAAAGGTAATTTGCTTAATTTCCATTCGTTGTTCGACCATTGAATATTATTTTCCGTTGACAAATTTGTAGGAAATATCGGAAAATATTCAAGAGACTTGGAAAAATGGACGCACGGACGGTGGCCGTATGTGCAACATGCCGTGCTAATTTAAAACAAAAGGACATACCGCTGCGACCGCTCGGATACCCATAATGCGACAATCCCGAGGAGGAAGCTGTGAAGGGCGCTGCCAGCAAACAGGATCACTGAATGTGAATCCTTGTACCGCCGCAGTAGATACAGCAGCCCGACCAAGGGGCGTTTTTTGTGTGAAGGATTAAGATTACGAGGCTGCGAGCATGTGTATCCGCATCTGTATCTGTATCTGTATGCCTCTGTCTGTATCCGTATCTATGGCCGGTTTTACAACTTCATTTCATTGTTTTTTGTTTTGTTTTTCAATTTTTTTTTTTAGACGGAACTATCCTAATGTCCTTATGACTCAAGTGGGTTCATTTGAGGATCAGTCCGAGGCGTACTGGCGTCTTAAGTTTATTAGGTCTGTCTCCTACAGATTTTATGCATATTGTTCGCCAGTAAGCTAGGCAGTTCTTAGAACTATTCTATCATTTAGTTTGTAATAAATGGATTTTTGGAGGCCTCAGTTCGAGCCTATACACGTGTTGACAGACACCTCGGCTATAAAAATAGGCTCAACCCCGAGACATCTGTCAAAATCATAATTTTAGATGATTGATCCGCTCTGGAGGTATCTGCTTGGTGCCCCCCGGGACTCCTCTATGTAAGTTCTGAGGGAGATTAAATATAATATCTATGATTAAACTTCTAATATGACATTCTAAGGAACTCATAGTCATTTGTTGTTGGAATAACTCGTTAACAGCCAATTAAAAAAATATTTGTTATGTACCAATTAGCCCCTAAAGGTAGATACATTTTTAACATGTTCTTTGGTCTGGTTTATACGGCATGCCACGTTGTAGTATGTATTTCCTGGCAGAGACTGTGGCGGAGGCAGAGGCATAGGCTGTGCCTCGGGGCACATGTGTGTGCTTTGAACTTATATCTGAATAAATATATAAATAAAAATTGCCCATTTACGCATCCACCCCGTGGCGAATTATGTATTTCAACGCGATGCAACTGCAGCAGATACAGCCAACACAGGAGTATCTAGAATTTTATGCCAACGGCTGAAAAAAAAAATCTTAAGAGATGGACACAAAAAAAAAAAAAAGGACAAAAAACATGTGCAACGTGGTCTTCGGGGCAACGAGAGCATGGAAATAAAATTAAAATGCAAAACGTATCTGAAAGATACATATGCCGCCACACACGCACGCACACCCAGACACGCCGCATGTGTTAAATGGGTGTGTGTGTGTGCGTGTGCGTGTTTGTTTATGCGTGTGAGTGAGTGAGTGAGCCGCGTACAAACGCGATTTCATTCGCTCGCCAAGCGTCGAAGCGGAAAAAATAAAGCGAATAAAATATAAAAATGGAAACAACAAAAAAAAAAGAGGCAACAGCGAAATGAAACGGGCAAACACACACAAACATCCAAGCACACACACACACACACGGACAAAACATAATGGCGCTGGCGAGCCGTATTCGCTGTGCCTCCCTCCCCCTGACAGAGACGAGGCCCCCAACCCCTTTGGGCTACCTCCTCCTCCTCCTACCACCCATTTATCCCTTCCCGCGTGAAAGCCTTTAATACACAGAGAACTATTTTTGGTATTCTTTAAATTTAATATTAGTTTCAAGAGGTGGGTTAATAATATTATATAATATTAACTATATAATATTAGTTTCTATCATTAAAACGTCATATGTTTTCTATAAAATATTAATAAATCACATATGATGTTCTTGCTATAACTATTATTTTTGTTTTTTTCGAAAATCCTAACCAAGTCTAGAACTAGGGAGACTTATTTTAGAAACTTAAAAATTCTTAAATAAACCCTTAAATGATTGAAATATTTTAAAATTTTAAAAATATACACATGTATACCATTAAGGATCAAATAAATACAAAAAGGTTGTAAGAGTTAAACAAATTATAGATTTTTTTCAAACCTTTCATCTTCTGTACCATATAAACCCTAAAATATAGGACCTATTTATAATTTTTTACGGTGCACGTTCTTCCATGTAAACCAAGTATCGGGTAGACGAAAAATTTCGCGTAAACAATAAAAAATACAAAAAACGAAACCGGTTAAACAAAAAAAAACAAAAAATAACTAAAAGCTAAAGCAGGAAAACGCAACGGTTAAACTGCAATAGTTGGGCTGGGTTACCGGCTAAAAAGTTCTACGTCTGGCAGGCCCGAAGTCTTCTACCCAGTCCCAGTCGCAGACCCCGTCCCGGTTCGGGTTTGGATTGAAAGTCTGGAGCTTGGGTCTCCGACTGCTGGCCGTCTGGACGCAAACCCAGACGTCGACGTAGACGTGGACGTGGACCTCACTCTTTGTGACCTGCCCGAAATATATCTTTATTTTACGACTGGGTGTCGCCACATAAAGAAAGCTTTCTAAGACCACACTTTCCACAATTGTTAATCAGGGAACCATATTTAGCCAAATTTGTGAAGTTATTACCGGGACTATTGGGTGGGTGGATTGTTTAAAAACTGTAAATAATAATCTCTTCTGGGCAAGTTTACTTTCAGTATAAATAATTATTGATTATTTTCCAAAATAAGTTGTAACCAATATGGGTATTTATATTTCATTTGTTTGTTTGGCTTCTTTGGGGATAATTTAGGGGGTGTTTAAGGTGCAAAGTAAATAAAAAGAAAATAATTATATGATTAAATAAGGATACAAAATTATTCCATTGATGATTATTTCATTTGGCACGCCCATCTTTTTTCTTATATGTATTTAAAAACAAAATGAAAAGAGATGCAAACAGAAGGCCTGAGCTTTTTTATTAGCATGCTGATAAATACACTTTTTTTATCCACAGCACCACAATCCACACCTTATATACAGTTCGTGCCCTCGTATTACGTATTGCGATTCGCAATTCACTTAATTTTTTGCCTTGCCAGCAGGTTTATCGGCAATCGGCACTCGGCAGCTGTACTGGAAAAATCCAATTAACAGTTTTATTAGCTATGGTTGGCAAAATAATTCATAAATTCATTAAAAACAATATGAAAAGCGCAAAACTGTAATACTACCAATAATAAACATATTTTTTACGAGCTCTTTCTGGGTGTTATTACGCTTTTGTTTTTGTTTTTATTTTTATTTTTTTGTTGCTCTTGCAGTTGACATTTGTCGCCATGCAGTTTCGTATCGCTAATGCCGTTGGCAGTAAACTGCAATTATTGTAAATTAAATTTAAAAAAAAAAGGGAAATAAAAATAAATAAATGCCAACGTGACATCACATATACCCCCCCGTTCTGGGCACACACGTCTTGGCAGTTTCAAGTTCGAGTCCCAAGAAGAAACTAAAAGCAAAACAAATTTCGTTTGTCATTGCGGTTGAAAGCGCCACCGCCACCAAACACGGGGCGACTATACAGAGGGAGGGGAAAGAGTCAGGGACATGTCATCCCCCAAAGGCCTCCACTAGATACTTAATCAAATATTTCCCCTGCCCAGAGAGAGAGTCGTCTATATGGTTCTATATGGTTATGCAAGAAGAAGAAAGCGAAGAGCCCCCAGAAAGAATTTAATAAAAATCGTTGCCTGTCAGCGTACAAGAAGCCAAACAAATTATAACAGGTGCCGTTGCTCGTCCGACCCAAATGATTTTGTTTGGGCCCAGGGTAGGATAGCCGGAGGGCAAAGGGAAAGGGTGTGAGTAAGTGGCCCAATCTGGCTTGTTTTCCAATCGACCAAGTGTGAAACAGTTAACCCATTACTCAAGCAGGTAAATGATTTTCGTTAATACTTTTACAAATTATTGTGGAATATTTTGGAAGAAATTTCTGGTTTGAAATTCTTTAAATTGAAAACCCCTAATGTAAAGCCTCCTACATACAAATAATCATAAATAAAAAGTGTGAATCAGAGCCGAGAGCACCCCCAGCACCAGCAGCAGCACCACCACCAGACAATCCCCATTAACAACCGCTGAGATTCGTGTTTTTCGGGGGGGAACCTGGGAGTTATCCCACCCCAAGACCCATGATTTAATGTGGGAACTCCGCCCGGAGCACGTGCAGTGGTCAGAATCATAAGCCGGCCACTGATACCCAATTGTCTCAAGTCATGTTCGCGGGCTTGATTTAATTTAAAAACGATTCAAAAATTACCGACAAGCAATTCGGCATATAATTTTAAACTCTGCGTTTAACCCAAGTAATTAAAGAGATGACGCGGAGGCTGCGATGGGCAATGGGCATCGGACATGGATCGTTGGGCCGGGCATTACGGGCACGACTTGGTCTCGGACTTGGTTTCATTCGAGAATTTATGACTTTTTGACAGCCCACATTATTGTTTAATCGTGACTTTTGAGTCGAAAATGCGAGCGAGTGGCGGCAGGATTTGATTTGAATAGAAATACGGAATCGTTTGGGATCGGATGTGCGAATGACACCAGCATATTGGTTCGATAAGATGGTATGGACCGAGCTCTGGGGTTAATTAAATAACACCCACATGTGGAGATTTAATTGTGAAATGTCCCCTTCCCCCATTCCTTTGGAAACCCTTCAATTAACACCAAAGAAGGGAATATACACATACATCGGAGTATATTGGAGGCTGAGAGTCAAAACACAACCTTAATGTATGAGAGATGACGAATGGATACGAGATTGAGCCGGTGACCGGGACAGTGTTTGCACAGCTCGTCTTGGAGGAGATGCTGCCGATGCCGATGGATGGCCCATCAGCCGATGGCTGGCCAAAAGCGAGGCTATTAAAAATTATGTAAATAGCCGGGCCGGGATTGAGTGTATAAAGTCTGGCTCATTGTTGATCAAACCGGCAATGTCTATTAACAATAATAAAAATGAAAGAAAAACAAAGAGGCAGAGAGTCGAAAAAAAAAACTAACAAGAGTTTTATTGAAGCTGAGAAGCTCATACCTGCATACCTGGAAAGCGAATGGCCGAAAGGCCTGAAAGGCAATAAAACCCATTTAATATTCATTTAAGGTACTAACAAATAATGCAAATATTTGAACAATTTATTTACATATGAACGCCATCAAAGAGCTTGAATTGAAAGAGATCTTTCAATCGATGGAAATTGTGAACGAGATCCCAGATCCCAACATCCCACCACTCAGCTCCATCTCTCAAAAACAGATGAATCTATTTGTATTTATGAGTATGTTATGCACTTAGCTCGATCAACGTGTGAGTATCTTTCGGCGAGTGTGTCCGTGTATAATAACTCTGCCTTGTATGCGACCATTTAGCATGTCACCTTTTTAACGGCTCTCTGGCAAACAGAAAGGCCAAAACTGACACAAAAAAAAGAAACATATCAGTTAGCTCCCCTGTCGCTCATCCTCTTTCTTCAACCCAGATTGAATCAACATAATATTTCTCTAACATTATAATTACGCTTTGAATCATCTGCAAACAATGTGAGTCGAATTGCCTGAATTGGTTTCGGCCACAAAAAACCAACAACTACAAAGCTCAAGCTCAAGTCGCTACCTAAACAAAAGATGATTGTGAAATGAAGAAAGATGGCAGCACAGAACGCTTCCACGTGCCGTCGGCAAATCGCAGATCCGTCACACCTGTTTTTCGATCTTACCCCATATAATACCCCCTTCACAGTCAGTCAGTTGTCACTTTTTTCAATCCCGCTCGAAGATGAAATAATATTTTCGCGTGGCAAATGGAAATTGATGCATTAGTTTCTCATATTACCACATAGCCAAGTGGAAAACAAATCAAATTCAAAATCTAAAGGATAGATGAAAGGTGGAATACTTCATTAATTTGGAAGCATGAAAAATATCATTTGTTGAAATGTATGCTTTAAAAAGTTTTTTTTAAGAATATTAATAGTTATAACACATACATATATATATTTTGAATCAAGAGACATTAAGGACTTTACAATTCTCTTAGAAACTTTAGTCTTAGAAATATAGAGATTTAATATTCTTTTATTTATATGTTTATATAGAAAATATTTTCATAGAAAGGGTTTCACAAGGACTCTAAAATCCTATAATAGTCTATAATAGAAATTTAAAAGAAAACTCAGCAAAACTTTAATATATTGGTAATATCTTACCAAATCGTCTCCCAAATCGGAATCACGTTCAATGTTGCTGTTTGAACGGCCGCTACAATCCATAGTAGGGTTGTGCACTCGCAGTTGCATTATTTGCTTTTCTCGAAAGATCCCCAAAATATATATGTATGGATGTATGGATGTACTTTGATTAATCAGCGATCGATGATCACTGGATAATTATATTTGTGATTTCCTCTTTAGTTACTCAGTTAGCACAGCACACTTTTGTTGTGTTTTAGCTTCTTTTCGGCATTGCTTTTATGGCCAGCATCGGACAACCGTTATATATATTCGTTCTCCCTGTGATGATTATCTCGGCACCCGCGCAACAGTTCTCTCAAGTACCGTTCACTTTGTTTTTATGATATGTATATTTTCTGTTTGTTTGATAGCAAATATTTGGTGTGATATTTGCGGTTTTCGATAAAATCAGAATTAAACGAGTGTTACTTTCTCTGTTATCCTGCACGCACACACAAGCACAGACACCTTCTCGGAGCTTCACACCTATCTTATGTTCAATTACTAATCGCAGTAATCATATTATATGGACATTATAATCCGTTTATAGCGCGCACTATCCGATCGCACGACCGACGCACACGGAACTCTAATTGGAAATGGAAATTTCGGGCCCACTGTCGTCGCTCGTGATACTTTTTTGGGCCCACTGTCGTCGGGGTGTTTCAACCAAATGGAATGGAAACGAAATGGAATCGGAATAAAAATAATTCTCTCAGGGCGGACATGAACATTATGCTTGTATCTGTGAAGTTGTTATAGAGTGGAATAGCAATAGAGAAGCAATATGCATAACTTCTTAAATTTTAAATCTCCTTAGCATATTTCCTCTAAGATTTAAGACTTTTTTAAGCCGGAAGAAAAATATTTTAGGAAGAAGAGTTTAATCCATGTTTTGAATCCAAGTTTCAATAGAATATACTTGCATTCATAGCATATTTTAAATATATGTTACATATATATTACATAGATCTGTAGATCAAATTTTTCTTGTGTTCAATTTTATCTGTGTATCTGTATTTTAAAGACGTTTTAGTTTCTAATAAAAATAAATTGAAAAACAAAGTTTTAATTGAAATCTTAAATAGTGGTTTGATTTGATTTCCTTATTTGCAAAATAAAGTCCACCCCAACTAACCACCTGGTACATTGTTGACTCCTCTCTCTGCCTTCTTTGGAACGTTAGCAATGGTATGGGTGGTGTGCTGCCAACGAAACGATGGAATGGACAGACGTTTCTCTACCAGTTGTTCCAAAACTTGTTCGCTGAGCACATTCAGCCAATCGGATTGCCGTTCCACCGCTTCCCAGGTGGCGGGGAGGTAGTCAATTAAATTAAATTTGTAATCGCAATCTATGCAATGCCCGATTCGTGTATATGTTTGTGTGAGTATCGGTTATACGCCGGCGTCTCATTCGCCCATTTCGATACACATACACGTATGCGAGAGCGGCAAAAGGTGTGTTCGTGTATCCGTCAGATACGCAGAGAGTAGGTACACTAGTAAACACTGTGGGTGACTAGTGCTAGAATAATAATAGTCATAAGATACAATTTTATAGAATTTGTTAATATTAAATACTAAAATACTATTTAAATATTAAAATGAAATAATAATTCTGTTCAGCCTTTAAGTTATTAATATTTTATATATTAAATATGAATTTATTTTAACTATATAAAGCTTTCTAATTAGAGTATTTGTTTCAAGATAAAAATTATTTTGCAGTTTAGTGTAAAATATTGGTAAGTGTATTAGCCATAGGTGTATCTTTCAATCATTTTTTATACGCGTCTCAATTGAACAGCGCCGCCCTTTTCATTTGTCGAACCGTCGCATGTCGTGTTCCGTATGTTTGTTTATTTCCCCAATCGAATGGGAGGGGCCAAGTCATTCATATTCGTGGTTTGCCAAAATTTCGCTGATAAATACCCCCAAAAAGCTGGCGGAAAACAATTGCCGAGCACACTGCCGTGAAGGGGGTGGTGTGAGGAGATGTGGCGCAAAACGGTAGGTTGATTAATGATTTGCGAGATAAATTGCACTTGTAATGGCCAAGGCGGTAGATAGATGGATGGATAGATTGCTGCTGCTAACCATCAAGCAGACATCCGCCCACCCAGTCAGATAGTAAATAATTTCCGTTTCTCGATTTTCACTAATTTGAAATTGATGAAAGGCAGCGACGTCAACAGAGGCAGAGGTGAAGAAGCAGCATTGGAAGTAGATCAAAGACACAGGGAATATATTTTAAAAGTTTTTAAAATTGTTAATTAAACGAAAAAAATTATCAACAACTTTTTCTTTTCTATATATTTATTTTCTATTATAGAATTTTATTCAATATATCTAACAACCTATATTACTTAACAATAAAAATGTTTCTATTGATTTCCATTATTTTTTAAATATATACAAATATTTAAAATTTTGTATATTTTTTAAATACATTTTTATTTCCTCTGCATGCGGAATATCAATTTTCGCCGAGTTGTCTGGGAAACAAACAAGCAGCAAACGCTGTGGCATGTATCTGTATCTGAGTATGCGTAGGGGAAGCTACCCTATCCTACCGAGTGCAGCAGCCCCCTCTCTAAAAGCTGGAGCACCGCCCCACCACCCCCTGGCAGCCGCCAGAAAAAAGAAACGCCAATGACGAGGCGTCGTCCGACCCACAAACTTGACTGATGATGAAGTGAGAAAGTAATTAAATACAATTTTAAATGTGACTAATGAGACGACGTCAAATTCGTGGGGCAAAATCGATGGGCGAGGGGGGCGAGGTGGTGCGATTTAAGGGAAGTTGAACTACAAACGAATATTCGAGTATATCCCAGGGGGAGTATAGACTTTTGTTCAATTTAAAGTAATTAAAGCAAAGGCACACCCGGGGAATATCTTAAACCTTGTTCAAGACAATTGTGGAAATAACATATTTCGCACGAATTTGTCATTATTAACTTTCATTTATTTTATTTTTTTTAAGGTATTGTGAGTGAGGTATAGATCTATTTGATTTTCAAACAACGTAGCTTTGAAAACGACTTGAAGCGTAAGTGAAATTTGTTTTTAATTCATGGATACAGGCATAGATACACATATTGGCAAATATTGGACAGGGAACATCGTTTATTTGTCAACACGTCCATTTCCTGCATTTTGTGTTTTAGCCGAAAAAATGGGACTCTCTAACGGGGGGAGTGGTGCAGGGGGAACACAAAAAATGAAATATTTACTGGCAACAATTTCAAAATAAATAAATGAGATAGAGTCAGTCGAAGCACACACAAACACAGTCCCGACCCGAGGTATATCCGTGTAGATATGGATATTAGTTGAAGTTGTTATTGTCCAACACATCCGTCGGCGCTCGAAGCTTTTAGGCCTCATTAGTTGATGAGTATTAAGTGATTTGGGAATTACACATTTGACATAAATGTTTTCTCCGTTCCTCTAGTTTTTTTTTTTTATCTGGTTTCTTTTTAGTTTCCCCCTCCCGGTTAGGTATATTGTGTGTGAAGTTCAGAGAAAACCCAGAAATGATATTTTCGGAACTCGATACGCTGCTGACTAAGTGTCGCGGTCGGATCAATGGCTTAGAGTACAATATTTTAACATTTACTCAGTAACTATTTGAAATCCGTTTCCACGAAATCTTAAATCATAAAATTGGGCTTAAACGCATAGAGAATTAATGACTAATTAATTGATTGCATAAATTAATTCCCACTGTGAATGTAGATCACCCAACAAACGGGTAGATAAAAAATGCGAATATAATTATATATAATTAACCGGCAATTTACAGTTTCAACACACACGGGGCAGGAGAGGGGCAAGACGATCAATTAATTAAATGCCATTTAAGCGATCATTAATCCAGGGAATGCAATTTGTCAATCCACAAGTCGATCGATGTGTGAGAAAGCGATTTTCAGCGGTTGGGCCAACAATCTTTACCTGCCGGTTGCCGGTTCCTCTAGCCGTAGGGCGAAGATACAAAAACTCAGGGCTAGAGATAGACTCCAAGCCCGCGACAGCAATACAGAGAGTGAGACAGTGATAGACTTAAAGCCAAATTGATTGACCAGATCAACATCGAACATTCAATATGAATGAACCGGCGAGCGACGGCGATAATTGATGATACTCGGGCAATATGGCCGATGGATCGCATTGGATCCGATGGGATCCGGGGAGCGTAGCCTCACATTTTTTGGCTCGGGGCCTCCGGACTAAACTAAGCTCCATTAATAATTTGTTTGGTGGCCAAACCTCGGAGCTTGTGGAAGTGGAAATCCACAAATAGACAGTTAGAAGTAATCGGCGAAAAACGAGACTCACTCACTAAAAAAAATGGAAAAAATAAAAAATATTCATTCATAAACTGCAGCCAGGGTAACTGTCAAGAGCTTGTCAAGGGGGAAGAGTGTCTCCATTATGGCTGTGGCACACCGGAATCATTAACTCGGCCACATTCATACTCCTCATATTTATTTAGATTCTTTCCCTATTTTTGGGGGCATCCGATTTTTAATGAAGTCCCAACGAAGTCTGGGAGCTGGAGCAGCAGCAACGCATTCAAAAATAGAATATCAATTTGGGCAAAAAGCATAACGGATGCCGCTGTCAATATTTTGACAGTTCTCGCTGCCTAACGCAAACCACCGAACCACCGCCAGGCCAGAGATACAAAAAACCGCCACCCCAACCTCGATTTAATATTCCGAGAATGGGGAATGGGGATCTGAGGATTCGGGGGGCAAACGGGAATGGTTACATTAAAAACTTTAATTGAATTTCGCTCTCGGAGTGACTGCAACTCATCAAGATCTCTGAATAAATGGATTTCTGTGCACAAGAGCACCCAAAGAAAAATGATTAATATGCGCTAATGTTTTATAACTTTGCCCTTTTAATATTCGTCCTGCCCCGAGTGGGGAAACAATAAACCTAAACCCCAAGTGAAGGCATTCCAGATCCACATCCAGCAGCATCCAGCATCGAGATTTACCTCAGGCTCTCGGCCACAACCTCAGACATGGCATTAAAAATGCCAAAAGCGATAAAAGAATGAACTGTATTGCCTTTTGTCTGATGCATACATATATATATATATATAAATATATATACACATATGGTTCTATATAGTATATGCATTCAGATTTCTGTCCGCCCGGACGACACATCAACTGTTTGACTGATCTCGATCTTAACTGCTAATGACCTTAATCGTTAATCTCTGACATAAAAGATTTGATTGAAGCGGATCCCGGCTGAAATGCAATAAATTAAAAAATATACATATGTATGTATCCCCTGAAAGGAAAGAAACACATGGTTCGCGGTTAATTTCGACCACCACACAATAAACCAAATTGGATTATGGGCATTGATTTCGTTTTGGTTTATTTTTTTTCGTTGGGGATTTGTTTTGTTTGCAAAAAGAGGACTTGGCTCTTTTTTGATTCATGAGAAATCTGAAGGAGTAAAGTCATTAAAGGAGCTTTTCTGGAAAGGGATTTTTGGTGCTGATGATGTGTTTTTAGGCCACAAAACATTACAATTCTTAAGGCTATTATCTGAGCACACACATTGGCGATTATGGCTCACATGACAATAATGACATTGAATTTGT